GTTCTATATCTGAAAATCTCGAGCCCCTAAAATCCAATGGTGTGTTCCCCGTTGCACTTATTTGGGGGATAATCCGCCAACCAGCAAGACTTAGCGCACTAAAATTCACGGTAAAACATCACCAATCTCAATGATAGTCGTAAACCATAGGATGGTCGTAAACCATAGGATAGTCAAAAATTCTAGGATAGTCATTAACCGTACTAGTAATTAAGTATAAACCCATGAATCAATGATGCAAAAAATAATCCATATAATTCATATGGTAAATTACTCATGACTAGAACATTAATGCAGGAAAACCAGGCGGTAATCCCTTTGCCCTGGCGCTTTCAGCTGCTTCATCCGGTATTCGGTCATCCTAGCTGTCCTTTCTTCCTTCACTTTCTGTTGCTGCTCCAATACTGTACAATAAAATTGTTGCCTACGCGCCAATCCTACGCAATCCTTACGCCAGCCATGTAAAACCACACCGAAAGCAACATCCAGTTTAAGCTGCAGATAAACCCCTTCATATTGGAAAAAAAACGTGGCTCAATTGTTACTTTGTGGGTTTGTTGCTTAGATCTCCGTTCTTGGATTCATCCCATTTTGTTTTTTAAATGCTCAGATTGTGTTTGTTAGATCTTGTCATTTTTTGGATTAATCAGCACTTTACCTGTGAAATCTAAATATTTGGATTCCAATGGTTAAAACATACCCCTTCTAATTAGAAGCTACACCTGGGGGGCGCCAATCTATAAGAAAGCCCTTATGAAATGAGAGATCCACGGCACCAAAAGTTTATAAAATGGCAATTATCCAACCTACAGCAATATAGGGGAATAACAATTAGCATTTTATAAAGAAAACGAAAAACTTATAAATTGCGGTATCATGGTTACCAAAATCGCATAAAAATCTCTTACATCCCCTGGGTTAATATTAAATGTTGGGTTATGAGGACTTCAACTCCATCACCCTGCATTACAGTAGTCAAATGTACATACACGTATAGTTAATCACATATATCATAATAATTCATAATGTGATATTATGTGTATATATTACTATTTCCCCACCTGCCAGGTGAGGGTTGTTAGATTTTATGTCAGTTGCCTCCTCCTGCCTCCTCCTGCCTCCTCCTGCCTCCTGCCTCGTCCTCCTCCTCCTCTCCTCCTCGTCCTCCTCGTCCTCCTTGTCATCCTTGTCGTCCTTGTCGTCCTCGTCGTCCTCGTCGTCCTTGCTCAACTGCGACCCGCGATCCACAGTGTTCTCTGCCGGACCTCAACCACGACCACCCACGCCCAGTGTTCCCTGCCGGACCTCAACCACGACCATCAGATAGAATGCCAGAAGATTTGCCAGATAGAATGCCAGAAAATATGCCAGAAGATATGCCAGATAGATATGCCAGAAGATATGCCAGAAGATATATCAGAATATATGCCAGAAGATATGCCAGATAGAATGCCAGATAATATGCCAGAAGATATGCCAGATAGAATGCCAGATAGAATGCCAGAAGATTTGCCAGATCGAATGCCAGAAAATATGCCAGAAGATATGCCAGATAGATATGCCAGAAGATATGCCAGAAGATATGCCAGAAGATATGCCAGAAGATATGTCAGAATATATGCCAGAAGATTTGCCAGATAGAATGCCAGAAGATATGTCAGATAGAATGCCAGAAGATATGCCAGATAGAATGCCAGATTGAGAGAAGATATGCAGATAGAATGCCAGAAGATATGCCAGATAGAATGCCAGAAGATTTGCCAGATAGAATGCCAGATAGAATGCCAGAGATATGTCAGAATATATGCCAGAACATATGCCAGAAGATATGCCAGATAGAATGCCAGATAGAATGCCAGAAGATATGTCAGAATATATGCCAGAAGATATGCCAGATAGAATGCCAGATAGAATGCCAGATAGCCAGAAGATATCAGATAGAATGCCAGAAGATATGCCAGATAGAATGCCAGAAGATTTGCCAGATAGAATGCCATATGCCAGAAGATATGCCAGATAGAATGCCAAATAGAATGTCAGAAGATATGTCAGATAGAATGCCAGAAGATATGCCAGATATGCCAGAAGATATGCCAGATAGAATGCCAGATAGAATGCCAGAAGATATGCCAGAAGATATATGCCAGAAGATATGCCAGAAGATATGCAGAAGATATGCAGAAGATATGCAGAATATATGCCAGAAGATATGTCAGATAGAATAGCCAGATAGATATGCCAGATAGATAGAATGCCAGAAGATATGCAGAATATATGCCAGAAGATATGCCAGATAGAATGCCAGATAGAATGCCAGAAGATATGTCAGATAGAATGCCAGAAGATATGCCAGATAGAATGCCAGAAGATATGCCAGATAGAATGCCAGATAGAATGCCAAATGGAGCTTTCCAGCAACTCTTGCGCCTCCAGTGTAGAATCCACAGGGCCACGATATTTGTTGGAATCCGCTCTGCCTGCCAACTCTTCAACCTCTTCTTCATCCAACTCTTCCACAGGCGCGTCAACAAAAGTCTTTTGCAACACTTCGGGCGTCTCACCATCAATCCACTCTTCTACATCAGCTTTTCTGCAAATTGCCGCTTGGTGGCAAGGTGGGCGCTTGTTCTACGATGGTGGTAACGCCATCGAGTCCAAATGCAGAGTGCGACCGTTCCCAAGGATTCTTGCTGTTGGCCGTAAAAAATACCTTGGTGAGAATTACCCTGCGCAAAGGCAACAACATTCTGTGCCCATATGGCATCCTGCGCATCAACTCTGGGTGTCACCCGAGCCACTTTCCGTTAGCCAAAGCTCGCACAGGCATTTCAGGTGGGTTTTTGATCAAACACCGCCTACATTCTTTGCACAAAGGAGCTTGTTCCTCGCCTGTGCACATGCGTTTCGTCACACGACGTTTGTGTAAAAGCATTTGGACTTTATCACCTGTTTGCAACAGAACAGTTGGACAAGACTTGAAGACTTCTTCCGATGGCACCTCTGGCCAAGTTGACACATACAGCTTTGGGTCTAATAGCAAACAAACTTTATCTTCTTTCTGAAACTCAGTCTTCGCACCAGCAATGAAAGTCGGAATGGGTTCCTCTGACCAACGTCTTTCAGCACACACTACACATGCGACAAATCGCCGGGGTCCCCATCTCTCATCTCGCTGCAAACTCTTCCCCAGACTCAGCTTGTCATGCATGTGCGTAGTGAAGTTGTTCCAATCTGTGCCAGAAGATATGCCAGAAAGAATGCCAGAAGATTTGCCAGATAGAATGCCAGAAGATTTGCCAGATGATATGCCAGATAGAATGCCAGATTGAATGCCAGAAGATATGTCAGATAGAGTGCCAGAAGATATGCCAGATAGAATGCCAGAAGATTTGCCAGATAGAATGCCAGAAGATATGCCAGAAGATATGCCAGAATATATGCCAGAAGATATGCCAGGTAGAATGCCAAATAGAATGTCAGAAGATATGTTCAGATAGAATGCCAGTAGAATGCCAGAAAGAATGCCAGAATAGAATGCCAGATAATATGCCAGAAAGATATGCCAGATAGAATGCCAGATAGAATGCCAGAAGATTTGCAGATAGAATGCCAGAAAATATGCCAGAAGATTGCCAGATATGCAGAAGATATGGCCAGAAGAATTAGATGCCAGAAGTATGTTAGAATATGCCAGAAGATATGTCAGATAGAGTGCCAGAAGATATGCCAGATAGAATGCCAGAAGATTTGCCAGAAGATTTGCCAGATAGAATGCCAGAAGATATGCCAGATCATATGCCAGAAGATATGCCAGATAGAATGCCAAATAGAATGTCAGAAGATATGTCAGATAGAATGCCAGAAGATTTGCCAGCAAGAAAATGTGTAAATGTCATGGTGGGGATCACACGAAGTAAAGTAATTTTATAGTTTATGATAGTGTACCGCAATGTACCACATATTAGGAGGGGTATTAATTTATTATTGCTATTCCCTAGATATTCCGCCTGTTTTCAACTCTACCTATATTGAATGGTCATTGCAAGAAATCGCAGGGATATCAAAGCTAAGATATGTCAGACGAATCGCAAAGCTTTTGTGTCACACAAACAGGGAGACCTGTCCTTTGGTCTTGCCGGTGCTTGGACTGCTTGCGGCCAGCATTTGCACAAGACCAACATGTCTCGAATGACTTGCAAGGCCATATGCACGTGGTTGCTCAGCATGTAATCTGCCTCGGCAGGGTACATGTAGTCCTGATTGCACTCGACGAATCTGCCGCCTTGTTGGTAGTGGAAAAGCATGGCCGGCGTGCAAGGACATCCCGCATTGCCCTCACCTCCTCAGCTTTGCGTCATGCTGGAATTCAGTCTATAGATTTGATGGCCGCAAACTCAAACATTATAGAATGCTAGATCACGTCTCTTTATATTATGAAAAGATAATCAAAGTTTGATAGTTCTGTGTTTTTCAAATTTAATTTCATAGTTTCTTACAAAATAAGTGTTCTAAGATGTTCTAAGTTTCACAAATTTAATTTATCTTAATCTAATAGGTTCTTATATAATGACTGTCCGCCGCTCCATTACAAGGTTTGCCGAACCATCATTTTATCAGGCAATGTTCTCCAAATGTTTATTAAATAACAAATAGAATCTATACTCTATACATGACAAGCTTAAAACGAACCATGATTTTATAACCCAAACATGTAGTAAAACAAACATGCAAATATTTTTTGCCCCACCTGCCAGGTGAGGGTTGTTAGATTTTATCAGAGCTGTTCTCCTCCTCCTCCGCCTCCGCATCCTCCTCCTCCTCGTCCTCCTCCTCCTCCTCGCAGTCCAGATCCCAGTGGGCACAGCCGGACCTCCACCGCGAGCGCCAGATCCCAGTGGGCACTGCCGGACCTCCACCGCGAGCTCCAGATCCCAGTGGGCACTGCCGGACCTCCACCGCGAGCTCCAGATCCCAGTGGGCACTGCCGGACCTCAACCGCGACTTCCAGATCGCAGTGGGCACTGCCGGACCTCAGATCGCAGTGGGCACTGCCGGACCTCAACCGCGACTTCCAGATCGCAGTGGGCACTGCCGGACCTCAACGGCCAGATAGAATGCCAGAAGATATGCCAGATAGAATGCCAGAAGATATGTCAGATAGAATGCCAGAAGATATGCCAGAAGATATGCCAGAAGATATGCCAGAATATATGCCAGAAGATATGTCAGATAGAATGCCAGAAGATATGCCAGAACCTATGCCAGAAGATATGCCAGATAGAATGCCAGATAGAATGCCTGATAGAATGCCAGAAGATATGTCAGATAGAATGCCAGAAGATTTGCCAGATAGAATGCCAGAAGATATGTCAGATAATATGCCAGAAGATATGCCAGATAGAATGCCAGATAGATATGCCAGATAGAATGCCAGAAGATATGCCAGAAGATATGCCAGAACATATGCCAGAAGATATGCCAGATAGAATGCCTGATAGAATGCCAGAAGATATGTCAGATAGAATGCCAGAAGATTTGCCAGATAGAATGCCAGAAGATATGCCAGAACACATGCCAGAAGATATGCCAGATAGAATGCCAAATAGAATGCCAGAAGACATGTCAGATAGAATGCCAGAAGATTTGCCAGCAAGAAAATGTATAAATGTCATGGTGGGGATCATTCGAAGTGAAGTAATTTTGCTGACCCCGCCCCTCATGTTTTCTCCTGAGGAGATACCCCATGTTTGTCATTTTATAGCCCCCAGAAAAAGGGGAGGTTTATAAAATGACAGTTTCAAGTAGGGATCTTCCCAAACCCGTTATTGCAAAAGACTCCAATTTATAAGCAATTTTCATTTTTGTTTTTAACCCGGGGGGCGGGACCCTATAAGAAATGGGTCCCGCCCCCCGGGTGGCGGGATTTTATAAGCGATATTAAAAGGGGGATGTTAAAACCACATTTTTTTGCTGGGTACATCAACATTCTTGAATGGTAATTCCCCATGTTTACTGGCATGTTCGTTAGACTAGTTCAAATGTTTCCTTCATAAATAGCAAGTAAGCAGTATTCAAAACCCTTTTTGACACCTTTTTGACAGCAGTCGTAAGAGGTTTAAGAGGTTGACTACAGATGACTTGATTGGATATTAATTCAGCTGAGCAGTGTTCAAAACTCTGTGTCCTCCCTTTATACTGGTTGGTTAAGAACGGGATTCCCCATTCATGGATTGCAGTACGACAATCACCCAAAAATTTATTAGTATAACCCCGGAACTAATCATCAACCCACCATCATCTGGTTGGTGGTATACCTACCCCTCTGAAAAATATGAGTTCGTCCAGTTGGGGTGATGAAATTCCCAACTGAATGGAAAGTCATAAAATTCCATGGTTCCAGTCACCACCAACCAGTAGATCTATATCTGTCAATGGATTTAAATGGCATATATAATTATAATATGTATTACCCTCTGGGTATTTAACATAGCCATGGAAAATCACCATTTTTAATAGGTAAACCCAGGTAAACCATCTATTTCTATGGGCCATTTACTGGGAATAGAATAACCACAAATTGGGATTTCATGTTCCAAACCACCAACCAGATTCAACGTCCCATGTCTTGCGGACGAGCCGCTGGGCAGCGAGCCACTCGTAGGCGCGCTGCGTGACGGCCAGCTCGCAGAACTCGTAGAGGCGCGACAAGACGATCTCCTGCGGCCGGTCGTTTGAAGCGTATAAGCTGTCCGGGTGTCATGGGTATATGATATTTATATGATATGATATGATATGATATGATATCTAATATGGGTAGTATATAAATATCATATATTATGGTTTGAACTGTCATATGATAATCTAATATGCTATAATCTACATAATAGTTGGTATACATAGTATAATCTATATAGTTAGTATAATCATGTAAAATCTAATATGATATAATAATAATAATAAAATATATATATATATATATTTGCATAAACATCCCGGTACAATCTATAAAGTTAGTATGCGGTTTATAAACCTTGCGCAATATCAGCCGCCCCTGGCTCGGTGACTTATGCTAACTTGGTATCGTGCATGGGAATATGATAAATGTCCGAAGTGCTCGTCCACTTGGAATTGCCTCCCTTTTATTTTTTCCCAACGCAGGAACTAACTAACTTTAATCACTGTTTACTAACATTGCATTCACTCAATATGTATTATTTAATACAGGTAGACAGTGTTCATGATCTGGACCTATCGGATATCCTGCATGTATTGTGTATAAAACATGTTATACATGTCTATAAGAGGTACATATGCACAATCTAAATGTACTGCGAGCTTGGAACAAATGATGGTAACACTACCAAATGATACCATACATGGACAGTATGGGTTCGGAAGGCCACTGGGGTACAGAATGTTCCGACTCACATTCAATTCAACTGCAAGCCCTAAGTCAAAGTGGTCCCGAGTGAGTGTTTATGTTTAAGCAAAATTCTCAAAAAACATCAAGCAACTATGTATGTCAAAGTGGAATCTTCCTGAACAAATCCACGGCCACTTCACCACGCCGTTTACCCGTTTACCCCGTGCCCCCCAACAAATCCTCGGTGGAAAACACGAAGTCTTGATCCGTGATCTCTTCTCCTGCCGGTGTTGTGGCCTGGGGGTTCAACCAACTTGTAACAAGCGGGGCACCACCTTGTGGATAAATCTGATTTACATATTTAAATATGCATGAGAAGCAGTAGTAGGCTCATTTTTTTTGTTTTGTGAGAAGCAGTACCCTCTGGTAAACTAACATAACTATTTGTTCATCACCATGTTTAATGGGAAAATCATGGAAAATCAACTATAAATGGTCATGTTCAATAGCTACGTTAAATAACCAGAGGGTAGCTTCAAACGACAAACGACTGGGTTGGTGGTCCACCTGTCCTCAACACATAGGAGAAACAACGAACCGAAGGAAGGTATAATGAGCCGTCACTCTTTACTTTCCCTGGGCTTGGGGCAAACTGCAAAGGAGAATGGGCGCATTCTATCACAGCTGGGATAATATCATGGAATCATGATATATTGCGATCCGATTAAAATGCTGCAAGAACGATCCGATCAATATTTACTATTTACCGCCAGATTCTCTGACAAATTGATCCGTAGAAATTTCTGTAACCATTGAGGAACATATCTGGGAAAGGGATCTTGCAACCTTAGTTTGGATTCCCAGGATATATATAGGGGGTTCCTACAATGGAGGTACCCCCAAATCATCCATTTATAGATCTACTTTCCATGAAATAAACCATCCAGCTATTGGGGTACCCTCACTCCATTTCTATAGTCTATAGGACTAAAGGATTTTCCATGAAATAAACCATCCATTCGTGGAAATGATGTCTAATGTTCTTTTCCGGCTTAAACCACCGGCTGTCTCCGCTTGGGCCGCGCCTGCAGTCTCCACTTCGTTCGCCTCTCGGTGATGCCACGTCATACGCCTCGGCGAAAACGCGGCGACCGTGACGATGTGTGCGTTTTCTGTAAGTGAGTAGCTATCCCATATGCTCCATGTATGGAATATTTACCTACATTTACCCCAAAAATCAATAAAAATCAACCAAATGTAGGTAAATATTCCACACATGGAGCATCTGGGTATGATTCAGATGATACTCTAGTATACTCTAGTAAATTGACCCTTATCCGAATCCTTTCCTGGGCCTTAGTCTGAAGGTATCAGAGGACATCAACTGCAATTTGGATTCTAAAGTAATGGGATATACTACCATACAAGGCTCCATCAAAGGCAGCCCCATGGTTTATAACTCAAATAACCTGGAATATATTCACCAACCACTTTGTTCTGTATGATCTTCCGCCGCTGCAACCCCATTTTTGATAATCTGATAGTTCCTGTCAAACTAAAACACCGTACACCCAGCACTTACCCTCTAGTTAAACAACACAGATGTGAAAAATCCCATCATTTTGAGAGTATTTTCCCACGGAACCGCATTAGTGGTTTGATTGTTCTACCAGAAGGCATTTTTCCCATTGGTCATTATCTTGTGGGTTAACCAGGATGAACCCCTATGGATTGGCTATGAAGGAGTTCTTGACCAGCATCCTCCAGCATTTGATCACATTGAGTGGATGGAACATAACCCATTATATACCCATTATAACATTATATCAAATATCGCCATGTTTGTTGGTAAACTCATCATTTTGATTGTTAAGTTACCCTTTTCTTAGGATGAACCCCTATCATAACAGTAGCCAATATTCGTATATAATCATCATATATGTAACCCTAATCACCAACATTATATGAACATGTTCAACTATCATAACTTAGCCATGTTCATAGTAAGTTCTTCCCAATATGATTCACCACTCTCGGCATACCACCCTCCAGAAAGATGTCGAAAAGCTGGACACAGAAAATCGGCTTTACCAGAGGAAACGATGGGGGCCAAGGGTTCCGATTGTATAACGGTTAATGAAATATTTCAATACCATGAATGGTTGTATAGCGCTTCTATAAATATATATGTATGTATCAAAATGAATCTCCATGGGAAAAACAACATACACATATATAATATAATATATAATATCTGAATGCTGATAATGATTATCATATATAATGATTAGCATTTTTATGGTGTCCAACACATTACCATTAAATTCCCATTCAATAAATCCCAATATGGTAACCCATGTGACCCATGTCCCTCGGAGTCCTGGAGAGCTCGTGCTCATCATGCGCCTCTCTGGCGCGGTTCTTCGCTGCCTAGCGCTAGGCAGCTATGCCATGACTTTCCCATCCTAAAAAGCCATTGGGTTCACCATGGTAAAAACCATGGGTTTAATATGGTTTAATTTAGGGCTACTGGGGAAACTGGGACATGTCACCATGTTATATCACCATAGCTGCTGTTTTTTTTAGCCATGATTCATGGTTGAATTTAGGGTCTTGATTCCATGATTTCCCCTCCACTCTTGTGTTGAACAATGTAACATACGTAAAAAAAAAAACATACTGGTTGGTGGTTGACCAACCTACCATTGGTTGGTAATATACTGTTAATATTAAAGGTTATTATTAATGGTTAATGATGGTTAATAATCTGGTTGGTGATTGACCTACCCCTCTGAAAATATGAGTTTCTCAGTTGGGATTATTCTTCCCAACTGAATGGAAAAATATGGAAAAATAAAAATCAGAAGTTCCAAACCACCAACCAGAAATATATATGGACAAGCCATGCAAGAAACATTATCTACAATCTACAGTACAAGAAATGGATGGGTATTCGATATCTACTGTACCCTCTGGTAATTTAACGTAGCTATTGAAAATGGCCCATTTATAGTGGATTTTCCCATTGAAAATGGTGCATCTTTCCACAGTTTTTTGTATGTTTACCAGAGGGTATATGTTACTGTACTGCAGGGTATTGATAGGACTGGCTCTGACGGGTTCACTGGGTCAACCATAGAGCAGGCAGGGAGAACCCACCCCACTATGAACAGTTCTGGGTGGTTTTGGGAATTTATCCGCAGAAAATGAAAGGAGAGCCCACCCCAATTTGGATGGGAAAGTAAAATGAGCATTGAACCAATAACAAATCTGGAGGTGGTTCAAACATGACAAATGTATGACAAATGTCACTTCGATACACTGGAAGATAACGCTCAGCCAATTTATAAAGAATTGTCGAAATCCAAAACACACTGACATGTTGATACCCTTTGGCAATCAAACGTAGCAATGGACAATCCACCATTTACACATCCATCATAATCATATCAATGTTTGATTATAATATGTCTATTCTGATCTATTTAGATGGTAATTGAAACTATTGCGTATGTGTTTCGGAAAACCCCTACAAATCAATAGTATCATTGGGCTCTCAACTTCTGTGCTTGCGGTGAGCCGTGGTAACCTTGCGGACTGGTCCATGGATCTTGGAACCAGGGAACTTGGCGTCTGGAAACTTGAAAGCCTTGTGAAAAAAATGAAGCTTGGACCTTGTGAAGCAGTAGACTTGGCGCCTTACTATGGATCCTAATTTGCGTTGCGTTTGTTTTGCATGGCGCTGGTCATTTCCTTGTTGAATCCAATCAAGACCCAAGTCTGGAACCTTGCTTGGAACCTTGACCACTGGAGCCCTAACCTGCAACCCCAGAACCTTGGCAATCTGGAACTCTGCAGCCGTGATGGGGGATTGGTTTTGGGGGGCCAACTATAGTTGATGGGGGATTCTAAACCACTCCCTTGCAGTTTGCTTCGGAACATGCTCCGAACTGGAACCTGTATCTCTTCCTGTCAACGGATCGCCCCTCTTCTTCATCCGGTCGTATTCCTTACTTCTCTCAATGGAGTGCGGATGGTCCTCATGGCATGACCACATATGCTGCGACATGCTAAACCACGACGTAGACCGTAACTGTTTGCCACACAATGGACATTGTCCTTCGCGGACATCACCACCGGGCCATTTGCGCTTGTCGTCGTCACCGCCCTCCATATTCTCTCTGTCCTTCACTTATAGCTGGGGGGCCACCTTGTAGTACATTGTAGAACATTGGAATTTCGACACCTGCAGCCGTGCAATCCTGGAAACCTGCAATTGTGGAACTCTGAACATGGGTCATTAAATGTCCCCATTGAACATCACCCAACCAGTAGGTATATGGTCTATAATGGCTACTATAAGGTGATGTCCAATATTTCCAAAATGGGACAGTTACCAACCCCTGCTGAATCTTGCCTGATAACATTGCAACGGAGCCAACATCCGCACCTTAATGGTGGCCTCGCCACGGGCTCCCGCAGCTCCACCTTCCATCGGGTTTTCGGATTTCCATCGGGATAGGGACTTATAAAGGTGGATGAAAATTGGGAACTTCATGGTTGATTTATGTTGATTTAATGGGATTTAATTTGATTTAATGGGATTTAATGGGATTTAATGGGATTTAATGGGATTTAATGGGACTTAATGGAATTTAATGGGACTTAATGGAATTTAATGGGACTTAATGGAATTTAATGGGATTTAATGGGACTTAATGGGATTTAATGGGACTTAATAAAATTTAATGGGATTTAATGGGATTTAATGGGACTTGATGATGATTTCAACGATTTTGCTGGTGATTCACTGAAATAATTAATTTTGATTGAATGGGATTGGAATGGTCGTTGAATGGGGTCATAGTGAAAAATCCCATCCCCCCATATTATGGCACCAATTTCAGATTGTCATATAAATCTCATATTATTGGTGATATCGTTGTTAAACAAAAAAAACTCCAGTAGTCTTAGATATGGAAGTTGACAAATTAAATTAAACCTGGTGCAACAAAATGGGCATAATAGTTTGGATAAATGATGGTTGATGACTTCTGTTAATGGTGATGTGCCCCCATATCATTCTAGATAGCTATGGCAAATAAATAGCTCGATGACTTACATTGACTTACCTAAATACAAAACACAGTGACTTTCTATAGCTATGTTCAAGTACTGGAGGGTAATGGTGATATAATAGATTTATTCCGCCAAAGCAAACATGCGGAACTTATGCATAAGGCTGGTATGACTTGTTCATTAAGGGGATATAAAGCGGATGCATGCAACTATATGTAATGGTGATACACACATTTTGTTTAAACAAAAAAAACTATTCGTAGGTTGTACCCTAATTTATATATATATATACTGTGTATATATATATATATATCCTTATTATATATGTCTGGTAATTTATATTTGCAATAAGTTCTCAAATAATAAATCATAGTGATTCATACATTCACAGCCTATTTTTCTGCTGCCGCGGCACGAAGAATCTTCAGGTTCTGAACATTCCCACCCTATGGATCCAGCCATCCCTAGTCGAGAATCACCTTCCTTCCCTCAGGGTCCAAATCGTTCCAGAGGAAAGTGATTCTGTACGGCGCCCTTCGAGGTTCTTGGAGGCAGCGTTGGGCAGCGTTGGATGGTCAGGCTGGGAGGCGTTTTCACGGCGTCAGGATCAACTCCACCTCTAATTCGATACTTTGACCCCTTCAACATTGGGATCTGGATCACCAAAAACCTCACACTCATTTTTTTGTGGGCCGTATGCCTCCGGACTGAAATCACTCCATTCACCAACCAAACTCAGGCTAACCGGGCAAATAACATAGATTTAGCACCAATAATGTGGGAAATACAAGCTCCTTGGGTGCCACATCAAAAGTCCCATGGCCAACCTCAAATACCCAGACCATGCATTTCATTTTGAATCCAGGTGGGTAGTCTATACTATTCCGATTTATTCCACAGGAAGACACATATTAAACGACCCACCAGCAATTCGTTGTGCTGTTTGCGTCCTCATAAATTGCTCAGAAATGGTGCGGACATCATCCCCACACCGCATATCAAAGGACCAAACTTACCAAGGTCTTTCCAAATGCGTTTCTCTTATCCCATTATAATAGTGAAATCCCCACATTATCAGTCAAACCCCTGGTGCCCGGATGGTATCCTAAAATAGCTAGTTTTTTTCTGGATGTTTATTCCCAAAGTAATGGTAAGGTAACTTGACACGTCCCCATCTCACCATCTCACCATCTCCCTATTCCTTCGGAATCAAGGTTAAGCCGAGGTTTCCTGCAATGGGGCTACCCCCAGTTCTCATCCATTTATAGGTGGTAATTTAACATAGCTATTGAAAATGGTGATTTATAGTGGATTTTCCCATTGAAAATGGTGATTTCCCATTGAGGGTAAACCATCCAGCTATTGGGATCCCCCATTTACGGGAAATTGGTATCCCCATCATCTGCGATTATATTGGATATAATATCGAATAATTTCATTGGATGATCATCGGATGATCATTGGGAGATATTATCGACATATTCCATAGGATAATATATCCCAATATAATTGGATAAATATCCCCACCAAGTGGATAATGGATATAGAATTAGGATATATTAGGATATTATGATAATATATTGGATATAATTGCTGGAAATATAGTTATATTATGATTATTATTGGATATAATTGGATATGATCCTAATATTATGATAATATTCCATATATTAGATACCCCGGATAGTATTCATATTATGATCATATCCCAATGACTATCCAAGTTGGTGAACATAACTAGGGTACCTAGGCATTATGGTGATAAGAGCTATAGATGGGTTAATAAACTTAATTAATAAACCATTAAACAAAACTAGGGGGGCACCATCCCTATGACTATCCAACTATTGCTGGAAAGCCCTCAGTGAAAATATATTGAATATATATATATTGGATCTTATGATAACCCTCATTGGCTATATTGAATATATTGAATATATCCAACCACTATTAACCACTATTAACCACTATTAACCACTATTAACCACTATTAACCACTATTAACCACTATTAACCACTATTAACCACTATTAACCACTATCCAACTATTGCTGGTTAAACCCATGGTTTCACCCATGAAAAATCATTGCCTCCCCGCCATTGCTGGTAGTTCTTGCGCCAGTTCAGCCACTCGTTGCCCAGCAAGATCTGATTCAGGCCCTGCAGGTCGTCTCCGCTGCACCTGGACATCACAAAAACAACAACACTCCGGCGCCGGGGTAGGTTATAATGGTTTAATAATGGTTTAATAGTGGTTTAGTAGTGGTTAATAGTGGTTATTTAATATAGGTTTAAGAGTGAAATTCGGGAAGATCACCATTACACTCTACAAGGATGGTGCCCCTAGTTTTGTTTGATGGTTTATAAAGTTTATTAACCCATCTATAGCTCTTATCACCATAATACCTAGGTACCGTAGCTATGTTCACCAACTTAACTATGGGGCAACAGCCAAGAATGATTAAGTTGGTTATACCATAGTGTGTATATATATATATATACTATGATATTCACATTAGATTCCCATTGGAAACATTATATAAATTATAAATATATATATATATGGATAAGATACGTCATGTGGAACTCAAATGACCTACAGCAAAGAACACCAAGCTGGTACCATCTCATCTTCCATCATATTCCCATTTGATTCCCATTAGATCCTGTTGGAATCGGAAACACTATATGGACAATATAGGTCACCTACACAAACACAAAACATCATTCACTTGGCTATACCATGGTACAGTGCATTATATTCCCATTAGGTCCCATTGGAAACATTATATGGATAATGTACATTTATCTACACTATATCAACATGTCAATTCTATATCATATACAATCTACAATCAGCCTCAGCTACTTACAAATTAACTCAGCTATCGTTTGGGGGGGACGCTTCTCCATGAAAAAAATATTTTTCATTTCCCCATGAGACAAGTTGGTTTATGGTATCCCTTATAAACCAACGACTTATATCACTAGATTCTCATTAGATCCCATTGGAAACATCATTACATGGATAGCAGGATAGCAGGATAGCAAATTTGAATCAAAACCGTTCCAATCATCTAAATTGTCCAATTCCCACTACTAGTAAAGTAGATATACCAGTAGATATAAGCGTGATAATAGTATATAGATAATACAATGATAATAGTAGATACTACAATGATTGTTTAGTAGATATACCACTAGATCCACTAGACATAACCATGATACCATTACTAGAACCATCTTGTAGATATATAACCATGATAATGCCATGAATAAACATGATAATACCATGAATGACCATGATAATACTGGTCATATCACTGGCCATCTCAGGAACCTAAATTGAAGGTACCTACCATCTATAAGGCCTATGTAAGGCCTATGTAAGGGAATATACCCCCAAAATATGGCCTTATATGGTACAGTACCTCTACTCTAGGATCCTGAAATTCCCATTGATCATATATTGATAACAGATATATTTACTTGTTACATGGTATATATGTCTTTCTCTTTCCACAGAAAGGCCTCCAGCAGACGATGTTGATCCCCCGCGAGTCTGTCTCAAGGTCACCCAGCAGCACCGGCAGCCCAGGCAGCGTCAGGCCGATCTCCTGACGTCGTGCTGGGGTGGTGAACTAGTTCACCAGAATGTATATGATATGTTACTAATATTAATTGATTATGTATATATGAGTCCGGACTCCGGATCCCTGGCCCCACCCCCCCCAAATGGTATGGTCCCCCAAGCCCATGCCCTCGGGAACACGGGACACGGGACCATACATACATACATGCATGCATGCATGCATGCATCCATCCATCCATCCATCCATCCATCCGGATGCATCCATCCGGATGCATCCATCCGGATGCATCCATCCGGATGCATCCATCCATCCATCCATCCTTCCATACATACATACATACATACATACATACATACCTATCCACCTACCTACCTACCTACCTACATACCTACATACCTACGTACCTACGTACACACGTACATACATACATACATACCTACCTACCTACCTACATACATACATACATACCAACATACATACCAACATACATACCAACGTACATACCAACATACCAACATACCCACATACCAACATACCACCACCACAGGCCACAGGGGGGGAACCATACCACCACCACAGGCCACAGGGGGGCGGGGGCCAGAAGACCACCATCCCAGGCCACAGGGGGGGGAAAACCATGGGGGGGGAGGGGGGCTTGGGAGTCCTGGGTCATATATACTGGTTGGTGGTTTTAACCATCTTGAAAAATATGAAAATCAATGGGAATGATTATCCCATATATTATGGAAAATAAACAATGTTTGAAGCCACCAACCAGTATATATATATATATATGTAAATCTATTGCTTCATAATTAGTATGTAAGATTATGTAAGTATTAAACAGAATTATACATGCAGTATATAAGTTTGGGTTAACAGGTTTATCCCATATACCATTCCCCTGAACTAACACCCTGAGTATCGCCCCTGGCGCGAGACAGGAGTCCAGCCCAGCCTTACAGTAATCCACCATGGTGGATGTAGGGGTTGTTTAAGGACTGCATGGGGGAAGGGTTTGGCTGATTTATTCCACTATATGTATTCCCATTAGTTAAAACATACATCCCATTAGATCCCACCATTTGTTGATTCTTAAATCACAGTTGTTGATGGTTAAATCGACAACTATCGACAATTATTGTGGTTAAATCAATGTAAATCACCCATGTTTCACCAAGTTTCACCCAGCAAATTTGCTTGGACCAGTCACCCCCACGCTATCATCGCTGCCTTGCCAATCGAGATTGCCGTCCCTGCAGCATCACCAGTAATCATAACCTGGGCATCCGAACCACGTGGCACGGGGGATTCCTCGGCCATTTGGAACCAAGATTTTCACCATGAAAACCGCAGGTGCAAATAGGGAAAATGGATGGAAATGACTCCTTCTGTGGTTATCCACTGTTAAACCACCAAAAAATAAAGTTGAACCAAAACAGCTGCACATCTTTTTTATATTTTTGTCCATAAATGGACCCCTCTTTTGGACTCTTTTGGTTCTGAACTTCACCAGTCTCAGCATCACAGGCCCTTTTTCATTTCCGCTTCCCCCAGCAGTCGCCCAGAAACACTTCGGACGTCGCCGCTGCGCAGGCGTTCGATGGTCTCGGCCGTGTCTTCGCGCGCAGGGTTTTTGAAGAGAAGCAGACCTCCCGCCGATATTTGGAGGATGGTCTACGTGGATAGTCACCACCATTACCCTCTGGCAAACTAACAAAAAACTATGGAAAATCACCATTTTTAATGGGTAAATCCACTATAAATGGCCATTTTCAATAGCTATGTTTGTTTACCAGAGAGTATAACCCAGTGATGCATGGAATAACTGGGAATAGCAAAAAAAATGTGCTGGCAATCACTAATTCCAAGGCCAAGAACCAGGGCTATTAGCTTATAATCACAGTTATAATGAATGGTTATTAACCACTGACTACATGGGATGATACTCCAAGTTTCCAATTGCAGGATTTTGCTAGATCCCCCTGGCCAGAACTTAAGTTGTTTGGCAGGGTACATGGTGGTTCCAAGTTCCACTAACTACTACCTGTAGCACAAACACATCCCATAATATAATCGTACATAATCTATATATCTATAGCATTCACCAGTCGGTTTCCACAAATGGTTTGGTTCACACATCGACTTAAATTTCAGAACGAACTTCAGCAACCAGTGGTTCACTTGTCTGCTGAAACAACTTTTAGTTGGATTTTTCCTCAGGTTTTGCTCACTGGCAAGCACTCTAAAACTAGGTGAGCAAACTTTACCAGTATAGTTTTCGAACATTGTCTCCCATTAGTTAGACTTAGAATTATAAGCAAATAGGCTCCACCTGATTTTTTGGAAATAGAATCCCCCAAAATCCACCAGTTAGTTTTTATGTTCCCTATTACTTGTCAAATGCCACAAATTCTTCAGTTTATAAAACTGTTTAGTCTTGTACCCCTTATTATTTATTTGTCTTTTCCTTCTTAAAATATTTACACTCTCACTAAAACCTCTCCAGATGCACTAGGAATATATTTGGGAATCAATTTCGAATTGAAACAATATTCTCCAAGATTCATTCCCCCTAGCCGTATTCCCATTTACACCCAATAAAAGATCCCATTACACATCATTAACCATTATACCATACACTTCTGAAGCGCATTTTCTGTGTCCTTTCGATCCCTCGTCACGAGCTGGAATGGATTGAACGTGAAGCTGTATGGTCTTGTCTCTTCCGGCTTTTGATGGTGCCAAATTGGCTGTCGTAGTCAAATTGGTTTCTGTTCAGGCGTGGAATGGGGTTTTGCAGTACCAGCCGCCAACTTTTCCCATAGTCCGGATTGGCCAGGTTGTTATTTGGTCCCCATATCATGTTCTATTCAGAAATATGGCTGAAGAAATCTGGAGGAATGCCCCTCAGAGCCAACCATGCCAAGGGCTCTGCCACACAGACTTTTTGTTGTGGCTGGTTCAATATCCCCTGAGTCTGGCAAAGATTCTTGAGAGATTTAGCCGTTGTCTGCCAAATTGGTGGATCACTTCGGTAGTAGTGCGCCTGGATTTGTTTCCCTTCATGATTCAAAGGTGGATGGGTGCCAGGATTGGACGGCTGAGCCATTTTTTTGAAGCCCTCGTCCTGGATGCGCTTTTGGACCATGGAACTGATCGCAGACATGCCATCCTGACCCTCGCTCTAGATTCGAGTCTAAAGCTATAGCTTTAGTCTGTGTAGACAGGCCCTGCAGGTCTCTGGGAAGACACACCACAATCCAACGGTACCAATGTCGAAATGTCTGCTTCTGCGGCTATCAAGGCTGTGTAGAGCCATAGAGGTAGCTCTCTGCTGAACATCCGAACTTGCCGAACTCTTTTCATGGTCAAACCCAACGTTTTTGTTGGCAAAACCCCATAATTATTCTATTGGTCAAGCCTTCATGCTTGGGATGGTGAAAGTATCCGCACCCCCCGAGTTATAAGTTGGTTTGTAACCCCATCTATAGATATATTCCACATATGTGACTATAAACAACTAACCCCAAGTTGTTATACTTAACCCCGTCTATAATAGTCACTAAAACAGTTGCTATCTATAGTTATATATAATAGGTATGGTACTAAAACCAAAGAAAACGAAATAAAACTCCTGAGCTCCCTCCTAACCACTCGATAGGTAACCACCAGTTATCAAGTTCTATCTATACAGGGTTAATGATCCAATTGTTATGAATCAATTATTACCTGGATAGATAACCACTGGATTGTTAATAATCATTTTTTATGAACAATTCACGAGTTATTACAATAACTATTATTACTATAACCGCCAGTTATTGACTATCTTTATTATCTATGAAAAAAAGGGAACTTACTTATCTATGAATTTCAAGGGGTCACTATATATCTATATTACAAATCAAAACTATCATCCCAAACAAGTCCTAAAAGATGTTTTTGCCAACGGACTCGTTACCATCGCACAAATCCACATCCGGTACCCTGGGGAAGGGTGGGGTGGGGTGGGGTGGGGTGGGATAATAACGTCATTGGCATTTCCACATGAACCTGATGCTACGCTCTATGACCTTCAATTGCAATTCCACATGAACTTGATGCTACGCTCTATGATCTTCAATTGCAATTCCACACATCCGCATCCGATAGTCTGGGTGGGGTGGGGTGGGGTGGGGTGGGATAATAACGTCATTGGCATTTACACATGATCTTGATGCTACGCTCTATGATCTTCATTGGCATTTCCACATGATCTTGATGCTACGCTCTATGATCTTCATTGGCATTTCCACATGAACCTGATGCTACGCTCTATGATCTTCAATTGCAATTCCACATGATCTTGATGCTACGCTTTATGATCTTCAATTGCAATTCCACATGATCTTGATGCTACGTTCTATGATCTTCAATTGGCATTTCCACATGATCTTGATGCTACGCTCTATGATCTTCATTGGCATTTCCACATGATCTTGATGCTACGCTCTATGATCTTCACTGGCATTTCCACATGAACCTGATGCTACTCTCTATGATCTTCAATTGCAATTCCACATGAACTTGATGCCACGCTCTATGATCTTCATTGGCATTTCCACATGATCTTGATGCTACGCTCTATGATCTTCATTGGCATTTCCACATGAACTTGATGCTACGCTCTATGATCTTCAATGTGAGAAAAAGTTGCGGTTGCCCTTTTTGAGGCTGAAGTGATGGAAGGGTTGTCATTACCAAAGTAGACGGACCTTTTTTTTCGATAGGTTTTGAATGCAATAACTGGCTCCTCGCTGTGAGGAAGTAGTAAATTTGATCATTTTCGCACGCCGGTAACGCTTCCGCCGGGATGTTTTTGAACAGTTTGTAAATAGATTATAACTTATAACTATACAATCCCCAGCAACCTCCCCATCCTGAGGATGTCGTGTTGTCGAATATGATAGGAGACATTGCAGAAATTAATGCGTATGCGTAGTGTTTTCTGGTTTAGGATTCGATGTTTTCAGGGTTTAGGTTTCAGGTTTTATGGTTTTGGGGGTTAGGGTTCGTCGGTTGGGTAATCTCAAAACATTGGCTGATTAACAGAAGACTCCATCTATTTAAATAACAGAAGACTCCATCTATTTAAATAACTAGATTTTGGCTGATTTTAGTTAATGCCCGTATGAGATCCTGGTATCTTGCGTTCTCTGTATCACAGGCTCAATTAAAATTCGCGATGTCACAGCGGAACTAGGCACTGTCGCAGAGCAGAATAACGGCTCAACCCCTTGTGTGAATACAACCTATTCTAGTTGGAATCTTCTGGCGTAAAGTTGACTGGGGTTCCGCCCATTGTAGCGTTCCGACCCTTTCTTCAATTCACACAAGTGAATCATTAGAGCTTGCACAGATTGGTCTTGTGTTGATGCCTGCCCTGGACCCATCCAGCAATTCAAAAACTTCCGTGTACAGGAAGCAGCTCATTGCTAAATAAAATACATCCGAAATCTACTCGTTGCGTCGTAGAATAAAAATTGGCCATCACGCCATGGAAGCCCTGCCGGTCTTTACGCCATAATACATTTGGGCGCATCTTGCAGCAGCAAAAATATAATGCCCAAATGCAACTTAGTCCCAAATGCCGACATAAACTACCCGGCGGATCGAAAACCGTGCTCACGAAAAAAAACAAATAAAAAATGTCTGTTTTACCACAGCGAGACCTTTGTGCCTGGCACACAAAGCTTTTGGGATGAATTGTTTGCAGCTCGTCCACGCAGCATCAATAGTGCCTGTATGGCAAGCATTCCAGAGATCTCGGCAGCGTAGCAACATATAACGTGGCAAGCATTCCAGAGCTCTCGGCAGCGTAGCAACATGTAACGTGGCAAGCATTCCAGACGTCTCGGCAGCGTAGCAACAACATGTAACGTGGCAAGCATTCCAGAGATCTCGGCAGCGTGGCAACATGTAACGTGGCAAGCATTCCAGACCTCTCGGCAGCGTAGCAACATGTAACGAGGCTAGCATTCCAGAGATCTCGGCAGCGTAGCAACATGTAACGTGGCAAGCATTCCAGAGATCTCGGCAGCGTAGCAACATGTAACGTGGCAAGCATTCCAGAGCTCTCGGGAGCGTAGCAACATGTAACGTGGCAAGCATTCCAGAGCTCTTGGCAGCGTAGCAACATGTAACGTGGCAAGCATTCCAGAGATCTCGGGAGCGTAGCAACATGTAACGTGGCAAGCATTCCAGAGATCTCGGCAGCGTAGCAACATGTAACATGGTCAAGCATTCCAGAGATCTCGGCAGCGTAGCAACATGTAACGTGGCAAGCATTCCAGAGATCTCGGCAGCGTAGCAACATGTAACGTGGCAAGCATTCCAGAGATCTCGGGAGCGTAGCAACATGTAACGTGGCAATCATTCCAGAGATCTCGGCAGCGTAGCAACATGTAACGTGGCAAGCATTCCAGAGATCTCGGCAGCGTAGCAACATGTAACGTGGCAAGCATTCCAGAGATCTCGGGAGCGTAGAAATATGTACTGTACGCACTAGACAGAACGTTAACACCCCCACCCCACCCCACCCCCCCACCCCACCCCAACATAACCCCCCACATCCCATTAGCAAAAATGTGCGTTTTATAAGCACGGTTTTCGATCCGTAGGCATAAACTAGTATGGCTGGTTTTCAACACATTGTCACCTCCATGACCAGATCACGAATATGCCACAAAAACCGTCTGTAACCCTGCTTCCACCGCAAACCTGCTAATTGGTTTCTCTGAAATATTGCCATTTGTAGTTGGTTTACCTGTTGAAAATGGTGGTTTACCCAGTATTAACCACTATTAAGCATCATTATCCACTATTAACCACGAGTACGAGCGTCTCCAGCATCTCGTATGATGGTAGTAGCCTCGCCTCCCTGAAGATACTCAGCAAGTGAGCCCGGCTCTAATCGTCCGCTTTAATCCTGTCGCAGTAGCCGCCGGTGTGCTCGAGCGGGGCGTTCACACCTACAGGGCGCCTAAACTCATCAGCAATTATCCCTGCTCGAAGCTGAGAGTCAGCTTGAAATGCGGGCGCTGCAGAGTACCACGCCGGCGAGTACTCCTTGAAGGACGCCAGTTTCAACAGCTGGTACAATGCGACCGACCCTGCGGTTCGACCTATGGCGTCGTACCCTTCTATTATCCCATTCTCATCCCTATAAAAACCATATTAGGGATTATAATAATCCAATAACATACCATATAATGATTATTAACCCCCTCAGCCCCGGCGCCGCGCGGCCGCGCCTAGCAACGTCAGCTCCCGCTCCGCCTCCGCGCGCTCCGACGGCACCTCGTCCGGCTCCAGCGGCCGCGCGGCCACGGCCAGGACGTACATGCCGCTGTAGGCGTGGGCCGAGGCGACCTGGATGGGCTGATGGGGTTGATAGTATGTGTGAATAATATATATATATATATAATTATGTATACCTGTATACATTGTTTATCCTCTGAATTGTATGTATATAGATACTACCAACTACATAATATATATATATATATATGTTATGTATGTATATATATATGTGTTATGATCATCGTATTTGGATCTATTTTAAAGGCATTTGATAGCGGACAAATGGCTACAACGTGTATATATATCCTAATATCATTGCATGGGATGAAAAATGGTTTGTTTATGAAGATTTGCTAATATAGTATAACATATGTACTACATATATACCAAGAGTATGTGTGTATGTACACGGATACATATATAAGTATTGTCAATATATTACACATGTAAATCTATAATTCAACATTTATTATCTAACATATACATACATAATCAAAACCTGGAGGTAGTTTGCTTTGCCATTGAATATTCATATATATATATAATATGAGTGGTGGACAAAATTACTTACTACCTGTAATTGACATGGCCAAAGTGGGTGGTCCCCTATCGGTTGTGAAGGTTTTCGCACGGTTTCTCATATGACCTGAAATAAACAAGTTTTTTTGGCGATATAAACAACTAATGATCACCAGCTAATTAAGTCCATAGTCAATCTAAGTTTCTATTTGCCTAGTCCAGGCACCTAGTGGAAATCAAGGAAATAGTGAAATTAGGAAACAAATGAGCAAACAATTGCTTGGGTACAAATACTGTAAAAAAACAGGCAAAAATGGAGGGATAGAAATCGTGAGTTTGACCGTCCGGCCATTTATTTTCCTATGTGTGTCTATTTGTCCCTATGTGGTTCCTATTGTTTTCCTATAGTTTTTCTCTAATGTGTTTATGTTTATGCCCTGTTTAAACTATGTTTATAATTTTGTCGAGATTATTGCGCATTTTCCCTTCCACAGAAATTCTAGCAAACTTTCTGAATTCATTTTTGACAACACATTTTTTCCTGGTTTTCTCCTAGTCTTTTGCAGCAAATTGGGATCTCCAGCAACAATTTTCCCCTAGAAAAGGTGATCTCTTTGCCGGGAAACTCATTGATATCTGTTTTTGTTTCCATTGCCATGTTTGAGTTTGAGAACACCGGAGGGTATCAACTCATATTCTAATATCAACTAATATTTGGTTGGTTAAATCTAAAATTCCCATGAAACCTCCATATTGAAATCATGTGAAATCCCTTAGAGCCACGGTACCCGCCACCTGTGCCGTGGCATCCGACGCCTGAGCAAAGTTCTCCGGCACAGAGTCAGGCCGGCAGAGCTGCAGCACGTGTTCGAAGCTGCCTTTGCAGAAGATTCCTGCGGATCTGGAGGCTCAGACCATGGGTTAATATGGTTTAATAGGGTTTAAAAAGGATTAATAGGGTTCAATATGGTTTAATGTTGATAGGGTTTTAATAAGATTTAATATGGTTTAATAGGGTGTCATATGTTTTTAATGTAGTTTAATAAAGTTTAAAAAGGGTCTAATATGGTTTAATAGGGTTTAATATGGTTTCAATATGGTTTAATAGGGTTTCATATGTTTTTAATGTAGTTTAATAAAGTTTAAAAGGGTTTAATATGGTTTAATAGGGTTTAATATGGTTTCAATATGGTTTAATAGGGTTTTAAAGCCTTTAGCAGGGTTTAATATGGTTAAATACGGTTTTAATCTAGTTTAATAGTTTAAAACAGGGTTTAATATATATATATATATATAGCTTAATAGGATAGGGTTTAACATGGTTCAACAGGGTTTATATAATATGGTTTCATAGGGTTGAATATATTTTTAATATAGTTTGATAGGGTTTAATATCGCTACCCTTTTAAGATAGGGGAACGTATCCTAAATGTAAACTACATTTTAGACGTATTTAAGGGAGGGTGACGTAATAATTGTTAACTTTCATTTTTTTCAAAGTACGTTCTAATTGCTGCAAACCTTCATTTTAGTAGGTCCACCCCTCTGTCCGCAATGTCCTAAAAAACCTAGGGGGACGTTCAACATGTAAACTTGCATATTTGAAAAAATATAAGAAGGTCAAAAAATGTAAAAGTATAGTTTAAAGGTCTGCAAATAGCTGCAGAATTGCAGAACATCAAAAATGTAAACTAAAAAATAGTAGGACCCCGAACTGCTTGGTATTTCCAATACATTCTACACGTTGTGTACACTTTTTTGATCTTTTTTGATCATTTCCACATGTAACATAGAGGTATGAGGTATATGATTCCTCGCAAATTACTGGAAAATCCTTGAACTTCAAACAACTCTAAAATGAGATGTTGAAGGTATTCAAATTTACCTCCTACAGTACCTATGGAAGAACAATAGAATACAAATAAAGATCTCAAATGGACCTCAAATGGACCTCAAATGAACTTTTATGGGGTCCCCATGGTAAACCCCCTTTATGTACCTACTTGATCGAACTTAAACACCCTTCTGCCACGGTTCCTGTCTAGCCCCCCCTTATGACTCTCCAGCCATAACATAATAACAATCTAGACATGTGTCACGTTGATGCTGAAAGGAATTATGGAAACTGAGGTGTAGGATGGTTACAGGATTCTACCTTATCTTTACTGTACCTTATTTTTTGAGCACTTTCTGAAGGGAATTAAGGACCTCAGGTGTAGTATGGTTACATTTGTCTATCTCTTCTTTTACCTTCTTTTTTAGCACTTTCTGTAAGGAATTAAAGACCTCAGGTGTAGTATGGTTACATTTGTCTATCTCATCTTTACCTTCTTTTCAAGCACTTTCTGAAAGGAATTGCCTCAGGTATAGGATTGTTACATGATCCTATCTTATCTTTACCTGCTTTTTTGAGCGTTTTCTGAAAGGAATTATAGTCCTCAGGTGCAGGATGGTTACATTTTTCTATCTTAGTTTTCCCTTTTTTTTCGAGCACTTTCTGCAAGGAACTATGGACCTCAGACCTCAGACATAGGTTGATTACACCCCCGCAAAGACACCTCACAAAAAGTTTACGAACTGCTTGCGGACATTCAACATTTTTACCTCTCCCCCCCCTATTCATAGAGTACGGGGCGGGGGGAATGGCGGGGGGGGTACGGGGCTATTACGGACTTTCGACCGCCACCCTCAAAATGTAAGTCCGTTTGTGCTTGTTTTTGGACCTAGGGGGGTCTAACATACAAATAGCCGTCCCCCTCGGGTGTTTTTTCCGAGGGGGTCAAAATTGTAGCTTACATTTTGTGTACCTCCCCTTCTTTACACCCCATGAAAAGGGTGGTGATGGTTTGATATAGTTTTGATATAGTTTAATAGGGTTTAAACGTGTTTAGCAAGGTTTAATATTGTTTAAACGTTAAATATTGTTTTAATCTAATTTAATAGAGTTTAACAGGGTTTAAGATTGTTTTAATATACGTATGTAGTTCAATAGGGTTTAATAGGGTTTAATGGGATTTTGAATGGTTTAAAAGGGTTTAATATGGTTTAACAGGGTTTAATATGGTTTAAATGGGATAATAATGATCATAATATGATCAATATTGATAGTAGTGAGATGGGCCATGGGGCCATGAAATATTGATAACTCAACGATGTGTCAAATTTTTATAGACGAATAAATCATTCATTATAGAAAGAACCATGATTCACCGTCCCTGATCTTTAGATCTCTCCCCACAAAACGGTCAATGGTGATCTCGGTGATCTGGGATAAATGTGGCATGCCCCCAAAACAACTTTCTATTTTGATTTACTCCCCACAGTGTTAGAACTAGGGAAAAAATGGCATGGTTCAGTCTTGAGATTTCTGCACTGACTGGAAAGTTAGGAATGTTTTGGTATATCCCAAGCCACCTGGTCCATTTCGTTGATACATTGCCGTCTGGAGACGATGGTGCTTGGGTGATTGTCCATAATCAAATGGTCTCTGAGGGTCACAAGCTTCCAAGAACATCCCAACGAACAAGGATATACAATACAAACAGAGTTGAATAGATTGTGTATGTGTACATTTAAACATATATCATTTGCTAGAATATATTACATGTGTATGCATATAAAGAATATGTATATATATATATGATACACTATTATAATATGCATATATTTATAACACATATTCTAGATATCATGTGTAAATATGTGTAATTAAGAAAAAAAACTAAACAAACACAGAGAAATCGGTATCTTCACCTCTCCATTGCTCTCACTCCGCTGTCCCTCCGCTTTCCTCGCTCTCCGGATGGAAGGTGTTGCACCACTGCGCTCATGGTCATGGTGCTGTGGGAGAAATCGAAACGCTTCCTGGCTGAAACTTCTGCCGTTTTTTTCGGCCCGAACTGTTGGGTAAATGCATGCGCAAAATGGGGCTGTGACTAGGTATGACTAGATATACTTATATATGGAGATGTAAGTAAAGTATATACATTGATGTACCTTACTACTATACAGATTGATGGGCAAACAAAGAGCAATTCAACCGCCACATGCAATGCTAACATTGCCAGGCAACCAAAGGAAAAAAGTCAAGTCTTCAAAATGAATCGTGTAGGTACAGGTCGAACACAAGCCCGAGGGCACCACAATTGGCGGGGACATTTTTTTAGCAACACATCTTACTTTGGAAAAAAAACAAACAATTGATGCACATCAAAGTACACCCCAAAAAACAATAAAGTATGTAATCATATACATATGTATGTATGTATGTATGTATGTATGTATGTATGTTTGTATGTTTGTATGTTTGTATGTATGTATGTTTGTATGTTTGTATGTATGTATGTATGTTTGTATGTTTGTATGTTTGTATGTTTGTATGTTTATGTGTTGTATGTATTGTCTTTGTCTGTAGTGGTTATGTATGTATGTAGGTATGTCCGGTGTGTCGGTCTGTCTGTCTGTCGGTCTGGTAGTCTGTTGTGTATGTATGTATGCATGCATGCATGTATGTATGTATGTATATATATATATATGTGTGTGTGAGTCATGTTAGTGTCATAGAACCTTCGTGCATTCATATCCCCTTGTTTGGTTTTGTACATTGGAATGTCTTCCCAAAATATTAACAAGAAAACACCCAGATGTGATCTCAAAATTGAGAGATCTAACAAATATAGCATAAACTTAGAGTTAGAGTCAGTTAGAGGTTTCCGGACGGTTGCTTAATGACACATGACATCTCCATATTTATGTTTCAAGCTGCTCCAAATTCCGAAACACCAACGACTTTGACCCCTTGCCATCACCGGTGATGCTTCCACCAAGCAGCTCGATCTCAATCTGATCGGATGAGGACACCACGCGCGACTGGGAGGAGAGGCTCCAGCCGGACGCCTTGAACATATTCCTGAGCAGCTGTGAAGACAAGTTAATGCGATGACATAGTTACAAACCAAGAGTCAACTGGAATCCGGAAAAGTGATAGTGATGCCAATAAATCTGGCAGATGTGTAAAAGCAAAACGATATGTGGAACAAACTGAAAACATGTGCTCCCCTGAGCCTCAAATTGGTCTTCCAACCCCACATGGTTTGCGCGTCAAAATCGAATGCCTGTAGTAAGCCACTTTGATTCTACATGACTAACCTCATTTGCCATCCCCCCACAAAATATTTGATTAGGATAATGATATGCCTCTCTTGAATTACATGACCAAAGCTTACAAGGTGGTGTGTTTATCAAACCCATAAACTATAGATGTATCTACACAACAAAAGCCATACCACATATTAATACATAGTTATGTCTAAAAAAACAATTTAGCTCTCATAAATCAGTTGTACCAACACTCAATCTCCCATGTTTTGTTGGTTAACATGCTTAAACAATATACATTGGAGACTACCTCAGCCACAACTTTTTCACTTCACCAAGGGGCACTTCCACAGCATTGCCAACGACACCTACGTGGGCTTCATGACCGGAGATTCCACGACACCCGACAAATGGAGCTGTGGGCAACCCATATGGAATAGTGGTCCCAGAAAAACATATGGAAAATAAGATCCCATTAAATATTTAATGTAGTAAACTAGTAGTAAACCATGGTGTTGATAAAACTCTTTTTGGTGGTGATGTGGTAAAGCCCCAACAATAAATCATCGCCATTTGGGGTGAAAAATGGCCGCTAGTGCTACTGGGATGGTTTGGCTGATGGGGTTTACCAAAGATCAAATTACCATACGGCTATGAGTCAAAACATAGTACCAGGAACCCCAAAATATCTGGTTAATGGATGGTTATCCCCTGAAAACAATGGCAAATTACAGGTTTTGATCAATCCCCATAATAAACTCCATTATTAATGTGGAAACATAAAAAAAACATCGGGGAATCGCCCAAAAAAATTGGTTGGTCTTTTTTTGGGGGGAAGATGCAGCTCATGGCTTTCGAGTGTTTCCAGTAGATTGGGCCGTATAACTCCCATATACCATCTGGTAATTTAACAGTTTGCTATTGAACATGGCCTTAGAAATAGTTGATTTACCCAGCTATAAAATGGTGGATCTTTCCACAGTTTTTTGTATGTTTACCAGAGGGTATATACCTATTAAACCCATATTAGAGTTGATTTTCCCATGCAAACATCCATTAAATCATGGGCATTTCCCATTAAATTAGACGAAAATCATCAACCAACGCAGGGATTTGTTGAAATAACTCCATTAATCCCGATCTGTGGGCACAGACCTCGCCCCAGCTTGCAGGTGTCACAGCAAAACAACCATTTTCGTGAATCAATGAAGAAAGTAAGCTGCTTGGTGGTTGACCTACCCCTCTGAAAAATATGAAAGCCCAGTTGGGATTATTATTTCCAATATATGAAATATTGGTCAGTTGGGATTATTATTCCCAACTGAATGGAAAAATAAAAAAAATGTTTGAAACCACCAACCAGTAATGGTTGATCTGGGTGAATCATTGATCATCATCGGTACCTCATGGGATATCTAATATATGATACAACAGGGATATACCCACCAGGACACCAGCAGAGCTATGATAGCTATGGTATGGCCCATAGAAATAGATGACTTAGCCACTTTCAGAATGGTAATTCTTCTTGCTGGAGCTTCGCCGGTCGAAGGAGTCGACATCTTCTCGACTCTGTGAGACTCTGAATCCGTTGTGCTCACAAGTCTCAGTGCAAACGCAAGAAACCCAAACTGGTTGTAAAGGATTACAAACTTACAGCCCGGCTGCTAAACATCTACAACAATTATGTTGTATAGTAAACAATGCTTATCTTTAGTCGCATATTGATATGATTTTCATTTCGGCAAAACAACTGTCTTACGTCCCTTACGTCCCACATCACCATATTATCCCAATTCTTGTCCCCACTTAGTCACTAGCCTCCAACATAGCTATCGCCAATTACCATTCTGAAAGTGGGTAAGTCATCTATTTCTATGGGCCATCTATACCATAGCTATCATAGCTCTGCTAGTGTCCTGGTGGGTATATCCCTGTTTTATCATATTAGATTGGCCCATGAGGTATCGATGATGATCAATGATTCACCCAGACTAACCATGACTTTCCCCATTAAAACCAGCATTTTCTTATACGTCCAAATGATGATCATAATGATTGAATATTATTAATAACCCCAATAAATCACCAGTATTCGTTCCCGCTAATCATGATTTGTTCCCCAATATTTCCATCCTATTTCATCACTTAATGGTGAATCACCACGATGTTCACCATAAAATCACCATTTCTTCAGCACGGGTGTCTTGGAGGCTACAACGCCGCCACGCGGCCACGCCTGCTTCGCTTTTTGCAAAGGGCGACAGCGAGTGAGCGCTGGCCAAGCAGCAGAGAATCTCCAGATCCTTGGGGGTGAAATGGGTGGCGACAGGAGGATTTTCAAATTTCCACATAGCTATAAATTGACAATAATGGTTAATGGTGATTAATGGTGATTAATGGTGATTAATGGTGATTAATGACAATTCATGGGACTTATCCTCTGGTAATTTAACAGTTTGCTATTGAAAATGGTTATTTATATTTGACTTACCCATTAAAAAATCAGATTTTTCTAAAGTTATGTCAGTTTACCAAAGGGTAAACAAGTATACTGGGATATCCAAGTATTGGGATATACTGGGATATCCCAATGTAATATCATATAATACTTGTTCAAGTTTCTCTAGATATCCAAGTACTCCCGTTAGAATTGGGTTATAATGGGAACAATGGGATTAATACTCGGGATAAACATGCGTTATAATGACTAGTCATCATGAATTAGATAGACTTTGTTTTTCTGTTCATGTTCTACCTATTTGAGGGTGACTATACAATACTATATACACACACACATATGATCACACATTGTTTATACCATCATGAAGCGTTTGACACCAATATAAGTTGGAAATAACGGTACAACTGTGAGCCATAGGATAATATGGACAATGGTAAATATTTTTGTTTAATACGTGTATAATATATATATATATGTACATACATACATAAATTATATATGATTATATATGCATACAAAATCACGTGTATATTAAAAAAATACACATACGGATACAAATAAACAAGGTGATGCCCCCAACCCAGTCATGTAGACCTTCGATATATCTACCATCAACCCCTAACTTACTATCACGGGTTGCCCACTGTTAGTGGATGGAAGCTATGTCTAATGTAATGTTAGTTTGTAATGTGTGATGATGTGTGATGGTATGTGATAGTATTTTACGTATATGGCTAATGATCAAAATCCCTTTTGCCCACTGATTTTCCCATATGTTCTATCAACAAACACTGTGGTGGTGATCAATTCTTGCCAGCGCACAGTATCAACTCTTTCCTGCATCCTGCGCCTCGATACTCACTAAACAACAAGTAATTTATCTGTTTATGATTCCACTTAGATTATCCATAAAAGACATTAAAAGACATGAAACTTCGCGTTTTCATATGTTTTCATCCATCATGTTTATCCGAGTCATGGTCTTTTTTTCACTGGCCATTTTTTCGAGAACCTACCGCCCACCATCAAGCGATGACCTCGGACCGATTTGTTCTACGTAGTGTCCTGGCAGCTGATGCTGATGTTCATTATCACTTTTATAATACTTTTATCACTTATCACACTCATCAAACCTATGAATCACACAATATCAGAAACATATTACATGTGATGATACCAAATGAATTCTCTCGTAGCTTTGTATGGACCGTTATTTGATGATCAATATGAAACCATGACATAATTTTATATGATGAATATGCTTCAGCATAGATGATACCATACTAATTCAATCTAATTCACATCCACCAAGCTGCACCGCTTCCCGGTCACCCATGGGTGCAGCGAGTTTCCCAGTCACCGCGTCGCGGCTGTTCCTCCAAGCCGACCGGGCTGCCGTTGCTGCTCAGCCGAGGGGAGGAGAAGGGGCCCGGAGCTGTGGACGTAACGCTCTGGCCGTTGCCTGCGCCAAGATTCAACACCTATATAGGTCAGAGGGGTTGGTGGTAGGTATTGGCATATACATCTTATATATATATATATATATATATACATCTTAATATATACAGTCTACATATACTATTAATATATCATACTATTCTGTACTATTCTATATCATTCTAGTATATTCTAGTTGTTGTCAATGAAGTTTTGACACCGGCTTTGATCGAAAAACATCTTGCGCTTGGGCAAGCTATGGCAAGCCACCCGCCGTATTCTCCGATCGGGCTAATGAAACCCAATGAGAAATTTCAGAAACCATCCCAATTTGGCCAGAAAATACGGTTTATTATCATTGTATTTACCTCATGAAAACCATTTTTTTAAGCGTGACTAAAGCGTCAATGTTTCAGCTGTCATGTGGTTAACTCTATTCGTAGCTCCAACTGGCTCCCCCCAAAACAGGGTTTTTTTTAATAGATATCTATTGTCTTTTTATATAATAGGTACCCATAGATACCCATAGATACCCATAGATACCGATACCTATATAATAGATACCTATAGATACCCATATATGATACCCGTAGTTCCTAACGATAATAGATAGCCATATAGTTCCTTATTATACCTATAGCCTATAGATAATACCCTCTGGTAATTTAACATAGCTATTGAAAATCACCATTTTTAGTGGGTAAATCAACTATAATGGCCATTTTCAATAGTTATGTTAGTTTACCAGAGGGTAAGACAATAGATACCTATATCCATAGATACCCATAGTTCCTGTTACCGCTCCCTCCCCCGGATGACCCATGTGGACCGCCTGGACACGCCACGCAATGGACTCCAAAGAATTCCAGACCTGGACCCGCAACGACCCGCAATGGACTCAGGAACTACCGAGGGATCTTACACAAACTACATAAACCCCAACATTACCATCCGGTACGCTAACAGTTAGCTATTGAAAATGGCTCATTTATAATTGATTTACCTACTATTTTAGTGGTGATGTTCCAGTTTGCAAACTCTTAGATGATGTTAGTTTACCAGAGAGTTAATTGTACTCATCGTTGATAAATCCACAAAAATATGGTACACCTCCATATACCCCGACCATGACCATGGGATAAATTCATGGGATAGTTAACGGCCGGTTCTGGGGATGATTCCCCATTTTTCAGCATCATGAAAAGGTGACGTCATGATATGTCATGATCAAATCCATCCAAATGAAATAATGCAACAGTAATTGCTGACTAGACATGTGCATTATCTCAAGGCAACCAGGGATTTTGAGTATCTATCTCAGTTATTGTTAGTCTGACTCAGGGTAAACTAAAAACAGAAATGGTATAGCTTCAACATCGAGGGCACCAACAGACCCACTAAAGCCTGTTCATCCTTTGCTTTAGGGCATCATGATAACTTTGAGCTCTCAATTGCTATTTTGTTTGGAGAATGGGAGGAATGGAGTAGGAATGGAACAACACCGTAGGCACAGGCGAATGGTTGAGAGTAGTGAAGTTGCAGCAATTAACGCCGGACCATTTGAAATCAAAGAGCCGAATTACACCTTCTTCGAAGCATTGAGTCGTTACGCTCGAATATGAAAATCGTCACGCCTCGGTCTACGAAAATTTATTCATCATCTTCCGTTTCCAAATTGAGTCATTTATTCGATGGAAAACACATGTTGCAAGACACACAAAGTAGGCATCGTTTTTCGTTTGGCTACAAAGGCACCAGAAGCAAACATCCATTTCACCTGCCCCGCGTAAGAACATCGTTTCTAAGAAGATTGCTTTGCAGGACCAGTCATTCTCGATAGTGATGCAAGTAACCGCCTTTGGTCCAGCAGGAAGGCGACAGGATTCGACTGCGTGCAACTTGATTTTCTTCGTATCCCAGCACGAGCATTTCTGTCAGTTGCATTCTAGTTGGTATTCCAATAAATATTTTCGTGACCTTGGCCACTGCTTTCTCTGCCAAATCGGTCAATGTCCTTTGTTCCAAAGCTCTTTTCCGCACACGAACAGGAAGAGATTTTCCCACATGTTTCAAAACTTTCCGGCTATCCCTCATTTCGGGTGGTTTTGAATAGAAGTTGACAGGCGCAATTCTATCATAGCCCAGGTATCTCCTCAATGCTGTCAATGACTCGTGCATCATGTTCCTGAAGCGCGAATCATCTATGTTTTCTTATTCTTTATGGCGCATCTGAAATGCAGTCGAGCTTGTTTTCTGTGACACAATGATTACTTAACCATATAAGGCACCCCAACATTTGATGACTAATCATAATTTTCTACCCACAAAGAATCAGAAAATAATGCAACTTTAAAGTGGAAACAAACACATCAAATCCACTAATCCCAAACAATTTCGCCCAGATGGGTTGGATTAAAAACAGGGTTGATCCTTTAAAATGGTTATAGAGCCCGTTTCCAGACTCCAAACACCGCCACGTATGCCACCAAAGGGCCACTAGTGGTAAGAGTGCCTGTCTTGTCGAAGCAAGCAACTCGGACCTGTGAGACCACGAAGCACAGTGCAATGAGGTTGGAATGTGTCCATCTGGGGGGGTGTCCTGCAAAACGTCTACAGATTCACATATGTAGCTGTATCATATGACCTCATATAATTCATCACAAATGCTGTGCATACATGTACAAGTATCAACTTGTGTGCCCTCTTTGATTACTTAAACCACCACATCATCAAGTGGGATTTTAAAATCCTGTTGTCGCTGATCATAGACACCCTATGATACCCTACGGGCGTGCTTTGTGAATCGGTCAGGCTGAATGTTCCTAATTCATCCTAATTCACCAGCCTGACATGTTCGGTCATTCTAGATGGTTCTATATGGGAGCTGGATCAACACCTTTTACTAAAAAACCATAATCTTATACTGTTTGGTGGTTTCAACCCCTCTGAAAAAATATGATAGTCAGTTGGGATCATTATTCCCAATATATGGAAAAAATAAAACATGTTCCAAACCACCAACCAGTATAACTGTGTATAACTACATACATCTATCTACTATGACCACTATGGAGATAATATACTTCCAAACCAAAGCACCAACCAGTTCTACATTACAAAACCATTATTTGGTAGAATGATCCACAACTGCTATCGATTTTCGGGTGACAATTCAGGGTGGAACCCCAGGTCGTGAACGCTAAGTTGGTTTATAAGTTAAGCAACATTTCACTGGGGTTTATGGTAGATATATCTTTAATACCGTTATATATATAATACCATTATATAATATATATGGCTATGAGTCAAAATTGTGTATGGAACGTTCCGCGCTGCTCCGGACGTATGGAACGAAGGGGTTTCGTAACTGGTCTTGTTCCGGACCTTTGGAATGTGATGAAATATACGCTGTACATAAATATAAGTATATATGTATACTGTATATATTATATGTGTAATATATGTATATATAATTACATCTCAAGGATATGCACATTGAAGCTACTACCGCTGGCTGCCGCTCATTTTTACTTCTCATCTGCGCGGCATCCTTGTTGTACACCTGTTCAACGCAGGTTTGCCTTGCATGGCTAGTGCTCGTGCACTAGCTAGGACATAACTGGTAGCCAGCCTCGCCCACTGGCTACTATGTGAAGCTGTCCGCTCAGCTTCAGACCTGTCACGCAGGTCCCACCTCCTACTCTTAAAACTCAGAAGTCCCGGTCCCTATGGGGTAGATTGTGTCCCCGCGTAGCAAGACTCTAGGCTCCCAAAACCCACGCGCAAAGGATGGCTTAGGAGCAGTCTATGTGAGAACCTGCCGTTTGTTCACGCGGAAGTGGGTCATGGATGGTACATGGGTGGTCCGGGTCTGGAACGGGTATGGAACGGTATGGAACGGGGTCTGGAACGAAACGGCTCACTCCAGCACAGCTCTGCCACCACGAAGCGCATCTTTATCAAAATTGGCAGTGTGGAGCGAGAGTAGCGCAGCAAGCAATTCTTAGACTGCCAGCTGGCAACAGCCAAGCGCATCTCTACCATCAAACATCACAGCTGTGCCACAGCGGGCAGCAACTGTAAGTGGTGCAGGCACAAACCTGCCACAGGTTGAGAGGGAGGGAGGGTTACAAGAAATCCATTCTTAGACTGCCAGCTGACAACAGCCAAGCACATCCCTACCATCACACAACAAATGCTGCAGGCACAGACTTGCCAACACAATCACAGGGCTTGGGCATAGTAAACCTATTCTTGCATGTACACACTCATGTATGTATGTGCGCTCAAGTATGCGCGTACAAATGTAAAATCAGACTGCACATATTCAGGTGTGTATATATATATATAGATATAAATACATATATATATAAATACATATATACATATATATCATAACGTATGGATCAGAGGTATGGAACAGAGGTATGGAACGGATCCTTCAAGGAGGTATGGAACGGGGGTATGGAACGGGGGTATGGAACGGGTGTGGTCCCGGAGCTTGTTCCGGACCTCCTATTTTGACTTGCACCCATATATATATATTATACATCCATAATTATCCATAGTTCATGGGTTTTAGAACCCAACTGACAACTAGGGGGGACACCTAGTTGTAGTCCCATTGATAGCAAAAAAAATGCTCAAGTATCCCAGGTTTGCCCAATTGCCTTCCACTTCCCGGCGCCTTGCCAGCCAACGCAATGCGTTTGGGCACCACGCAGAAAATGCCACCCTCCTGTCACAGGATCATCCCGAATATGACGTGGAAGTTATTTTACCTGTGGGCATTCCTAATTTTGGATGATATCCCAAATATCCATTAATATCCATTAATATCCATTAATCCCAATTATCCATTAATGTCCATTAATTTGGGCATCCTAATTATGGATGATATCTTCTTAATGGATATGATATGTTGGGAGAATCATTGGATCATCATATCCCAATTATCACCTGGTATCCCAAATATGTTGCCTCTCCGGAAATTCCATTACCATCGAGCCACTATAGTCACTAGTCATACGCGTGTAAAAATGCAGCTGGGGCCGTATGATATATTTGTTCTAAGTTTCAATGTTGCGGTGGTTTTAACCATCTTGAAAAAAATAGTCAATGGGAAGGATTATCCCATATATTATGGGAAATCAAAAATGTTTGAAACCACCAACCAGTATCAAACGCGTTATTTGATGATCATGATAAGCTTTACACATGTTTCTTGGAATGACTAAGTTATACATAAGCACGTTGACGTCTATTGGTCCGGATAAATATGGCTAAATAACATAATTCACTAGTTTGGTCATTTAACATAGACCCTGAAAACAGACAAGTTTCACTGGGGAAATCACTAAAAAAAACTGAAAAATCATCGAATTCATAGAAACTTCATAGAATTCATAGAAAATTCATAGAATTCATAGAAAATTCATAGAATTCATAGAAAATTCATAGAATTCATAGAAAATTCATAGAATTCATAGAACATTTACTGAAAATCATCTTCCAACCCCCTTTTGAAATGGCGGGATCACCGCGTCCTGCTTCAGTCTTTGTGCAGAGACCACCTGTGCGGGTGGAATTTGCTGATCCGGGACAGGATAAAAAGCAACCCCTACCATCTGGTTATTTAACACAGCCATGGAAAATCACCGGTTTTAATAGGTAAACCATCTATTTCATTCTATTTCTATGTCTATGGGCCATCTATACCATGGCTATGTTAGTCATCACCAGAGGGTAGATAGAACAGATCCTATTTTATGACTACAGTTACTTTAGATCACCAGCTTCGTGACTTTTCTACATGTATCTACCAGATTGTATAGTATCAAATAAGCTTTGGAAAAGATATACCCCCCTGGTAAATTAACATAGACCCTGCCAGATAGGATTTGGAAGATTAGTTTCCACTAACAATTGGTGATTTTCAGGGTCCAACTCTTTATTTACCCATTAATATCAAATATCCCATCAAATTATGAACCATTAGTAACCATCATGAAAACCATATAATAACCATTAACCACCATGGTAAATCATGGTTTTAAGGCTATAAATCATCAGCTTCCCGGAAAATGCCATGGTTTTAACAGCTAGATGGGACGACCAATCACCAGCTGTTGGATTTCTGGATTTGACCCCCCAAAAAAACCTGGGAATTCCATGGTGATGTCCCATTCCCCATAGGATCCATGTATGCTATATATATATATGGTAACATTTATGGTAACATTTACCATCAATATACCCCAGTCATGTTAGCATTTTTCTACCAGCACCATGGATCCGTCATGGGTTTGGAGTTGATCTACATGTCTCGTGGCTTTTCCATCTTTGAATGTCTATAGAGGAGGGCCCATGATTTTGCCACTCCACCACCCCATCTTCAACCAATAAACAACTGGGAATCGATGTGACTTTCCGGCTGCTCCTATCAGACCTATCATATTGACCTGAATTGGGGATCACTTCAGATCGGTGTTCAACACTTGAAATTACAAATTGGTACACTTGGAACGGATGATTGATTTTAGATATCAAACATAAGTTGATCTCAAGCTTGGTTTATGAATGTTCATGTACTTTGTGGCAAAACAACACAACACACCAACACATGGTTGTACTCTTTACCACTCAGTTGAAAATGAATCCAGTTGCCGTTGCCTTACGACCCTTTTGGAGGCATCATCAGCCATTGATGGTGTTGCGATAGATCCAATCTTTCTCCAAGCAAAACTTCCACTGGATGCAACCAAATTGAACAACAAAAAAAACATATTTGGTTTCCAGTACCCATTACATCCCGATTGTACCCCAATAGAATCGGAGTAATAATCACCAACAAAGCATCAGTTATAAGATATTGTCCACATAGGTCCTGCCATAGCTTTGATGGTTTTTTCGAATGTTATTTTCAGAACAATTGCCCCTAGCTGCTAACCCCAATGATGGTGAGTCCTCCTCTTTGCACATACCCTCTGGTAATTTGTTACACAGCTATTGAAAATGGCTATTTATAGTGAGTTTCCCATTAAACATGGTGATTTTCCATAGTTATGTGGCAGTTTACCAAGGTTTAGCAGCCGCCCATGTCCCATCCACACCTGCCCCACGGATAGCACGATGTGCAGCATGGTGGGCAGGACACAGGAACAGGTGAACACCGCCGATGCCCACGTGGCCGTGATGGGCAAATGCCTCGGCGCTTGCGTGGTTCCGTTAAGGGAAGGATGTGAAATAGCCAAAAAAAAATCCAAAATGTGGAGCTTTCTGACAAGTTGAACCTGGATAATTATTGCTAATGATGGTTTTTGGTTTGTTTCATGTTATTTTAATATGATTTTTCATAGAAAGAAATAATGAACATCATGGGATGATTACGTAGGATATTTTCCATCATGGCTGGACAGGGGAAATCCAGGTTTGAATGGCAGATTTTCCAGCAAACCATGTTCGATTATAAACTGGATAAAGTCAGGAAAACAACCAGTGAATTTAAGCAGTGAAGAGCCAGTGAAGAGCCATGAATTTGACATAGTTAAATATGGTTGAACGAAGCAAACAAGTTATTATAGGCTTAAAACTTCAATGCAATAATATATACCCTCTGGTAAACTAACATAACTATGGAAAATCACCATTTTTAATCGGTAAATCCACTATAAATGGACATTTTCAATAACTATGTTAGTTTACCAGAGGGTAATTTTATTCTTATTGTACTGGGAACTCAGCACTAACCCCAACAAAATGAATTGCCATTGTTGTATCCAAAATAGTGGGATTACCCAATGCCACAATCACAAACGCCCAATCCCCGGCAGACACATATTAATGCGTTCATAATTCATGGACAACAGTTCCCTAGTGTTTGCTTGATTCTGCGCAATGGAAAGCGACAAAGGCTCACATGACTTGCCTAAATAGCTGGACCCCTGCAAGAATAATGTAGGCATTCAAACACTGTTCAGGGTCCAACATCCCAACAAGATTCCAACAAACAAAACAAGATCAAAAGGCATTCATACACACATATACAAACAATGTCAACAAGAACTAGCTATGGATGGAACAAACTGGATTGAGGCAAAGCACCCAATCATTCCGTCGGGTCCTAACCTGAACCCTTCAGCAATGCACATGGCAAAGACCCGACCACTTCAATGCCGCGTGATCATGGTGCTGGTGGTGCCCAGCTATGCTTGCGCAGCCCTGGATGCACTCCTTGCCCTTGGGAAAGTGGTGGTCATCTGCTGGAAGAGACCACTAGAAGTGGTACTGCTTAAATACCCAGTGGCCTTGCAGCATTGAGGCAGTAAGAATGTCCCTAAAGATGCCCCATACCCAAATGATCCGAAATACTGGGGCTAGAATGTTTCTGTGCAATCCCGGTCAACAAAGATGGAAGGACCTTCCATTTTTTTCCCAGAAGTGATGGTAAAAGAATGGCCGGCTGTGGTTTTGCCGGTCTAAGTGGTCCACAGATTCATTTACCAACAGGCCTTGTGGCATAGGGATTTGCAAGGGTTTTACAACTGGAGCATATGTTTAACTATGTTTGGGCACCTACTATTGCCAAACCAAGATCACCATGGCTAATATTAAATGCAAAACCTCATTTCATTTCTATCTGGTTAGCCAATTTCCCAATAAATGATCATAAATGTATATATACAAAATATTTAAAGGCAAAAAAAGGAACATGTTCAATGGCCCCAGGGCTTGAGCGGCTTAAGCAACTCCCAGCGGCACCGTCGCTTCCATTTTTGCCCTTGCAGATCAAGGTGCTGATCGTAAGCATATCGCCAATACATCACTCTCCTGGGGCTGTAGGTGGGAACAACTCAGTTCGGAATCGCTCAGTTGGTGTATAACTCCAAACAAGTTCATGGGGGTTACACACCAACTTAGAATTGGGAACACACCACCTTGTTTCAGAGCAGTTAGACTGGGTGAAAAAAAACATTGAACATAGTGAGTAGCGAAACTCAAAATAGCTGGTATTGGAGGTTCATGCTCCCTAAGTCCTCCAAAGTGATGTCAAGAGACCCATTTAGCCATATTTCAACCTGAAAATTCTGGGACTTGTGGGTAAAATCTCCTCCAAGTGAACCCCAAGTAAAACTCCATGATTTGCTCATGGCTATCTTAATTACCCAAAAAAGTGTCGAAAATCTGGTGGTTTCCTGCCATTCATTGGTCAATGGAGGGCTTCACCATCCGAGGTGAGATGGTCATCATCCCGACTGTCCCCATGGCCAGATGACCCTGGACCGCATGCCATATCCTGCCGCCTACTCGTTGGGCGAACTAGATGGATACGCCAAGATGGTTGGTGATCATGCTATATCGTGCTCACAATATTTGAACAGAACTATGGCAATATGTTGGGTATGCTGAGGGTATCTCTCGGGACCCAAGTAGTCCAAAGATATTATGCCCGGCCTGGGAATACTGAACCGGCCGGGATCGCAGTGGCTATCTCCCGGCACGGCAGAGCCAAGGGGCATTAAGGCAACCGCCACAAAGAGTGCATAGAGGATCAAGAGAAAGAAGACCACCTAATGTCAGCCCTTGAGTTGGGTATATCCCATAGGATCCATGTATGCTATATGTGGTAACATGGATCCCATCAATATACCCCAGTCATGTTAGCATATATACCAGCACCATGGATCCTATGGGTATGTAGACATCCAACACGTTTTTTGGGGGTCAAATCACTGTTCAAATCGCGGCAACTTGGGAATCACTGTGTGATTTTTCGAGGATTTTTCAGAGGGGTACCATGCCGGCAACATGGGTTGCCATCCGAGTTTGTACCTTTCCGAATAGGGGGCCTAACATCGGGACTTCATGTTGGAAAATGGTGGCAATGCCACTGGATGGTGACGTGGATAGTCCACATCTTTTGATCCGTGGATGGTGAACGTCAGTAAAGGCATTAAATTATATCACAAGCCCAGAAGAGGAAAAAAACAAAACACACATTGCAGATGGTGATTATAACTTTGAATGTTGTTTTATGTAACATACAACATAACATAATATAACATAAAACATTATAATCCAATGTTATGGAAAACCATGTCATATTAAATTTATGATAAGATTCCAATTCCACGATTAATAATCTAATGTTATATAACATAACATTAAACAAATTTTAGATGTTGTTTCCACATACCGTCTATCATTTACACTTGGTCCTGATGAGATCATGCAGCCTGTTTTTTTTGTGGTGGAAAAATGTACACAGCCCTTCATGGATAAATGCTTTAAAAAAAAAAGCCCCAATAGAAACCATTCAACATTTACAGAAATTGAAAATTCCCGGAAATGGGAGCTTTTTTTCCCACCAAATTTAAATTAAAGATTTACCCTCTGGTAATGACTAACATAGCTATTAAACATGGCCATAAACATAGTGGATTTAGCCATTGAAAATGATGGATCCTTCCATCGTTTAGCAGAGGGTACCCACATATTCCCAGAAATTGGTTGGCATCTCAGCATATGGGTTGGTTGGTCGAATCAAATCGCGGCGTCATGACTTCAACATCCCATTTACCAGTTGGATATCCATACATCTCCAAGGCTGGTTTACAGATTTAGGTTCCTGTAAACCACATCTTTTAAGTATGTTTACCCTCTGGTAAACTGTTACATAACTTTTCAAAATCACAATTTTTAATGGGAAAATCCACTATTTCTATGGCCATGTTCAAGAGCTATGTTTGTTTACCAGAGGCTACCCCAAGGTATATCCTGGATCCCAAGATTTTTTGGGATTGTAACCCAGCTGTCATGACTACTTCTGGGTGCTTAATCATTCACCAGCCCCAGTTTGGTCATTTGGGTTTGATCATCATTTCTGGTGTCATAGAATTGGATGATGGGAAATTTTACAGGAAAAACCTATATTTGATGGTAAAAACCCATGGGTTTCCGGTGAAGATTTTCCCAACAAAACCAATCCATTTCTGGTGACATCGGTACAATTGATCCAGACCATGATTATGACCAATACAATCTTACATATTCTTCCTATACCATGATATCTCATCGTACCACCATGTTCCCAATTTTTGGTACCACCATCTTCTTGACCAGGTTGCCGAAAGCTGTTCGTCATATTTGAAGATCAGCTTGGGAGGATACAAGATTAAAAGCAGCAGCTGTCCCTTCCTCAGCTGATGCAACAATCTCCTGCGTATTGGAGTTTCAATCCTCACAACCTTCTGCACTGGTTTGCCCTCCATTACTCAAACATGGCAATGGGAAATCCCTGATAGACAGTTTTTTAAATGTGAAAATTAAATATACGTATACATATTTTCATCCGTTGCCATGTTTGATTGCCAAAGAGTATCCCGCCGCAAAACTATTTCAAGTCTTGTTTGGTTGTTAACTACTTCATCGATCACAAACAAATAATCCATCACCCTATCAATCTAAGCCTTTTTCTCGGGGTTGCGGGTGGTAAATGTTGACCTTTCAATATCAAATGAAGGTCTCATGGTTTATCATTGCGTTCCCCATCATTGAGAACCAAATAAATTGCTGCATATTTTACATGTTACATCATTTTACATCCTATTTGGTGCTTAGTCTTAGATGAATACGTAACACATTGATCAAATTATCAACTTCGGTGCTCAAAAAAAACATGGGATACCAGACCTCCAAAAGGATGCTAATCATTGCCAACACAACCAAGGTTTACCCAGGCTGATACATTACACGAGCGAACAAAATGCTTAGATCCCTCTATAGTCACTGCATAGCAATGGTACCATCATTTCAAATTCGTCTTTCAATCGTCCAAGTTTTGCCCAGATCAAGGCGAATCACACATGATCCCATATGGGTAGCCTCAATCTGTTCGAATGCATTTCCTAGCTGCAGTTGTTGTGACAACCTCACATCCACATTTTTTTGGAGTACTGGTGCGAATTTTATAGTGCTGCTGCTGCTCCGAAGCGGACCAGACCTTTTGCCGGTGACCATGAACTTCTTCCATTTCCCTTTATTTATACAACAATTTGTATGTTTAAATTCAATTTTTTCATGATTAAATCACAAATCTTGTTGGTTAATTCCCAAGTTTTGATGGTTAAAAGTTAAAACCATGTTTTTCATCCTCAAATCGCAGTGATGCTTAAATCACAATTGTTGATGGTGAATGCTCAATTTTTGATGGTTAGACATACGTAGATCTAATGTTCTTCATCCTTAAATCATTTAAATCGCAATTTTTGACTGGTTGGTGGTAAACCTACCCCTCTGAAAAATATGAGTTCGTCAATGGGAAGGATGACATGCAAGAAACATTAGGAAACATAAAGATCATGTTTGAAACCACCAACCAATTCTTCATTGTTGGCTATATCCCCACTATACCTCCATTGATCACCAAGCAGTTGATCACCATTTCCCAATGTGTTCATGCCCACATGTGATCCAAGGGAGTCGCGAGCGACAGGCCATGGCCGCCATGGCTCTGCGTATGGATCCCGGTGTGCGTTGCCATGGCCCAGGTCTCATCGTCCACCGTTTGGAGCACCGTGGTGCCGGCCTTGGGGGCGATGCTATAATCCTATCATTGCAATAGCATCTTGAAGATCATGGCATATACCCTCTGGTAAACAAACATAGCTATTGAAAATGGCCATTTATAGTGGATTTATCCATTTAAAATGGTGATTTTCCATAGTTTTGTGTATGTTTACCAGAGGGTAATCATGGCATATTCTCATGGTACATACAATAATTATTTTGCATATAATCATGGAATATCCACCATGAGAGGAATATTTTTATCCGGCATATGATCATGGCATATCATGGAATATCCCCAGCAATTTTGGCCAAACATATGGTACTAACGTACCAGGTACTTCCATTCCTAGGGATCCTCGGCATCATCCAACTGGGAAATCACTACCCGACCTGGCGACGAACATAGCCTATATAGCCATGGAAAGATCCACCCATTTTTTAGTTCGGTAAAGCATCTATTTCGATTAGGGCCATGGCTTCCAAATTTATGAAACTGCATCAAGTTGGATGACATTTCGGGCTTTGAACGCGGGTCATACGGCGGATATATATATATATACGCAAATACTCCATGGATGGCATTGATGGCATGAATTGTAGTAACTCATCTATGCACATTACGCCATTGTGACTACGACTGTTTAACAAAAACCACACATGTCACAAATTTGTCAGAACGGTTGGAAACTGCGTCCATTGGTTAGACACAAAACCAGCTGGAGATACAACTGCAAATCCTTGAGCCACTGGACCATTAGATTTTGTAAGGAGGTTACGCTTACTAATAATATGATGATAGAGTGGGGACACAATGTGATACAATGGGTCATGAAAAAACTATGATATATGGGTGTGTTTGAAAATGGTTCATATATTCTCCCACTTACCGCAATTGTTTGACGGGCAAATGGTGACAAACCAATTGATTTTAGGGATACGCTATGTTGCAACAAACATGACAATACCATGTTGGTATATATTGGTACTGGATGGTTTAGTGTGATTTGGCAATTCATTTGTAAATGCCAATATCCCTGGAGATCCACGTAGATCGAGAAACATATTCACGAGGACAGGATTTTCGGGCGCCATGGCTACTGGAACCTCTTATAGTATCATCTGGCCATGGAAAATCACCATTTTTAATAGGTAAACCATCTATAAATGGGAAACAACACACACATGTCACATGGCTGTATAAATCTAAGTTTGCATCCAGTGTAATCTGATATATATATATATATATACATATATATATATATGTAATATTAATATTATATAATATATATATAGGGTCAACCTTTGATTCGATGGGACTCTGCGTTTCTACGTTCTCCGAACGACTTATGACGACTTATGACGACTTCGCAATGACGTTTTTTGTGCCTTCGAGGTGCCCATAAAAATTTTCTACCAAGAAGTGGTGGAAAGCCATGGGAACAGTACAATCCATTGGTACCCTCTGGTTATGACTAACATAACTATGGAAAATCACCATTTTTAATGGGAAAACTCACTATTTCTATGGCCATTTTCAATAGCAAACTGTTAGCTTACCAGAGGGTAGAATGATTGGTGTATAATGGATACAATGATTGATTATCAGTTCCAGTGGTGGAAAACCAAAAACATCTACCACTCACTATACGGATTTCATCAGACTTCGGCAACGCGTCCTTCCCTCTCCGGGAAACATCCCGCCCGATGTGCGAATCCAAGCATCCACCAAGACATGTTTGGCGGGAAAGCGCAATGCAGGCCTTAGGCGTTTAGTATCGTTTTGGTAGATCGTGATGTGACATATTTGTTTTTTGGTCGGAAAGTGAAAGGATCGTGATGTTTATGGATCGTGATAGATCGTGAGAGATTGGGTTGACGATGGATGTGATCACAACCATAGCTTGGCATTAAAAAAAAGGAAAGGTAAAAGGGAAGAAGATAATAGGATCTATACACAGGTTGACGCAGATCATCTTATCTTGCGAATGTTACTCGTCGCCAATGGCGCTCACATATCCACAACAGCACATTGGAATTATATCTAATAACAGATGATTTTCTACAATATTTCCCACTGATGAAATTCGATTGGCGCGTCGTCATGCTAAAATGGGATAGATGAGCAGATCGAAGCGTACTTGCCTATATTCAACTGATAAATTACCCAAAACTCAAGCTTGGAAGCCTCACTGTTAAGCCCTAAACCCAAATGTTTAATAAAATTATTCCCTTTTTTTCCCCCCACCTGCTAGGTGAGAGTTGTTAGATTTTATCTCAGTTGTTCTCCTCCTCCTCCTTATCGGCCAACTATCCTCTTACTGCTCCTTCTGCTCCTCCTCCGCCAGCATCTCATCCACCACCTCTGCCTTCAATTTTACGTCCATTGTTGCCTTTGCCAACTCTTCACCAAGCTCTTCGCTAGCGTCCGAGCTCAGTGCGCACCGCTGGATTAAATATTAGAAGATATGCCAAATAGAGAGCTAGTAGGTATGCTAGATAGAATGCTAAGTAAAATGTCAGATAGAATGCCATAATATGTGCCAGGATATATGCTTGAAGATATGCGCCACTAAGAATGCTAGAAGATATGCGAGGTATCATCTCTGATAGGAGGTGAGAAGATATGTCAGATCAAATGCCAGATGGTATGCTAGATGAAGTGCTAGAATGTTTGCTAGATAGGATACCTGAAGATCTGCTAGATAGAATGTCAGATAGGATGTCAGAAGATATGCTAGAAGATATGATATGCCAGATTGAATGCCAGATAGAATGCAATAAGATATGCTAGATAGAATGCCAGATAGAATGCCAGAAGATATGTCAAAATATTTGCCAGAAGATATGCCAGATAGAATGGCAGATCGAATGCCATAAGATATGTCAGATATAATGCCAAACGATTTGCTAGTAACAAATCGATAAATGTCATGATGGTGATCACAAGGAATAAATTGTCCTTTTCTCGTCACAAAACTAGGCACGATGAATCTGTACGTTCACATAGCAGTTGCTGCATGTGAAAACAATGAGGCGTTCATCTCAGATCACTCGCGATGGACTATCATGCTGCGTTCACGGGTTCCAGCAGTGGATCATCTTCATCAAGTGCAGCTTCATCCTCTCTGAGAATCGTGGCCTCTGACTTACCCGATCGCAGATCACGAGTTGGGCAATGGGGTGACCATGGTCTCTTTGAATCTGTCTTGCATGATGTGTTCGTAGGACACCGGTTCTTCGTCCGGTTGTCTTCAGTCGTCAAGATTAGTGTCATGGAATTATAATATTTTGGTAGATCGTGATGTTTATGGATCAAGCTCAGAGGACAATTACATATTCCCACTACTAATTGGTGGTTGACCTACCCCCTTGAAAAATATGAGTTCGTCAGATTGGATCATCATCCCAACTATTGGGGAAAATAACAAATGTTCCAAAACCAGATTATATTCAAAAACCTATAGGAATTACATGGAGGATGTTCGTTTCAATGCTTCATCCTTTTCCTCTAGGCATTCTGAAATATTGGAATGGAAACTGGGAAAAAAACTTGAGGAAATGACACTGGAACATGTTACCCATCCATTTCAAGAACATTTTATCCAACGTCTGGCAATCCGTCATGAGAAAATTACATATCCATGGATTCGTTTGAGGGGAAATCAGCAGGAAACATTGGTTTTCCCAAATAAAATATGGGTTTCCTGTGTGGTTTTCCCTTATCCATCCTTATCCAAGAACTGGGAACATAAGATTACAAATGATGATGATCCATTTTGAAACTGGGGGGTACCATGATTCTCAGACTAATCCGAACAGAAAAGTCGAAGTCCAACCAGCACCGCTGCACCACGAACATTGGCTGCAGCAAGAGATGGCGATGTTTCGCCAACCACACTGTGGACATACGGTTTATTGATGTTGGATTTTATTGCTGGTTGGTGGTTTCAACCCCTCTGAAAAATATTAGTCAGTGAGAATGATTATTCCCAATATCTGGAAAAATATATAATGTTCCAAACCACCAACCAGATTGGATCATGTTTGGCCTACATGTACCCCAATAAGTCACCCTATATTGATGTTAATGAACATAACGTACAAGGACATGACAGGAAACAGTATGGGCAAGGGATGGGGGGGAACCTTTCTTGTCATGTCGGGGGTGCGACCAGCCCAAAATGTTTGATGTATAGGCTTAAGTATAAAGGCTTTAGACATATCCATCAAACGAAAGCAACGGGGAATCTCGATGGACAGTGGAACATTGTGAAAAACAATGAACAACATAAGTTTGTAAATGGAGAGGGCTGATGAACCACCATTTGGATCCATTTGGTTTGATAAATCAAATAAATGTCATAAATAAATCAATAAATCAAATTTGAATCCATTTGGTTTGATACCCACTGATGATAAATCAATTGTTTTTTGGTATCATCATGTCGAGATGCAGGTGCTGCGGCAGGCGCTCGGCCTCGCGCATTGGATGAATGGGATGAATGTCATGGCGGTCAGCATTCCGTGGTGATTTGAACCCCCAAAACCGTTTAAAACGTCTAAAACGTAGCAAAATGGACAAAGGATAAGAACGGGGATCATCACCGGATGGATATATATATATATATATATATTATAAATATATATATATACATATGGATCATATGGATGAATAAGACTAATATAAGAAATCATGTTCGAGAAACAAGTCACAAGTCTTTGAAACTACCAAACCATCTTTGAGTTGCTGTGATGCTGGGGATTCAACGAAGTCAGGATTCGTTTTTTGTGATCATCAACGGGCATTCACCGACATGGCGACATGCTGATTGAATGAGACAGAACGAGGCTGAAACCAAACAGTTTTGCAGGATTTTCTGGGATGTAATGGGAATATGATGGGATATATAATGGGATATACAACCAACAATTATATAGTATGAATTGGGATATAAGCAGAAATTGAGGGTATACTCTACGTTTGCCCAAGAAAAAAAAAGGACAGTAGGTGCTAAAAGGAGTATCTTGATAATTGAACTATCATAGGGGACGTGAAAACATGAACTGGTGCTGGGATGAATTGACGTCATGTGATAAACCCAATGTCATGGATGATTTGGAGCATGGAACTAATAACAATATCCGCCCAAGGGAGGGTTTACCATAGGGTTTACCAGAGGATGTACCAAAGGGTGTACCTACATATGAATCAATAATGGATTCGGAACATGTGAACATTCATGTGAGCAATCCGCCATCTTTGGAAAATGGTGAGTATATGATTTTGCTTTCATACCTGTACTATACATGTCCCGCACGCAAAAAAACAAGTGGGCAATGTTTGAATCCATTTGACAGGTGTTTTTGCAGGATGAACAGGAACTTTCGACCGCCATATTTGTTTGCTGAAAAAACACTGTACTCTCTGGTAAACTAACATAGCTATTGAAAATGGCCATTTATAGTGGATTTACCCATTAAAAATGGTGATTTTCCATAGTTACGTTAGTTTACCAGAGGGTACAACATCTTACAATTCTGTACAGTGGGGGGAAGGAAAAAAATCATCCGGACATATTTTGGCACGCCGTAAGTTACCCTCCTGTAGATCATTTTCCCAGGGTTTCCCCAGGGTTTCCCCAGGGTTGCCAGGTCCACATCTCTGTTGCTTTAGGGATCTGTTTCCTCCATTTCTCCAGGAGTTTCCCCAGGGAAATCCCATGGTTTCTCCATGGGAAAACCCCTGGTCCTGGTGCCCTTGCTCCCCTGCAGTGGAAAATAAGTGGGATTCACAAATAAATATACCCTCTGGTTATGACTAACATAGCCATGGTATAGATGGCCCTAATCGAAATAGATGGTTTACCCATTCGAAATGGTGATTATCATTCTATATGATTATATCATGTTATACATTCATATTAATAATAGGGGTGTGATAATTAATGATGGGGATGTGATAATGTGGCATAATATAATATTTATTATCTGGTTGGTGGTTGACCTACCCCTCTGAAAAATATGAAAGTCAAATGGGATTATTGTTCCCAATATATGGAAAATATAAGATGTTCCAAACCACCAACCACTTATATTATGTAAGCTATATATTCATATATATATATATATGTATATTCTATTATATAACCGTATTGTTCTAATATGTGATAATATTGGGCTATCATCAATTCAGTCAGCAATCATTAATTAGTCCTCCACGTGATCGTCAAGCGTTGTGATCGTCATGAGTTTCTGGTTGTTTACCATGTGTTTCAACATGTTTTGTTCGATCAATGCTTTTCCTGACTCAAATCACTCAAATCAGCATGTTACTATAGATAATTAAGTCATTATGTGTTGCTTGTCGAACTCCATTTCTTTCTCTGTGGAGTCCCTAGTCGAAGAATTTCAGATGCTTTTGTCGATGTTCCATCAAAGAGACCAACCTCACTCATCGAAAATTCATCCCAAACATTACCATCTGGGAATTTAACATAACTATGGAAAATCACCATTTTCAATGGGAAAATCCACTATTTCTATGGCCATTTTCAATAGCTATTTTGACATAACCAGAGGGTATCCACCCATCAGAAATCCCCAAGGGGATGCCCCACTGACTTCGCCAAGGCGCAGGCGTCAGGCGCTGCACGGGCATCGACTCCCCCGTCAGGGTGGACTCGTCGCAGACGGCGGCGCCCTTCAGCAGCACCAGGTCGCAGGGGACCTACGGCGACGGCGACGGGGTTGACGGTGATATGTAAACATAGCTAGATTTATCATGGCTGTATATACATATAAAATCATATAAAGATTATGAAGTACATGATGTTAACTCATAGACTCATATAGATTATGGAGTTCATGATGTATATTATCATAGACTCATACTTGGATAGTCTTTACAATTATTGAACAAATGATAGGTGATACATATTCATGTAAGAAGTATAGAGTTTATATAAGTTCATCATGTAATATGTTACTTTGGAATAAACATAACCAAACATATCCACCAAAAAAATCTAAGGCAATCATGTCTGCATAAAACCCCTTTTACCAGCTTTAACTGGTTAATAGTTCTAGATGGGGTGATCATTCCATGGGGGTTACAATCTTTGTGGAACCAGCCCCGACATCCGCCGCTCCCATCGACGACATCGTCCGCTGGGCCAGCCGACAGGACCACTCTGCACCTTGACGATGTCCCCAGGGACCAGCTCGTTGGCATCGATCTGCCGGCTTCGACAGGTGAGGGTCCCAGACATAGTGCCCGTTGAACGTCAACAAATGGGGAGTGGACTCTAGCAGCTAGCAACAATGGTTGCATAATGGGAATATCACACACTGGACCGAATCAATATGTAATATGATGTAATATGTATACGCATTTATGGTATATCTGGGGATTCACCAACCTTGGTCATATTCAACATCGTTACTAGCATATAGATTATAGATCACGTTCCCAAACAGCTTCAAATTGATGTCCACAAATGCAAGACACGGGAAAACAATGAAATAATGAAATATATAACCCCCAAAAAAATAGAAAAATCGTGAAAAGTCCATTCCTATATATATATATTCCTACTAAAATAGCGATAAATCACGTGTCTATCTTTTTGGTGCTCCGGGGTATAGTTGCTTCTACCTATGGGAAAAAATCAATCCACTGACCTATAAATCAAGCGTGTATATACAACAAATCTGAAACCTACCTGCATAAACCATAAACATCCATAAACCTTATAGCGTGTCCCAGCCTTGCCACGTCAACAATCCAAGCTTTACCCCCAGCTGGTTGGAAAACTTGCCAAAAAATCCAATTCTCAGCAACCAGAACTAATTTGAAATTCATTCTGCCCAGAGCACAAATTAGTTATGCAACAATTGCGCTTATGGGGATGTTTATTTCCTTCAGAGACTATCATGATGAGACCAGCGAGATCCCTCCAGTATTCTGCACAGATTATCATCTCCTGAGTCCCGAGGTCGCGCGGCGAAAGGGAGATGTGCTGTGCTGTAGTTCACATACACACGTATTGTGGTACTGCGTACATATGAATATGTAGTTTGTTGTTCCTTTGTTACGGATTAAGCCAAGGTGCTGTGAACACATTGCCAGATATTGCAAGCTTTGAAGCCTCGATGGTGGTTGGCAATTGTTGGCATCTCTGCGCTGGGCAAAATCTCATCGCGTACATCTGCCCGATTCTGGAGCTTCACCAGCCCGGCGCGTCGCAACATGTTCCGAACCAAACAGATTGGGATATGGGAGAGTGGCGAGAGTTGCTCTACTGGATAGATCTGGATAGTGCATATTTGAACACTTTTCTGGGAACAACGTTTATCCCATTATCCCATTATTATCCTGTCATTATCCCAGTATTATACCTATTAAGCGATTACAATGAGAAAAATGTGGGCTAATTGATATAATCCCATTATAATATATTATAATACCATTATGATTCGAATCCCATCAAATCACCATAAGATTGCTGACTGTTTCTCCGTTCCGTGTAAAGCGTTTTTCCTTGTGAACGACTGTATGGCACCTCGGAGAGAACTCCATCGCGCAAGACCTGCGCTGTGATCCTTTGCTCCTGGTAGCCGTAAGATGGCGCAATTGGTGACCATCAAAATGGGGACTTTTAACATCACTTAACTAACAACATGTTGGCTTAATGTGGGAACATCATGGCAGTGCTTGGGGATCTTTGGTGATAATTTCTGCAGAAACATGTGGTGATTTAACCATCAAACATGATGATATGATGGGCATATATTACAAGACGGAGACACATTATTATTTCGTGGTGCTATGTCATGGGAATGTAATGATGGTTAAATATGTCATGGTGAGTCATGGCTGGTGGTTGAACCAACCCCTTGAATAGGGCTGACCATACTATACAGAATATCACACAATGGGAACCAATGGAAACCACCAACCAGATCCGCACTGGGATGCCGCAATCACTACTTGCATCTAGCATCACAGTTAAGTAAACAGTTGCGAATCCATATTACAACTGGGGCTTACCCACTGGCTATTTTACATAGCTTTGGATAATCATCATTTTGAATTGGTAAATATCGGCAAATCATCCATAAATGGGCAACTTTCCATAGCTATGTATGTCAAATTCCCGGAGGGTAAGCATGGTTAATAACTACTACCCCAAAGGTCCATCTGGAGGTATCCTGAAATGGGGGTACCCCTGTTCATCATCCATTTTCATAGGATTTTCCACTATAAACCAACAAGCTATGGGGTACCCCCATGACTATGGAAACCTCCATCTGAGAAAATCACACACAATGCCAGTGCAAGTTCGCTACAATTTAAGCACAGAACCTGGGATTAGGCGCAGCATGCCTTGGCAAACCAGACTTGTAGCCATTTACCAACCCTTGCATCACCCTCTACGCATGTTTGTTGCATGAAAGAATGATGGGTGATATATATATATATATATGTATATAAGTGTACCAGTAGTACCGCACAAGGCGGTGGCGGAAGTTTCAAAAATAGGAAACCTATAGGAGACATTGGCTGTTGTGAATCAGGGATGGCAGAGCGAATCCACTGATGGACCGAAAGGTGCTTGAGGTCTCCTCTCTTTCTCTCTCTTTCTCTGACTATCTACTTACCTACCAGCCTATCTTCTATGTATCTATGTATCTATCTATCTATCGATCTATCTATCTCTCTCTTTCTCTCTTTCATCTAATTACCTATCTACCTATCTACCTATCTACCTATCTACCTATCTACCAATCTACCTATCTACCTATCTACCTAACTACCTATCTACCTATCTATCTATCTCTCTCTCTCTCTCTCTTTCATCTGTCTATCTGTCTAGCTGTCTACCTGTCTGTCTGTCTACCTGTCTATCTGTGGTGCAGTGTCATTCAGTGTAATGTAGTGTAATGTAGTGTAGTGGAGCGGAGTGTAGTGGAATGTAGTGTAATGCAGTGTAATGTAGTGTAGTGTAGTGTAATTTCGTGTAGTGTAGTGTAGTGTAATTTCGTGTAGTGGAATGTAGTTGTGTAGTCGTAGTTGTAGTTGTAGTGTAGTGGAGTGTAGGGCAGTGTAATGCAGTGTAGTGTAATTTAGTGTAGTGGAGTGTAGTTGTGTAGCTGTAGTTGTAGTGTTGTGGAGTGTAGTGTAGTGTAGTGGAGTGTAGTGTAGTGTAATGTATAGTGTAGTGAAGCGAAGCAAGCGACATCTGAACCTCCAAAAGTGGTCCGAACTCCTGGTGTTTTTAACATGTTGACTTCGAAATGTGCTTTGCGCCACAACGGCGTGCACTTTTTCGACATCTCAACTTCCAAAAGTGCTCCGAGACCCAGGTGTTTTGTACATTGTCACTTCGAAATGTGCTTCGCGCCACAACGGCGTGCACTTTTTGGACATCTCAACTTCCAAAAGTGCTCCGAGACCGCCAGTTTTTAACACTTTTTACTTCCAAACATGCTTCCCGCCACAACGCCGTACACTTTTTCGACATCGCAACTTCCAAAAGTGGTCCGAACCCCTGGTGTTTTAACATTTTGACTTCGAAATGTGCTTCGCGCCACAACGGCGTGCACTTTTTCGACATCGCAACTTCCAAAAGTGGTCCGAACCCTGAGGTGTTTTTTACATTTTGACTTCGAAATGTGCTTCGCGCCACAACGGCGTGCACTTTTTCGACATCTCAACTTCCAAAAGTGGTCCGACCATGGTGTGTTTTGTACATTTTGACTTGGAAATGTGCTTCGCGCCACAACGGCGTGCAATTTTTTTCATCTCTCATCTGGCCAGCTGGCTCCGCACCCGCCGCTTTAGCGAGCCTACTTTTCGACCCTCCGGAGCCACAAATCATTGGAAAAACGCAGTGAATCGCGACTTTCCTACCTTTTCGCGCATCTCCATCTTCTTTCTTCTTACTCTTTCTCTTCTACTCTTCTCTCTTCTGATCTTTCTCTTCTCTCTGCCTCTGCCCTGCTCTGCTTTTCATCTGTCCATATTGTCGGAAGTTTGACTTCTAAACTTCCTTCGATAATGTGGGCGAAACAATAATAAACCACCCATGACTGAGAATGGTTTAAACAAACCTATCTATGGCGATTTGGGGGATGGTTTATTATCGCTTTACCCACCTTGTATACTGATAAATCAGGCAAATCTCCGATTCTGGAACAAGTCACAATTCCTAGACCTGATGAAGCCACGCCAAACCGGAGGAAACCCAAAGATCACCCGCATGAAACTTGGACATGAGGTCGCTTGCCGTGTTTTTCGAAACCATGGAACGCAATTTTGGCATATGAAACCATCATGTTGATTCATGGAATGCTAGTCACAGTCCCCATTGTGGTTGGTTAATCCGTTTAGATCCGTTTAGCCAATGATTTGTTCTGGCTAAAACCCTATGTTTCTTTCAATCTTCGATACCCTGCCAGAAAAAAACTGGTTAAGTATGTAATTATCTCCATTCATAACAAAAGATGAAGTTGCACCAGAATGTCCAGTCGGATGCCCCAGACATGTATCCATTGTTTCAAATGAAATCCCACCATTTTGGATAATTCATTCCCTGTCCAGTCGGTCGGTTGACGCAGACACAGCAACGTAACATCAACCGACTGGATTTATAAAGCATGGTTGATTTGGGTTGATTTAGGGGGGGTTCACCCCAAATAGTGATGTCATTTGCTACTTGAATGGGTACCTCCGCCAATGATTAACTGCCTATAAGTGGTTAGCAACTGGGTTATCAACCACGAACTATCCCAATTATAAACCATTTCCGAAGTATAGTTAACTAGCAAACTATCTTTCAGCCCAGTATTATCAATATCATTATCATTATTGTCCCACTATCATCCCTATTATTAAACCATATGCAACCAATGGTTTTAACCCATGATCCCGACGCCGCCCTTGGGCGGTCCATCATCGACTTGATGCTCTTCTGACTCGCCAGCCGGACCGAGGCGTTGAAGAAGCCGGAGACAATGGCGATGAAGACAGCGATGATGGTGTAGTGCCAATAGGAAAACCACAACTCAAGGGCCAAAAAAGGGGCGCTTCTGGCGACTTTCCGCATGTAAAACATACGGTAAAATATGGTGAAAGATGATTTTAATTCTAATCATGAGGGGAGGGGAAGATTCATGGGTTTGAATGTAATAGTGATGGATAATGAAGGTATACCAATCAATCCATTTACTGTAGTTTCAAACAGGAGAACCTCAACTGTGGCCCCTCTGTGGCTGCAGAAAATGGGAGGGAATCATGGAGAAAGTGTTAAAAGAACAAAAACTATGGGGATGATCATCACCAACTTATCTTTTAAAGGGATTCTCATAATAAACATAATCAACACTATCATGATCTTTTGAAAGGATCACAATAAATGTTTGGGGATCACAATCACCACTGGCCTCAGTGTAACCCAGTTACTGGGGCCCTTTTTATGTAATCGGGAGATCCTTCAAGAGTCGTCAGCCTAGGGAGTATAGCATGGGTATGACATATACGCCACTTTCATGGCCACTGACAAAAGTTGCTTGAACATAAACGTCCATCCAGTGATTTTGAAGTGTTGAACTAACCTAGCTAACATTAGCTAACTACAGTTACTACAGTTATGGTCATTTATTAGTTATAACTGGTTATAAATGGGATTGTACATTCTATAAATGGGGTTTTGTTAGTACTTATATTTGGCATTTTGGGCCAAAACTGTAGCAAACATCACTGTTGGAGACGTTTTGTGGCATGGATGAACACCACGTTTTTCAGGGCCCCTCAAAAAGTTGGGATCGTCAACCAGCGGATGTTACGGGTACCAGTAGACAGGGAAGGATCCAGCGGATCGTCAAAGCGCAATCCTGTGGATGGGTCAGCGAAATCCTGCACCAGTTGATAAGTGGTTGACATCCCATTATTTTGGTTTATAACTCCAATAACTATATGGTTTATAGGAGATATTATATCTATAGTTGATGGGGTCTATAAACCAATTTATAGGCTTTCAACCATCCCAGGTGGTGCAGGATTTCGCAACCATCCACAGGACATCTGCTTGAAGGAGGATCCCAATGAACAACTGATTTATGTGGAGTTGGTGGAGTTAGAATCCTCTTCACACATGGGATAATCCACGGGATTATAAACCCTCTGATTATTTAACGCAGCGAACTGGAACATCACCATCTTCAAGAACGGTAAATCATGAAAATCATCATCTTTATCATCTGCAAATTGGGTGATGTTCATGGATTTTCCATAGCTATGTGAAATGACTGAAATGACCAAGAGGGTACCAATCGTTAGCGTACACCTCCGTATCATCCAGTCTCCTAGGGTTTGCAATGACTTAGACATGGCCCAAGCGTTTTCAAACTGGATAATCACATTGCAACTTACCTGTGATTCACTCGTCAGTGAACAACAAGTAGTTTTATCGTGCCGTGTTCTTTCCCCCATGGTTTCTTGGTTCCGCAGCTTCTCTCCAAGACACGCAAACAGCGTAGATCGAAAACTGGTACAAAAAGAAGTAGGTGCAGAATTCCTCACGTCAGGGGGATTCAACATGATTCAACCACCTCCCACGGCCTCCCACGGCGCAAGGTGACCTCTCCAACTACACCAGTTATATTCGTTGAATCCCTACTTTCGACAGCTATCTAGGCTATCTCCGAAAATCCAAACTTATCTCCACCAAGCATATCCGATGATACTCACCAGTTTTATATCGTTTTGTAATGCCAAAAACTTCTGATTTTCCACATTTTTTGTAATGGCTCAACCGGATCCGGATCCCATCCCAAGCTCCGGATCTCCAAGGCTCTTCCGTAAGGGCTTGACCCATGGAGTCCACTTCAAAGGGAATCTGGTTAGGCCCTGCTGTCCTGCCGTCCCGTTAAAAGATGGAGAACAGTTCTGGTTTATATTAATGGTTTACCATTCTACAAGTATGTGTAATTATGATTACTTATATATATACATAGTTACATTTATATTTATATATTATGTATATATATACATAATATATATATATATATATTATGTATATATATATACATATATGTATAAAAAAAAATACAGGTGTGTGTGTGCGCACATGAACTGGCCATTCTGTGGTTACCACAGTTTTCAATAGGTCTTTGGTGGGACCTCCAGTGTTTCACACCACGGCGAAAATCACCATGTCGTCTTTGGTCTCTTAGAGCATCATTTTGGAGCCACTTTTTACTGGTTGGTGGTTGACCTACCCCTCTGAAAAATGATGGAGTTCGTCCAGTTGGGGTTATGAAATTCCCAACTGTATGGAAAGTCATAAAATTCATGTTCCAAACCACCAAGCAGTTTATCTATGGTAGATAGTCTCTTTCCGATCTCTTTCAGTGTTTGTATGGATCCTAGACGTTCGTTGCAAGAAAAAGGGGTGGATAGCCATCTTAGCGATGATCTGGTGACTCAGCGAGCTGGCGTCAAACACTGATGGGCCTGATTGGCTCTAATTCGTGGTTGACCTACCCCCTGAAAAATATTCGTCAGATTGGATCATCATCCCAACTGGAGAATAATAATCCATTCATGTTCCAAACCACCAACCAGTTATATCTCATTAACCATTATTAACCACTATTCAGCACTATTAACCACTATTTTTATGGGCCTGATTGGCTGTTGTTGATAAATATGAACATGAATAGCTGAAGAACATGATGAACATCATAAGCTCTTCAAAAACCTGCGGTTTTTGAACACCTGTTTCCTGCGGTGCGGTATCAGCCGCCAACTATTCGATGGTCTCAAAATGAGTTTGAAAGATCTGAAAGGATCAAAGCACGAATGAGCACCTGGTATCATTTGGTTAGACCATTATTAACCATTATATGGTTATATAAGTTATATCTCATTAACCATTATTAACCACTTCTTTTCACCACTCATAAACAATCTTTAATAGATTGCCAATGTACAACCGACTGGTCCTTTGGTTGCCAACACATCTGGCGCGCTCCTGTACATCTCTTCGACCGTCATGAAGGCGCCATGAACCGATGTTCCACGACTCCTGAAGCGGGGTCGAATAACTGTGGAGGTTCATCGTTCACGATGCTAATGATGATAATGAGATGGTCAATAGTCAATCACTTTTAATCAATTAGTGATGATTTCATCTTAGGAACATCATCTGGATTCTATAATGGTATATTTCTGTGCCCCCAATTACAGTACATTTAATACACATAGGGAAGGACCCCGAACTAAGTGGTTGATTTCCTGAAGCTGACCCATCCAGACTGGTGTTTTTTTCCCCTGAAAAAAAACACATACAGAGTGTATCAAGTCAAAGAAGGGGGAACATTTATGTATATATATATATGAATCATATAAGGTGTCATTGAGGATTCATTAGGTTGGTTTTAAGATGTTTTTTTGGGGGAGACTACAGGAAACCATGGTGCTTCCACCCAATTTTTTGGGGGTTTTCCTGCAGAATTTTTTCCTTCATTCAAGTCATGGAAATGATCCAGACCCCAGCAATTTTGATGGGTGAATCCTCATATTGGATATTTTTATGGCAACATCAAAAAAAATACCCATGGAAAATCACCATTTATAGATGGTCTACCTATTAATAACATGATGATTTTCCATGGCAGACTGTTAAATAACTAGATGGTAGAACGCATCATCCAGGATTTTGCGGGAATAAATACGACGTTTCCCCCTCGTATGTTCCAACTTTATCTCTTTAAGGCCTTTGCTTTAAAGTGAAAAGGTTGTAAGGTTTTGCCAACAGTGAAGCAAGAAAGAAGACTGTCCTTTTGGAAAAGAAATAGAAGGGTCGGTTTGGTATACCATTTACCATCATTTACTGTACCTACGGTTTGCTGCATGGAGGGACCCAACCAAGCAATGGCAACACATCCCCAGTCCTCAAGCCACCATGGGCTAACAACTCAGTAAAGGCTTCATGGTCGCGATGGAGACCTCCAAAAAGTTCGGCGAGACGGCAGTGGAACTGGAGCATTCCCGAGATATCCAAAAGTGTCCTCGCTATATCCCCCATGACTTGGAGATATATAATAACTTAATGCAATTAAGTCTTAAGTTCTTGGATTTTCCAGCCATGACTGCAAGAGGGTCAAACGTAGTTAGGAATTAATTGCAAAGAAAAGTCAAACATGGGACATATATAAATACTACTTGGCGGGGGAACAGTTCCATCAAGAAGTGGAATAATGTTGGTAAAACAATTTTATAGACCATCCCCCAGGAAAATCACCATTTTTACAGGTGGTATATTTACCATTCCCAAATGGTTTGTTTATTATGACTACATCAATGATGATTAATCTTTAGTAAACATGATAGTTACCCAATAGTATAGTTAACCATTCATTGATGCTACCCAGTCATGGCTGGTAAAAATGGCATTGTTTTACCCACATTGAAACGCCGATAGCCGATAGCCGCGGTGTAGCCATAAGCTGTGAAATCCACAGAAACTGGGTGGTTTACCCAGATGGTTTGCCAAATCATCCATATATATATATATAATATATATATATATATCTATTGGAATTCTATTGGTTTGCTATTGCTTTGCAGAATTAAACAACCCTTGTATTATACTATATGATACGTATTTGTACATCCCATTCTATCACCAGTTATTTTCGAAATCCATCTTCCCGGTTGTTATACCATATGAAAAAACACCATTTATGCGGTGGAATTCCATGAATAATCATGGCAACTACCTACGCACCAGGTAAGACGAGGCAAGATTGGTATGCGGAAAGTCTAAAATCCGAAGAAGAACCAAGGGCAAGACGAAAGAAGAACAGGGCAAAACCGTGCAAAACCCATATTAATGGATTGGTTGGAGGAAAAAATTACAGGAAACCCCATATTTCAATCATGTTCAAACCATGGTTTCCTGTAGATTTTCCAATCCAGTGACCCTGGCTGCGCTCCAGGGCCGAGGTACTACTACTGGGATCGTGCTGCTGAAAGCCATCACTCATGGGGTCCTGAGCCGTGCACATTGGGTTAATGGCAAAGGGATTTCATCTTCATTTATCAGGCTGAAACCATCAAGAATGATGGTTGGTAGACTGCAGGATATTCGGTCATGAGGCTATGTATACCTGCAGGAAACTACCTAGCTTAGTTGTTGAAGTTGTATAATGTTACATAGGGATGATCATCACCCCAATACGTAAACCAAACGTTTTTTTATGGGATCACTGAGAATGGCGCTGCTCACATGCTTTTGAGGATGATTCGCTCTGAAAATTAAACAACAAGCATTGAGTTGCAGAAATGAAATATTGATCTTGGCTTCATCATATTAATTCACCAACGTGAAATAAGGTCGTTTTGGGATTGTCATCAAACATATAAAGCTTCATTCCAGAGACCTCGCAGTGAGATGCAGTGAGGTTGTTACAGGTTGTTATAATTTGTTCAGATGGGATTGGATAGAAAATGATCGAAATGGATATAGGTCTGCCAGGTCAGATTCTGCGAGGTAACATGACCAACATAAACGGGGTAACAACGACAACAACACTTGACAAAAACATATCGAAACTATCGATAGACTATCGAGTTGGAAACTGATCATTGGGGTTCCATCATCGATGTAGTGATGAATATTAAGTAGTTCACACTGTTAAACAGCAATTTTTATACATGATGAAACTGAATCTTGGTCAACGGGCAACTCCTGCAACCAGGTAACCAGGAGTTTGAGAAACTTGTTTGCAAAATCAATCAATCCATATATATATATATATATATTTGGTGAATGACCCGATGTTGTAGTAGCCATTTAGCCATTTATATAGTCAAATTCTTGTTTATTTGTCAAATCTTTGCACATCAGACCTAAACCCAACGAAGATCCCAAAACTCAGGCCCCTTTCTGAAAAGAAATGGCAAGGCTAGGACAATGGTGTGAGTGTCGTGTGTCCATCTTAACTGTCAAGTCTGTTGGACCAGGGACTTGGAGCTTGCCTCAGAATCATTCGAACTTGACATGGCTACCCTTCACTTTTCCAGGCTGGGAAATCCCCTACAAAAATGGAGGTGTTGATGGAAACATCAGCTACAAATGGTGGATTACCAGAAGCTACACACCTTTTTCTTGACCAATTTGGGGGATGAATTGACCCAATGTTCAGCCAGTTTGGCGAGTATCCCATGAGTCATACTGGTTGGTTGATAGCTAAAAAAAAAACTAATATCCATCAATGCTAGCAACAATCAACATAATCATCATTATTATCATCATCATCACCATCATCATCAACATAATCATCATAATCATCATACTGATTGGTTAGTTCATAATCATCATCCCCAATGAATATATCCATCATCCGCAAATAGCTTAGTTCCAACGATCCTTTTGTTCACCACCGTGCGCCGTGCACCGGTTGCATGGCACGAAGAACTGAGCTTCCCCACGTAGACATATCGTTGACACCGAAACCTGGGATGGCATGGAACAACTCTACGTAGTGTTCATGACTTTTCACCCTCTGGTTATTTAATATAGAAACTATAGTAATGTTATTTAATACAGTAATATTTAGATATAGTAGACACTATAGTAGAAACTATATTTGATGTTATTTAATATAGTAATATAGACATTTATGTACCTGTTGTTATTGAATATAGAAACTGGTATTTAACTTAAATATACCTGTTTTTCTTTAATATAAAAATACCTCTGGTTATCTAATGCACCTATTTTCACAAGTCTGGCTGGTCAAGCTAGGAAATGGTCCATAGAAATGGATATGTAGAGTTAACCTTGAACATGGTGGTGAACCTAGATATACCTTTGGAACATATGGTCCATTTATGGATGATACACATTTAGATCCAGGAAATGAATGGGAATGACGCGGCCATGGGTGTGGTAAGCCAGCCATAGCTCATTTCCCGTGACCAAACCAATGATACACCTACCATGCGGGTATTTTTTTACCATTTTATACCATCCATTTATGGTAAAAATTTGGCCTAAAATTTTGCCTTACTAAGATTACTTTCACAATCATGAAAAACCATTGCCTTACTAAGATTACTTTCACAACCATGAAAAACCGAAAACACTCTCAAATATAGCACCACCCACAAAACGCTACGTTTCTTTGTTGGGCTTACCATGGCTTATCACGATCATCCTGGAAAGATGGTCTGCCATAATGTCAACCCTGGATGAATGCAGCCTCGTTGATTAGAGTGGCGCTGCGGCGTTCCCCAAGAATTCTACGACCCGAAATTGGGGGCTTCTGGGGCCTGGCCTGTGATGTGATATCGTGGGAATATAAGTTGTCATTCATATAGCATGGTTGATAAACAAATGGATACCCTCTGGTAAACTAACGTAACTATGGAAAATCACCATTTTTAATGGGTAAATCCACTATAAATGACCATTTTCAATAGCAAACTGTTAGTTTACCAGAGAGTAAACATGGGAGATTCCACCAAAAACGTGACGTCATGCTACTAGAACGATACCCGCCAATGACCACCAGTGCGGTTATGAAGAGCAGCGCGGTCATCATCCAATATCTCTGGAGTAACGATCTGTGTTGATTATATTGTTCATAAGGTCATATAGTTGACATGAGGGCAACTGCCAGTCATGGACAGGGTTTGAGTATAACTGTCATTTCGCAATTTGACTTCTCATGTTTTGTAGGTTGTAAAATGGTTAATTACATGTGTATATATAATTACATATATATATACACATACATTATACCATGTTATACCCCTATGATCCCCTATGTGTCTTGGCTAAAAGAACCATGATTTTGCCGGCGAAATCACCTTCTTTTGGCGGGGCCTCTGGCAATAAGAATGACCCCAAATGGTTGGTTACTGCTTGGTTCATGGTTGGACAATGGTCGGTTGGTTGATGCGACAATAATAATAATATCTAATCATATAACCCATTGGAATTGAGGCTTCCCTATTTTCAGACAAGGCCAACAAGATTGCACCAGCATGGGATGGTTTATGATTGGCACTGCATGAGTTTTCCCACAGAATTGGCGAAGCGACTCCACAAACTGCATCCGGCTCACGGGGTCATACCTCAGATGTATGGGATGATTTTGAGATGATCACCCCAACTGGTGCTTCAAGCCAATTACCATCTGGTTATTTAACATAGCCATGGAAAATCCCTTATAAATGGAGGTTTTAATGGGAAAATCATCTATAAATGGGCAATTTTCCATGGCTATGTTAAATAACCAGAGGGTAAATGGTATACCCCAAGTGGAGGATTCATAAAACACATCCAAAATCACCGGTTCTCCCTAGTGGAACTGCACCTGCAAGTAGGGGGCCTTAGTAGATAAAGTCAATTTTTAACCATTGAAACTGTTGCTAGAGGCAGCTGGGTGAATCCGCCCATTCTGGTTGAAATGATTGGTTCTGCCGGTCGTTTGACATTCCCAGAATGGGTGGCAAGAACCCATTGATGTAGCACCAGGCGGCCTCATGTCTCCCTGGAACTCTTCATGTCTGGACAAGTTTCCAAACCGAAAGTTTGTGTTGGTTAAATACCCCCATTGATGTAGCAATGGGTGATCTTACATCACTTAGAATAAAAACAATAAAGACAGAGGTCCCCACCTAAACCCCAGTTGGTTGATTGATGATGATTACAGGGATTATACTAACCAATATCATGGGGAATATCTATTATAGGGGATTGTATAGCCAATTATAAGGCATACTATATTTATAACCAATATATAGGGGCTAATATACATACAAACCAATATTACAGGGGATTCTATATCATACTAATCGATCCAGATCCCAATAGACAATGGGAATATGTTCCACATATCCGCATATATAGAATACCATATTAACCATTATCATCATAGTGGGATTATCTTGGGATTATATGGAGGTTTCATAAAATGGAGGTACCCCAAAGTGGATTGTCTATAATGCACCATCCTGTTAAAATTGATGATTTGGGGGTACCCCCATTTCATGAAACCTCCATATGATCATAGGATCCATGGTGCTAGTATATATGCTAACATTGGGGGTATATTGATGGTAAATGTTACCATATACGGTATACACGGATCCCACGGGCATGGGAATATCCCCACCGGCTAGTCCCGTTCTCAAAACATTTTCCGTCGCCACGCTGCTTCAAGGGCAAGGTCTGGGAGGAAGTGCCAGACAGCGACAGGAAGCCACCCGGGAGCTCCTCCGTGGGAGAAGTGCTTAGTGAAAAGACATAATTGTGGCGTAGAATTACATTAATATGATTAATTATTGCTATAATTAGATAATTATCATTATCACCATTAATGATGAATCATAATTTAGAAATTTAGACATTATAGCCATACTTTGAAAATGATATACACCATTATACACCATTCATTAGACATTATATACACATAATGATGAACAATGACTGGAACGGATAATTAAATTGTGTATAATTCAAACTACATCTACCGTCCGGTGTCATCAAACGTGGGATGGAAAACGCCAGTGTTAATCTAGTTGGTGGTTTGAAACCATCTGGAAAATATGAAAGTCCAGTGGAAAGAGCTCCATGAAACATTGGCGACCAGATCGCTTTGCATCATGTAGAAACAAGATCTCTAGACAAGACCGCCGACCAAGATCGCCGTAAAACATGTCTATTAAAAAAGCTTAGAAATATCTGTTGACACAAAGTGGCGACACATGTGCAACTATGAAGTCAAATAGCATGCAATACTGTTACCTGGTACTGTGCTTACAGTCTTTGAGGAGTCCATGTTACTCAAAGGTCAAGGGCGCCCTGAAGAAAGAGCCAAGTCTCCAGAATTTCACCCGTATATGGGCAATGAAATTTGATCTGGATTCGTGGAATAAAAGCGACAAAGGGAATCCAAAAGGCATGAATGACAGCGGGCGTAAGTAAGTGTACAAGTCCTTGATGACATGTCGGAAGCGACAGTTCTGCTCATATCGGCAGTACCCGAAGCGAAACAAAATCTCTGCATTTGTTAATGGGCTTCCTGAGATGCGTGCAAGATTCGCTGGAGCGACACAAAGCTATTTAACGGCACCAAACCAGTTTACAAGACAGGCTTGGCTTACGTGGAAAGTGTCGCGACTCTGGAAAGTCCAATCCAAATTACAGGGACGGTTTGGCATCGTAGCGGCAGCATCTTCAACAAATTTCCTGAGATCTGCACCCACATGGTTGATGATGTCATCATTTTCCGTGGTCAGGAAATTCATCACTATTCCGACTATTCCTGTTAAACTGGTTCCGAAAAAATAGGCCACCTCGTGTACGGGAAAACCCCCTTAGTTCTTAACTCATCAACAAAGGTATTTTAATGGTTCATGTAAAACATTGGCTCCACAAAAAGAAAAAAACAACATAAAAACCCATCATTCAATCATCATTGATCTCCCGAGTGCAACCTATTCTTCCATGTTTTGCATGATACTCTCATCATTGTTACTATAACTTGCCACCTGCAATGTATGCTGTATGTATATATATATATATAAGCCAGTCAGTGTATGTAACCGCCTATATGAACCCATCAACAGAGGTATGTGTTAACATATTCCGTCTTGATTCCCAAAAAAATTGGTTTCCCATTGAATGTCATTGGGGAACCAAAAAAAACACCTTGAACAAACCCTATATCCATATTATCAATGCCAAATCTATCCCATTACATCTCATTAGAGCCATTATAATCATATAATACTATAATTTATAATAACCGCAAAGTATATATCAATATAATCCCATCATCTCTCCAATGTAGAGTATCCCTATCATAAAGATAATTGTTATTATCCAATTACAGTAATATCCCATGATTATCCCCATATTTACCATCATTATTGCGGCTAAAGTCCTATTTCTTGTTAATCAAACGAATAGATAATTCATGTCATACTAGAGTTGATAATACTGTAGCCAGACAGCATATAATCATGTAATCCCATCATGTCCTTATTTATATCTATATGTGCATATCCCAGATATATCCCAATATTTACGATATCCCAATATATCCCTATTGTATATATATATATATATACACTTACCATTCATATCCATGATTGTTCAATTCATATCCCATTATCCTCGTAATTACCATCATTATTGTGGCTCAAATTCCCAACTGTGTTGGTTAACTCCATGTTTGCCCTGGTTGATTCACCAAACAATCCATATCATACATACTAAAGTTTAAAGCAATCATATAGCACATAATCATATACTCCGATTATATACCAATTGTATGTTCCAGATATATCCCAATATAGTATTATGTCCCAATCTATTTCTATGAGTCTCTATCCAAATAAAACTCTATTGTAGATGACTTCCCCTTCATTACATCCCCATTAATATCCCATTATATAGCCACATTCATATCCCTATATTACGATATCCGATATAGTATATAGGAATATAATCCCATCATATGTCCAATATATCCTTATTATATTGATAATTACCATTGGCTTTATCTAGTTGTATAAATCCTCATCGAATCAACTGCATCCCGTTAAATCCTCACTATATCATGATAATCCAAAACAAATGCATAATCGTAGTACATATCATAGTAATCAGTTGTACTAAAATCTCAATATTTACTGCTATATCTTCCTGTAATCCATTGATCTTACTACCATAGGTTAGGCCCCAGAAAAAAGAAAAAAACACATGGGGACTTGATTTAAGCCTTATCATCATTATATCCCATGATGATCCCATATATCCCAGATTCCGTTTTCTCATAATATGACTTCCTTCCCATATCATAATGATATATCCCATTTCTATTTAGACCATTATCATCCTTAGATTGGGATATATTTGGGATGTGTATATATAGTATATAATAAAACAAAAAATAAAATAAAATATAATATAATATAATATAATATAATCTGCTGATCACCCAAATATCCCATTATGATCCCAATTGTATCCCACTATCAATCATCGTAATTATTAGATCCCAAATACCCGGCCTGGTAAACTAACAGTTTGCTATTGACAATGGCCATAGAAATAGTTGATTTACCCAGCTGTAAAATGGTGGATCTTTCCATAGTTTTTTGTATGTTTACCAGAGGGTATATGCCCATAAATCTCCCATAAATTTCCCATCTTCCCGCCCAAAAACCTCGCCTTTCGTCTCAGAATCTTCGCCGCCAGGCGCAGCAGGGACTTGCGCAGCGCCAAGGTCCGACTGTAGCCGCTGCTGATGGTCTCCTGCGACTGAACGCGGGATGGACGCTGAGAACATGGGGAATAAACCGTTCGAAAAATGGGAATATCATGGCTGGTTGGTGGTTAATAGTGGTTAATGGTGGTTAATGGTGGTTAATGATGGTTAATAATTGATTAATAAAGGCTGGTTGGTGGTATACCTACTCCTCTTAAAAATGATGGAGTTCGTCAGTTGGGATTATGAAACTCCCAACTGAATGAAAAGTCATAAAATTCCATGATTCCAAAGCACCAACCAGATGGGAATATCAGGTGCATCCCCAGGTTCTGACCACAAATTGGAATGGAACTCAACAACCAATTGGGATTTGTTGACAGTAAAAATGGGATTTGACCCTTTTCAAACATTGGAATTACTACGTCGAAAAAAACATCAAATAGTGACATGACAAGCAAAACTGGGGATATTCCTTGATAAAGTATGGCTATGAAACGCCGCTACTTACCAACAGTTAGCCATCAATACATTTGCATTCATCAGAATACAGCTGGAGGTGACATCATCTGGACGGCCCTAGAACTTCCATGGTTTGAGATGCCTCATTTTTTTTCCGTGATTTGTTTGATATAAATTGGCGGGAAATCCCAAGGTTTTTTTGTTTTTGGCGAAAAAACACATATGCAAAGCCAGATGCGGTTCATATCTAATCGAATTTCCGGTTTCACGAAACACATTTTGGGAACTAATTTCACTGCCAAGAACATACCTGATTTCACCATGATCACCATCCCAGAATATCCCCACATCAGGGTATGAGACGCATATTTAAATCATCAACCACAAAAAAAACAACAAAAAACATCCTACTAAAACAGTGATAAATTACATGTTTACATGTTTTTGGATTATTACATTTGAATACATTTGAAACCACCAACCAGGTGTGTAGCTGATGTATCTGCAATATAGACACAAAGCGCCTGACGCTCTTGGACATAGACGCAAATCACGGATGCCTGCATGCTGATGACTCACGGGGGAACTATTCCAACCGGTTCAACCATTCCAATGGATCAGAAATGGTTTAAGGGGAAATTAAGCGATCGTTGGAAACACTCAAACGCTGATCAATTCCGTGTTTGCAACACATGTTTGTTTGGTTGGTGAGTGTCAGTGTGTATTATATTGTATTACCATTTGTGGCGAACAACAATAAACGTAACGGACTCAACCAAGGTTTATGACAATAAACACCCAAAACATTTTTTGTTTTCGATTGTGGGCAATGATTCGTGGTGTTGTTTCAGGCCCGTGTTTGAGAACATGGGGATACCATGGATACAGAGATCACGATGTGCAACAGTCAACTGATCTAAGGCCAAAAAACATTGCTGGCTGGGAACCCCAGCTAATTAACTTCGTATGATCCTCACTATGCCATATATTCTGACATTCCATCTGGCGTTCTATCTGACATATTCTGAAATACTATCTCTGACATATGATTTCACATTCTATCTGACATCTTATGTGGCATTCTCTGTGACATCCTATCTGACATAAAATCTGACATTCCATCTGGCATTCTATCTGACATTTTCTGAAATACTATCTCTGACATATGATTTCACATTCTATCTGACATCTTATGTGGCATTCTCTGTGACATCCTATCTGACATAAAATCTAACATTCCATCTGGCATTCTATCTGACATATTCTGAAATACTATCTCTGACATATGATTTCACATTCTATCTGACATCTTATGTGGCATTCTCTGTGACATCCTATCTGACATAAAATCTGACATTCCATCTGGCATTCTATCTGACATATTCTGAAATACTATTTCTGACATATGATTTCACATTCTATCTGACATCTTATGTGGCATTCTCTGTGGCATCCTATCTGACATAAAATCTGACATTCCATCTGGCATTCTATCTGACATATTCTGAAATACTATCTCTGACATATGATTTCACATTCTATCTGACATCTTATGTGGCATTCTCTGTGACATCCTATCTGACATAAAATCTGACATTCCATCTGGCATTCTATCTGACATATTCTGAAATACTATCTCTGACATATGATTTCACATTCTATCTGACATCTTATGTGGCATTCTCTGTGACATCCTATCTGACATAAAATCTGACATTCCATCTGGCATTCTATCTGACATATTCTGAAATACTATCTCTGACATATGATTTCACATTCTATATGACATCTTATGTGGCATTCTCTGTGACATCCTATCTGACATAAAATCTGACATTTCATCTGGCATTCTATCTGACATATTCTGAAATAGTATCTCTGACATATGATTTCACATTCTATATGACATCTTCTGTGGCATTATCTGTGACATCCTATCTGACATAAAATCTGACATTTCATCTGGCATTCTATCTGACATATTCTGAAATAGTATCTCTGACATATGATTTCACATTCTATATGACATCTTCTGTGGCATTATCTGTGACATCCTATCTGACATAAAATCTGACATTCCATCTGGCATTCTATCTGACATATTCTGAAATACTATCTCTGACATATGATTTCACATTCTATATGACATCTTATGTGGCATTCTCTGTGACATCCTATCTGACATAAAATCTAACATTCCACCTGGCATTCTATCTGACATATTCTGAAATAGTATCTCTGACATATGATATCACATTCCATCTGACATCTTATGTGGCATTCTCTGTGACATCCTATCTGACATAAAACCTGACATTCCATCTGGCATTCTATCTGACATTTTCTGAAATACTATCTCTGACATATGATTTCACATTCTATATGACATCTTCGTGGCATTATCTGTGACATCCTATCTGACATTTCCATCTGGCATTCTATCTGACATATTCTGAAATACTATCTCTGACATATGATTTCACATTCTATCTGACATCTTATGTGGCATTCTCTGTGACATCCTATCTGACATAAAACCTGGCATTCCATCTGGCATTCTATCTGACATTTTCTGAAATACTATCTCTGACATATGATTTCACATTCTATCTGACATCTTATGTGGCATTCTCTGTGACATCCTATCTGACATTCCATCTGGCATTCTATCTGACATATTCTGAAATACTATCTCTGACATATGATTTCACATTCTATCTGACATCTTATGTGGCATTCTCTGTGACATCCTATCTAACATAAAATCTGACATTCCATCTGGCATTCTATCTGGGAGCGTGTCTGCCAAATATGCTATCTGGCATTGCATCCGGCATTCCATGCGGCATTCTTTCTGGCATTCTATCCGGCATTGTATCTGACATTCTTTCTGCCATTCTCCGGCGTTTTATCTGGCATAGGCAAGCCCCAGAGAGCTTGCGCGCATGCTGTTTGTATTCGGGGGGGCGGGCGTGTACAGTGTGTGCTTGAATATATGTTCAGTTGTGTGTGAGCGTCTCTGTGCGCGGAAAGTTCTGTTAAAATCTAGAGACCCTGACCTGGCAGCTGGGGAAACAAATGATTTTCAGATTGTCCAGTTTTTTAGCCAGGTTTCATCGATGAAGAGAACACGCAAACATGAAGAGGATAACTATATGGTGCGATTCTATGCATGTGGAAAAAATGTATAAAACCAACAGCCAAGAACTACGGATTGTTGGCCCAAAACAATTGATGATAGAAGCAATGAATATACAAGCACTACTCACTCTTGATGTTTTTTGCCGCATACGGTACCTCACCAAACAATGCGCCAACATCTCGGCCAAGCTGAAGGCTGTTGTGGTGCTCAGATGGAAGCAGGAGATCCGCAGGCGCTGGCTTTCAAGTTTTGGTGGATTGTGCGCCCTTTCTTGTCCACAAAGGGCAAGAATCTTCTCCGGAGGCTAATGCTTTCCGCAGCGTTCTGAGCCATGGGTTTAAACCAAAGGAAAGATGGGACACAAACCGGCAAGAACGGGCTATTGTGTGTCGTCAAACTATTTTCATTCCTTACGCAGCTTCGAACGCGCTGCCACAGCTATCCTCGCGGATAGTTGAAAGTTGCTGACTTTTCCGCCGGGCTGTTGACAGTTGGCAATTGGCAGTAAGATGGGACCTTACTTCATGTCTTCGGGCAATGCAGCTTTCAAAAATTGCCGTAAGAAATGATCAGTTCTGCCAGCTACATCGCACTGCCCGTTTGCAAAATGCTGGCAATACTGCTGCCATGCTGTTGCAAGCCCTTCCCTGGCCTCAGGATCCAAAACGAAAAACAATGACCAATGCACTAGGGCATACCTTGCCAGCAGGGTCCTTTTATACAGCTCAAAACACCAAATCAGAATTAAAGGGGCCGCACAAAGGGCGATGTCATCAATATTCTTGGTGGCTGCAGTATGGCTCGGCCATTTTAACAAGAAACTGATAGACCAGTGGATGCAATAGGTTTTTCCACAGTTTCCCCAGAAAAAAACAGACACAGCGCCACAGCGCCACAGCGGAGGCCTTGTGGAAAGGAGTCCTGAGACCAAAATACTTCACCATCTGCCCCCCGCTGTTGTCGATCAGCAGGAAGAACCAGGCGACGCTGATGCACCAAACCTGGGTCCAAAGGGCCGACTAAGCGATGGAACGGTCTGGTGAAGCCATGTATGGCTCCAAGATGCTCTTTTTTTGGTTTTCAGGAAAAAGCAACGAGAACGGGACAGATGTTTCTACTGAAAACCAACCATTATGTTGTTGCCAACGGGTTGTGACGTTTTAGCAGCAATAATGTTAGGTGGTGGGCATGGAAAATGTAAGTTGGTGGTGCTGAGGACTTGTTTCCCCTCACAAAAACACAGGTGTTTGGAACCTCCCCCACGACCTTACATTTTGTGGTGTGGCCAGCCAAATGTGGTAAGGTACCAGAAAGGGGGGGAGGCAGAAAAAATGCAAGTCACAAATTGTTGACCCCCCTTCCCATTTCCACTGTCACAACGTGCCTGGTGTATTCCTGATGGATACCCTGAATATTCTTTGACGGGGCCATGCCTGGGGGGTCGGAACTTACATGTTTCACCCATATTATTCCTTGATTTTTGCTACCTTACAGCTTTTAAGTCACAATTAACCCCCCTCAAAAAAACTTCCCCCCAAGAAACCTAGGCGAAGGCCCTTGGGGATGTTGTGACATCTTCTATCCATGTTGCTTGGAGTTTGGGTGCATCCTTCCAGATTAGGATGGAAAAATAATCGACCTGTAAAACCATTGGCAAGGTCACTATACCAGGTTCAGACCATCTCAAACGTTTAGGATGCAAAGACACCTCACTTTTTTGTTGAATTGATCCCAATGTTCATGGGTGAAACAGCTGTAAGTTTATTGCATTGCCAATATCTGGGATAGCCTGAAAACAAATACCAGTTTTATATAGTTTTATCCAGTTTTCTGGTTTGTAACTCCCTTTTATTAAACTCTATTATTCATTTCAAAGATTATATGGGATGGGTCAAAACCTTGTACCCCTTCTGTTCACATCAAAGTAGCCCCATCCATTCGGATTTTTCGGATGTTCCACTGTAAACCAACCATAACTTGGGAATCCCCTATGTACTAAAGTTACTAAACTAAAGTTACTAAAGTTCCTAAACTAAAGTTACTAAGCCAACCATAACTTGGGAATCCCCTACGGAAACCTCCATGTAGAGTCCTAAAGTTACTAAAACGACCCATCCAGCCAAGAGACGACTAGAAACCTGTCGCAGCTTGGCAGTGGCGGGAAGAAACACACATGAGTGGATTCTTCAGTGAGAAGGGTTATAATATGTTACAATATGTTGTAGTTATATAAGAATCACAAATATTCATAGATTTATAGATTACACTAGGTCAATGTAGTTCAATGTATTCCATGTCATTAAATTAGAATCGAAACAACCAGTCGAAATGCTCAGAGAAGATTCTATGAAAAAATGGACATAAAAAGCATTCCGACATGTTCGGGGCACCACCAAATGCGACGGTGAGAGGGTCCCTGGGAGGTTCAAACAGAATCAAACTACAGAGAGGTTGGCCCGAAGGACCAAGTGTACATCTAATGGTCCAATGATATTATAAGACCCTCTTGTAACTTGTTACATAGCTATGGTATAGAACGCCCATTTACAGAGGAGTCAGTATTAAACTCAGTGATTTTCCATGTGTTAAATCTCCAGAGGGTAATTACATCGGAGCTGATTTCACCAATCTTCAAAATCATTGTCGAAATTACTCAGCTTTTGTCATCGAGTAGCCTTCTAAGATCTTCGAGCAGTTGTTTGGTATGCAGCTGGTACGATCCAGTCGTGGCACTCAAATTTGATGACACGACCAGTCTGGCACCAGAAACCCATCCAAAGCACATTCCAAACGCACATCTGTTTTTGAATAACCAAGCAGTTAGGGTTAGGTGCGGGATTTTTTCGACCCTCCTGCTGGTGAAATTGCTCTATGCTCCTCATTGCAATTCTGGCATGATTGCTTACATCCTCTTTGTTGAACATGCACGAGTTTTGCATGTATAAGCACATACCATATGGGCTGATGATGCACAGTTCACTGCCCAGCACCTCTAGAAACCCACCCCAAATATACAGCAACCAAAATGACCATCAAATTCTAGTAGGATTTTCGCAGATTCTATCTCTCAGGGAGGTGCTTTACGTGCAAATCCAAGCAAGTGACACATAGGAGTTGGTGTCGAAGCTACCAAAGATGGGAAACGTCCCGATGAAGCAGAGCTTTGTTGGCCACTTCCATTCACAACCTCAGCAGTTTGTCAAAGTGCGATGACATTTGCCAACATGTGAGGCAGCAGGTTCAGTAATTTTGAATCAGTCATTATATATTACCCTCTGGCTATTTAACATGGCCATGGAAAATCACAATTTTTTAATAGGTAAACCATCTATAAATGGGTCATGTTCCATGGCTATGTTAAATAACCAGAGGGCATATTTTTCTTACAAGGTTTTATCACAACCCGGGAAACGTTTCCGCTGTAGCCATTGGGATGTATGTATTCATAGATATCTGCAAAAAAAATCAGAAACGGTGACAGTGATGAATTATGTTAGTGGGAATTAACTGTTCTATGTGTTTGGTGGTTGCTATGCAAGTCACAATCTGATGATCTATTCTGAGGAATGATTATGCAAAATTAAACTAAAATAACACACACTGAAACCTCTGATAAATTCCAACACCTCCTCTAAGGGGGCCGTTCTCACTGGCTGCTTGATGAGAAATTCGGCATCTCTGGTGGCGGAACTCCCACCTGGAAACTAATGAGGAAACATCATCTGGTTGGTGGTTTTAACCATGAAACGCATGAAAGTCAATGGGATGATGATTATCCCATATAGAAAATGGACAATAAAACATGTTTTTGTCCAGCACCGAGCAGTAATCTACAACAGCCATTCACGTTTTTCTATCCTTTTGGGGAACCATGTAAAAAAACATCCCATACAATCCGTTCCGCAACTCGCTTGCTGGCTTGCGCTTTGCCCCGTAACCATAGTAGTAGTCCAGGAGAATCAATGCCTTGTGCGAACCCGCCGATGGTCATGGGCCAAAGAGTCTAAGAAAAACTGCCACAGCAGAATGGTCTGGGCAGATTATCATACTTCACTATAACATAGCTGATTATAAATATGACCATATGATATAACCTGGGTTATGTGAATAATAAATATATAAATATATATATGATAGTTCACTATGGTTATGACCTGAAATTTCAGGTCATTGTGGCATGATTCCCCAATTTAAACCATAGGATTTCCAGGTTTCGAATGTTGGATGAGCTGCCGAATACAGATGCCCAAGGCGGCCATACCTAGCTGGTCCTGGTCACATCATGGCCAGCATTTTTGTGAATACCCCGCATTCGTTCTTCGTGGGAAAACCATAGGAAAACCATAGGAACATGGTGATTAGTAGTGGTTAATAGTGGTTAATGATGGTTAATCATTGATTAATTTGATGGCTGGTTGGTGGTTGACCTACCCCGCTGAAAAATATGAAAGTCCAGTTGGGATGATGACATTCCCAATATATGGGAAAATAAAACATGGTCCAAACCACCAACCAGTTACTCATCGCAAAAGATCCAAGTACAATTCATCCAAGCTTGACCCAAACATCCATCGAGATCTCTGACGATCTTCCCAGGGCTCGTCTTCAAGGATGGTGGCTGTGGAATGTGCGATTTCTTATTCCTGCTACAACTATAAGATTATGATATGTGAAAATTTCTATTGACGGCTATAGTTTTAGAAGTTTGATTGCTATGCTTTCTATGTTTGCTAGTTATACATACCCATTTGACTTGTGAAACAATTCCCACGCGAGATGTTCATTAACATCCTTAATGTGTATCTTAGTCATTACTCGATTCTATCTCCATTTATTCTTATATAAATTAATTTCACTTCACCTATACTGTAGATGTTTTCCTGTAGATATGTTTTCTTTCCATCCCGACCATCCGGGGTATCCATCTCGTCCTCCCAAGCGTATTAGGTTCCATCGTCCGAGCTGCGAACAAGGAGATCAGCACCAGGGTGTTCATCGGCACCAGCAACGAGACGAAGCGTCCCAGGCGCGAGAACTTGTAGCCCTCGAACTCGATCACCTCGGGATACGAATGGCAACTGCTAGGGAACATCGGATATTATTGGATGGCAAACATAGGTCACCCCAGTTGATAAAATCCATTATTGGATGCATGGCATCCATTATTGGATATTGCTATCTATAATGGGATATTCATGGGTTTTACAGGATCAATGTCTACTGGATACTGGAAAACATATGGAGAATCATGGGAGTTTCATGAATATTGATGGATATTAATGGTTTTACACTCTGGTAATTTGTTACAGTTGGCTAAAAAAACAGTTAAAACTATGCGGAAATCAATGTAAATCAATAAATGGCACATTTGCAATTTTACATAGCAATGTTCGTTTACTGGAGGGTAGATGTTGGAGAATAATCAGGTATATCAGAGAAAACCGCTGGACAAAGATGCACTGTTCTTTCAGCACCAAGTATAGGGTTTTCCTGACAATTTTCCCTTAAAGCAGGTTGGGAAATGATAGGATTGAAGGTTCCTGACTATCTGACTGGGAATAAATGGGCAACGTCTTAATGCAGCTTTTTCAGGGCGCAGTTTGCGAAGCTTTCGATTCATTTACACACTTAAGAACTATGATATTCTATGGGTATGGAATACAACTGCGGTGCTCTAACCGAATTGGTCACTTTGAGTCTCAAACCATCGATCAATCATTTCGAGCCATGATCGTATTGAACCTGACCCCGCAGGGGGCAATGGAACAATTCATGTGATTGCTTCCCAGCTCCCCGGCTTGTAAAGTTTAATTTCTAGTGATTATGAGTGGTTGTGTGTAGATCCAAAAAACAACCCAAACAAACTAGCTGGTTGGTGGTTTCAACCAACCCCTCTGAAAAATGATGGAGTGAAAGTCAGTTGGGATGATGACATTCCCAATATATGGAAAAATCAAAGCCATGTTTCAAACCACCAACCAGATATCTCATTAACCATTATTAACCACTATTAACCATTATTAACCACTATTGACCACGATTGTCCCAAACCAGCTAGTAAGTCTAAAGGAATGGTAACGGCCAGTCGTCTTGGAGACGATTTCCAGAAAAGTTCCTCATCAACAAAGCTGGGTTAATTCTGGATGCTCATCCCCTTGAAGAATGGCAGAATTATCGCTAGGTTGTATGACCCATCCATCCCCCCCAAAAAGAATGAATGACTCTGGCAAGAAAATCAAGATGGTCAAGGGGAAAAGCATATATATATATATATATAGAAATGCTGGATTTTTCCAAGGCTTTTGCCGGGATGAGGATGGGATGCGGATGGTGAAAATCCCTGAAGAAATGGCCCTTTTCCCAATCTTCTTTGAAGCCGTCAACGCAAATCCAAGCTAGAACCACAATCACCAAACATTCTCCCCAGATGGAGGTTTCCTAAAATAGGGCTACACCCCAGTTCTCATCCATGTTATTTTCGGATTTTCCATGAAATCAACCATCCAGCTATGGGGGTAGCCCTATCTTAGGACACCTGCACTGGGTGAAAGCTTCCAAACAAGGCACTCGATTTTGCGAATCAGTGATGCACTGCACACAGGCCTGAAACATTTTGGTGTGGTGAAGATCATCACTCAAAACACTACATTGACTCACGCATGAATATAGATGGACTCCGGGTCTTTGCAATTCATGAGAACAAAACATTGAATCATTTGTTTTGTCCATACCCGTGAGAGTATATTAAAGTAAGCTTGCCAGGCATTCAGATCATCCAGTAATCCAGGCCTTTCGAAATCATTCGAAATCTGGGTTTGACCTTAAAACATCCTGGGTTCCATAGTAAAGAAGCCATGTTCCTGGCTAAACAATCATGTCAAGTCTAGGATCCACAAGCTGTGCACCTTCTGGTGATTCAACTTTGAATTCAAAAAGGGTGCAAAAAATGACCTACACATGGGTGAATTTCCAGCTAGCCAGTCTGAAAAAAAATGAGGAAAAAAATCAAATGGATTATCATTTTGTTCGTCATTGCAATTGATATTTACAGGATGTGATATATGCCCCATTTTCAGACACACCAACAAGAATCCAATGGGTAGTTTTGGAAAAAACGACATCACTAAGTTTGGCACTGTCCTGGCACCCCATGGAATTTGATGTACGAAGGCGTGTTTGTCATTGTCCAAAAAGTCAACATCAACATTTGGATTCAGAAAAGTGTTCAACTTCAATCGGACACGGTTTTTCAACGTGATCGAATCTGATGAACATGTTTGCATTGACTTGTCAGAAAAGGTTTGGTGCTGCATTGGTGCATGAATCTACACAGATTGCAAATTGTATATTTATATTTCCTACATTCAGCGATATAGATGTGATATTTATCCCTAAGAGCAGAATCTGATCACCATTCTAAATTCATTCTGATCTGGATATCGGTTTGATTAAACGTGGAGTTTCTTGTCACTGTATCTTGTAATGGCCTTCAAATTGTGCATACTTACCGTTTTCAGATACCCACAAATCATTTGGTAGACACACCAGCATATCATTTGGAATCAATTTGGTTATAGACCCTTTGATACCCCCATTACATCCCCTGTCAACCTGGTTGATCATCCAATTTTATTGGTTGAGTTAATAAGTTCAGTGATGTGGCGCCATATCCCCAATATATCTCCATCTACCCTGGTTCAATGGTCATGCAACAGGAACCGAGAAATATTGGAGGTACCTATATATCAGGCCTATTTTTCAGGCCTATGTACGGGAATATCCCCACAAAATATGGTACAGTACCTTCATTTTTGGATCCTGAAATTATGAAATTCCCATTGACCCTGCTTGAAATCCTCCGTCGCCACACGGCATTTTGCTGCGCCTCACCAGGCACGTCGGGCGTGCGCTTGTAAAGAGCAGCATTACCTGAGGATGAAACATCGCCCTGTGAGACATGGGTGAAAAGTGACCAAAAAACAAACAGTATGCATTATGGAAATCTATGGTTACCATCTGGTGATTAAGTGATCCACTGACAGTAATAATAATGGTAGTGAATCTCATCCTCCTATTAAGCACTCCCAAACGAAACCATGGGTTTAGTAGGGAATTTCCACATTTCTTTGGGACCATTCAATCTCCATAATATCAGGGGGATGGGATAATCAATACATGATTAAATAATGGCTGGTTGGATGGTTGGGGATACCCAGAAAAAAAAAGCAAATTAATCTTCTGCATAGAAGCCAAGCCGTTGGCCTAGCCTCACCAATAGATATGTCAGTCATCTGTGCGAGAAAAGACGCGGCAACGCCCTTGTCAGCGTACCACGCAATGAGTTCATGAAGCGAATTCCAAGGTCCAAATCTTGGTCTAGTGGGCGGATCAAGAGACAATGGCGCTCGAACCAACACCTTCTCAGCTACCGCTGCACGTCTGCACACCAATTCATGCAACTCCACATGTGCATAGCTGAAATTTTTGTGAGTGGTTCCTTCATTGCGCGCCCAAAGTGGATCGATCAAAACAAGATCGGCACCAGTCGCTTTGTTTTGCGAAAACTCAGAAAAAGAGTCAGCGCACGCATACGAAACATTCCTACCGAAGAGCAGAGCGTTTGCATTAGCTTGATCAATCGACGTAGGGGTTTCTGACGATGGGGGATCCCCAAGTTCATGACCTGGATGCAAGGGGGTGCCCGCGTTTATGAAAACCTCTATGTAGGGGTTTCTAAGGAAATGGGTGTGTTTACAGGAAAGAAGTGTCGTCCGACACCCCCAACTCATGGCAATGTCATCAAGTTAGTTGGAGGGTAGATTCCAATTTTGGATGATAAATTCCTATATACATCACATTATCTCCCAGAGAAACTGCTTGGACAATTATGACAATCCATGTGTATCCCTACTAGACTAGAACATATACATCCTAATTTGTCTCATACTGTCAATATAATCAACCCTGAGTAGATATTATGATTGATACATATATTATATATTATATATATATATATCTAACAGGCTTGCCGACAAGCAAATGAGCCTCCTTGACCGTCAAATCCATCTCATAGAAGAGTTGCAAATAGCTGGGTTGATTTCAACGGCAACGCAATATAACAGCAAATCACCCACAGTTGCCTTTGGATACTGTATATGTTGACTAAGTTGAATCTCTTGGTGGTAAGAGGATCAAAAAATTGATGGCCACAATCTCTCTCACACACACACCGCATAGGGCCAATCTCACTGAACCGTGTAGCCATCATCTCCAAGAAAGGCATTTCAGGAAGCATTGACACTGTGGTTGAAATGGTTGTGTCAGACACTGTCTGCCCAATGACATTGATACCACATCCAATGTCAAGAATACCATTGGTCTCAGGAAAACCGAGTTGAGGCGATGTCCAACCTGCATTCTTCAGCAAAACATACGTCCAAATTTATCAATCAATTCGTCAACACTTCATAATATGATTGCAAAGCAAAGTAACATCCTCAGGCTCTGAATCGTTATTAGTACAATTATCACTAACATTATAGATAATAACATCAATAGATATCAGTATGATTGAACTGTCCTCGTCTTAAAAGAACTTCCATCATGGTGGGTTTTACCAATGTCATGACCATACCATCCCCCAGTCATGACCATAAATGGTTATAGGCTGTATTTCAAAAACCATTCCCAGTCATTATACCTTTATACATTAATATACCATTATTATTACCATATTATTACCATACTGATCTCCCAAATCACCATAAATAGGTGGTATAAACCATTCCCAGTCATGGGTGTTTACTGGGTGGTTTATGGCATTGTTTTTCCCACATAAAAATCGACCAAAGAAGGTCGACCGTCGACGCTGCCACCGCCACCGCCCCACCACAAAAATCGAGGAACGCAGCACCAAGGTGTTCCTAGCTTTCGGCCAAGGCGAAGGTCATCAGGATTGTGGCCACCAGGGAACAAAGATCAACAGTTATGGCCATTTATTAATTAGCTATAACTGGTTATAAATGGGACTATACATTCTATAAATGGAGTTATAAGTACTTATAACTGGTAAAGGGCCAAAACTGTATCGAATGTTGAAGAACATTCAAAAATCAAGGATTTTGAATTGTTGCTAATACCACTTAAATACCAGAATTGGATCTCTTAAAGTCTTAAACATGAACATTACCTAAGATTACCACTGAACAACTTCATGAGCTGACCATCATTGGGAGGCTCCAAGAGCTCGGATTTTTCATGCAACCAAACAGAATTTACTACGTGGGGAAGTATACATGGGACATCGGATGTAAGAGGCGCCTGCAAACGTACAGACATGGAAGGTGTTCCTGGTATTTTTTTAATCTGAGTATGACAAGGCCATCAACCAGCTCAATGAAGGCCCCCAAATGATCTGCAAAATGTGGGGAGCCATGTGTTCTGAGCTCTCCCAAGCCAGACTGAGCAAACTGCGGAGATTTGCGTCGCGCAACTTCTGTTCGAAATTCATGCGGGTGCTTAGTCCGGTCACTGCGGACCATCTCTTAGTGACTTCAATTTCATGCATGACATCCACCAAGACATCGAGCATGGATGGGGTTCCGATTTGGTTCCGATATTCAAAATCTCAAGGCAGGCGCCAAATGAGTTGCAAAACAGTACCTTCCTCTAAGCATGGCCTGGCCATCACAGTGTTCCTACATCACCTGGCAGAGCACCCATCTTGCGCAATGTTCGAACGAGAAAGGCAAGTTCACATGGCGTCCCAATCAATCAATGGGAATAAAAAAAGGATCCTAAAATGGAGGTACTGTACCATATAAGGGCATATGTTGTGGGGATATTCCCTTACATAGGCCTAAAAAATAGGCCTGATATATATATATATATATGTACTAGGTACCTCCAATAAATCGGTGAAATGGCCATTGAATCAACTCACATCTAGCATGCATCTAATTAGGTACAGCTGACAAGATGGTCCCGGCAGTGTCTCAGAACCGGTCTCGAAAGATGATTGAACGAACAATCACGAACAGTCAGCATATATGTTTATCACAGGAATCCACTCAAATCAAAGTACCCCTATTCAACAAACAACATATGGGGATGGGTCAAAACCTATTATTACCATATTTGGAAGAATCAACATCCATTAACCAGCTATTTTAGGTACCATCCGGGTGCCAGGGTTTTGACTCACAACCATATGCATATAGAACATCCAGCACTTGTAGAACTTTTCTCCTTGGGAAACCATAGGGTTTTTTCATCTTGGAGGATCATCCCATGAGGGTCAGCGCAGAAAATTCATAACCATAGTTGTAATCCACTTATAAATGAAATAACCCCCATTATTGGAATAACCATCCTAGTTATAAATGAATATTCCACTTATAAGATCCTATAAGTCATTTAATGGAATAATCCCACGGTTGATGGAATAACTTAATAGTTAATCTACTTAGTAACTTAGGGGACTTCCGATCAACAGATATCAACAGGGCCATTGTAAATTTATAATGGGATGATCATCATGCAAATCATTGATTTTCCCATTATAATCCCATTATCAAGCCACTATATAAATTATCCCACTATATAAACTATATAAACACTATTAACCATTTCATTAAACCATGATATCCCATTAACCATTATTCATCATTATTCTCCCATCTATATTTTTACCCATGGATTCAACCCCTGATTCAACCCATGGATTCACCGAGCATCTGAAGAGACTGGCGACAGCTCCAAAAGACGTAGAGCGCCAAAACGCCCAGGACGTAACCTCGGCGGACGCGGGTTGGATGTGAACAAAGCACCAGAAATGGTGCTGAACTGGTGCTTTCAGAACTGTGTGGTTTTTCACATCCAGTGCGGTGGATTTTTGAATCACAAAACATTCAGCTGGTGCTGAACCTCTGGAACTTCTAGAACTGGTGATTGATTCAAAAGCACCAGAAATGGTGTTGAAAAATCACTTGAAATATTGTGCTTTGTTGACAAAACATGGGAGTTCCACCGGAAAAAAAAACTTGATTAAAGCCACAATCATATGGTAACATAAGGATATAGTAATTTATAATAATGACATAATGGGAAGATCATTTGGAAATAACGATATAACTGGGGGGGGGCACCATCTGATCCAGTGGCTCCAGGTATCATTGCTGTTATGGCGTTATGGATGGAGATAACCACGATAAAACCCAAAAGTTGGGATAATTGAATAATTGGGATATATGTTGAGATAATCCAAACATCATAGCCATAGACTCTAGACCCTGCACCCCCAATCAATGGCTTGCTTGAATTTCCGGGAACATCTACAGGAAGCCATGGGTTTTTACCAGTCATTCCAGGGTCTTCCTCTTTTTGAAGTCCCATCCTCCACTTCTGGGAAAGTACCACGACTCTACCGTACCCACGGTAGTCCATTGAGGTCAGTGGCAGTATAACACTACGCATGGCTTTTCCCAGAAGGTTATGATGAATCCAAGGTGGGCATTTGGGTCCTGAGACCAGCTGGGGAAAGGGTGGATAGGAAATTAGCCTAGCGGTTGACATGGTGATTGAAAACCATAGAAGTAGAATGAGCATTAGCCAGCAAAAATGGGATGCTATATAAAGCCACCCATACTGGGAATATGTACATCTATTATACTCTATATAACTATATAACAGTATATATATATATACTGTCATGGATTAAAATGCGATATCAACCAACGAAGCTCGGAGGCATATCAACCCAACCAATCTATGGGGATATGAGGGGATACATTGGGACAAGCACCGGAAAAAGAAGGTCACCCACCCAAAAAAATCGCTTGTTGAGGGCGAATCGTGACCAACATGCATCTGGGCCATCAGGGTCAGATTTTCCCCCATTTTTCCACCCTGAAGTGGTCATGGCTCCCAACTGATCTCCGAAAAATGCTGCAAAAAGCAAGGGATTCAAGCAACACACGCACACTGATGAGAGTAGATTCTTACTCTGATGTGGAGCTTCTGGACAGTAAATCTGAATCAGTTTAGATTAAGTAGATTAAGTAAATGACCTGGTGAAATCACCTGAAACAGCCTGATGAGAACAGCTTGTCTGGTTTTTTGCAGGTACACATCAGGACGTCTCCCAATGCATCACTAGGGAATGTGGGCGTCTTCGTTGGCTGTGATCCCACAAACTCTGTCACTGCAAGCTCATGGCAATGAACCAAAGGATCGATTGCAACCATACCAAAATGTGGCGTTGACAGTTTCGCAGCTATCAACGGTTTGAAGATGCAAGCAGAGACCATGCTTGGCAGAAAAGCCACATCATACACCGCGGTTATGCACCTTTTCATGTCCACCAAATGCCAAAGCACACCTGGTAAGAAAACGCGACCAAAATTCGGGATGCTTGCTGTAAAAGCGATGGAGCTGCTGAGACCTGTTTGTAACCAGCCACTCCTCAGTTAAAATGATGGGATGGAAGTCTCCCAAATGCGATGGTCGATCATCATTCCTCAACAACATTGCCCTCCATACAGTCCCATGACCAATTATCTTGGCGAACCATGGCGAACCAGTATAATTCATTCACCTGAAATAAAGCCAGGGGATATAGCTACCCTTGCTAACCACCATTTCCATTCGACCCTCTGAACATTTTGAACATTGCAACATAGACAATGGCCATAGAAAGACTTTATCTACCTACTCAAACTCGTGATTTTCTATAGTTATGTCAACGTTGACCAGAGGGTAAATCTCCATTTTCCTATGGGTTTCCTATGGTTTTCCTATGGTTTTCCCATGGTTTTCCCATGAAAACCTCCATATTTATGGCCATTGACCTGTCCAAAAAGCTGATCCTCCAGGGCCAGATCTATGGAGAATTGGGGGATTCGATCAACTCCAGCGCTCCTCTAAGCCAGCCGTCATGGCGAACCCATGAGCGAACCAACGGCAGGCGAAGCGGCCGGATCTGCTTGGGAACTGGTGGCTGAACCACCCAACAACTAGCAAGTGGTTGAATGATTATGCCAAATAGGATAGAAAAACAGAAAGAAAAACACCAAATAGTTACTTACTGAAAATGGTTCAAAGTTCATCTGTGATTTCTGGTTACATCTCTTTGTCTCCATATATTGCCTTTCAAATGGCCAACCGATTCTTTCGTTCATCGAGCTTGCTGGGGGTCCATCGGCCTCGTCTGAAAGTGTTCATTGGTAACAAACAGCCGTTTCCTCTGGCGAAACAAACATCCGCTGACGACTTTGCTGCATTTAACAACGATGATGTAAGAGGCACCTTCGAAGCAAAGTAACATGCAGCGCGTGACACAGGTTGCTCAGGCTTACAGCAGGCTTAAGCTTAAAACTCGCGCAGATTTGGGCAGCTTAAAACTCGAACGTGGTGTGGGAGCTCCATCCTTCTGGGACTGAGGTATTCAATGATTGATGCCTAGGGTAAGCCCCCAAACATACTGGCAGCAGTCTGATGAGGTATATCTCGGAGCTGGCGATTTTGGCAGATGTTCTAAGCCCGCCCATCCACCCCAAAAAGGTGTGATGCCCTCTGGAAAAATGGGGTGACTCTGTTGGAACATCACCATTTTCAAGCTCGAACCATTAATATAATTAATTCTCACTAAATGGGCCCATGGGCCATACAATGGCAAACTGTCTACTACCCATTAAATACCCATCAAATACAGTGTCATACATTTTCTGGTTGGTGGCATACCTACCCCTCTGAAAAAATATTCGTCAGATTGGATCATCATCCCAAGTATTGGGGAAAATAAAATTCATGTTCCAAACCACCAACCAGTTTGAATATCATTGAATCCATCACTAAATCACCATCACCATAGATGCCATAGAGATGTAAAGATAACCAGAGGGCCCTGGAACATCATGGGGCTAAACTGGATACCGCCGTAGGAAAACATCCTTGCCACTCCCCGTGCATCGTTGACAGCATACAGTGATCAAAGTTAAGCGCTTATATAGTTGTACATATAAGTGGATAACTGGTTGGTGGTTTCTATGCAGTTTCTTAAAAATATTAGTCAGTTGGGGTTACTATTCCCAATATATGGAAAAATAAAAAATGTTCCAAACCACCAACCAGATAAGTTATGGGGATATAATGGGAAGTATTGTGGACCCTAGGACCGCAACTTTGGGTATTTATCCTACCCTTTTTGTGGTTTTCATGGAGAGCCGCACTTCACAAGTATACCCTTTGGTCCTTTGGTACTCAAACATGGCAATGGAAAAGACTCTAGTTATAGATAATGTTCCCGTTAAGACGTCCAGTAATTATAGATATTTCCCATTGTCATTGTCATGTCTGATTACCGGAAGATACTCCCGTTGATGGCATACATTGACATCCTTGCAGGTAAGTATTTCTCTAATAGAAGGATATATAAATAATACCGGTGATAAATCAATCCTTCAGAAAGTGACTAAAACCAACAGAAACCAGATTTGCTGACTGGTAGATGCTGTTCCATATGTGTTTTTTTTGTCAAGGCATCTGCTCATCTCTTTTCAGATCACAGACTCCCCGAGGATCAACCCATTTGGGAACAGTTTGTCTATGTTTATAACTCCGGTAACTACAATAACTACGCTTCGTGGTCCATATATCTATAGTTGATGGGAGTTATAAACCGACTTCGTGGTCGGGACCCCACCTTGTACAAACCCTTCACAAGTGGGATAACCCGGGGTTTTGCGGGATTTCTCAACCAGCTTTATAGGTTCAAGATTTGTTCTGTTGGGTCAACCAATCACTAGTGACCCCCAAACTATTTAAGGACAGTTGGTGCAACATGTTGTCTTGTGATTGTCAACTATTGATGTTAAATAATAGCTTACCATTCATATGGATCAACTAATCCGTATTCATTGATGGTAAAATAATAGCGTATACTAATCAATATTATGGTCTACATTCATTCACGGCAAACCCACATGAATGGGTAGCATCAATGAATGGTTGACTATACTATTGGGTAACTATCATGTTTACTAAAAATTAATCATCATTGATGTAGTCATAATAAACAAACCATTTGGGAATGGTAAACATACCACCTGTAAAAATTGTGATTTTCCCGGGGGATGGTCTATAAAATTGTTTTACCAACATTATTCCACTTCTGGAACTGTTCCCCAAGTAGAAACATGCCTGTCCCATGTTTAAGACTTCTCCAATTACCCACCTGTCCCACATGTCCCACATCAAAATGGCATTGTTTTACCCATGTTTTACCCACATCGTGCCCCATGGGGGTCCCATGAATCGTGCCCACCTGGACAATGGTGGGCTGTTGAAAGCCACATCCCTCGCTGTCAGTGCTGGTCTGGAGGAAGGCGATGAGTCCTGCGCCATGACAGGAACAGTTTTGATGTACGGAAGCAGTGTTTTTCCTGTGCTTTGTATGTGGATGTGTTGTGTGTGTGGCTATGTATGTATGTATATATATATATATAGATATCATATCATATCATAATATAATATAATACAACATTATATTATATTATATAATATAACATTATATTATATAATATAATATTATATTATATATATAATTACATAGATATACATGTATTTATAAGTGCACGTCGAACATGCTGCTGTCTTTTGCCACATCCCAATGGTACCCTGTGGGAACATTGATTCTGTACCATGTGGCATCGCCTCAAACTGCTTCGTTCATAGAAATCATGGCTGATGGACAACCCAAGAAATCAATAGAAATCATAGTATTGGTTGATTATAGTGCATTTAATGCAATGATCATGATAGTACTACTAGTTCTCAAAACAATAGTGTACAATAACAGGGAGTCAACCCGACAAAACTTGGGCAACTGTCCCCATCTGTGTGTTGGCGGGGTTCCCATGTTGAATTAGACCATCAAAGATAAAACTCATGAAACCACTTAGGCCGACTAGGCTGCATCTAGATTGGGCGGAAAAAAAACATATTAAAGGTTATTATTATTAAAACTAGATAAACCTACCATTGGTTGGTAATATACTGTTAATATTAAAGGTTATTATTAATGGTTAATGATGGTTAATCATCTGGTTGGTGGTTGGCCTACCCCTCTGACAAATAAAAGTCACTTGGGACCCTTGGGATGATTATTCCCAACTGAATGGAAAGTCATAAAAATTCAAGTTCCAGTCACCACCAAGCAGATATATCTCATTAACCATTATAAAACTATTAAACCACTATTATTTGGGATTATTGTTCCAGTCACCACCAACCATTATAATGCCTCACATCCATCAACCGTTTCTGTTTTTTAGGGCGGAATCCCTGAATCTGTGGCAAGCTGCAAGGTGGGAAATCACCCGTAATTTTGTGGTTTATATAGCTGGGAAAATCAACGAACTACATGATAGATTTTAATCCAACGGTTGGTTATGATTAGTTTAATTTACCGGGATTCGCTGGTAATGAAGTCTGAATTATCATAATCCCCAATATACCATCTGGTTGTGACTAAGAGTTTGCCATGGAAAGATCCACCATTTTTAAGAACGGTAAACCATCTATTTCTATGGGCCATCTATACCATATGGCTATGTTAAATAACCAGAGGGTACATAAAATATTTGGTATCTCATTAACCATCATTAACCACTATTAACCATCATTAACCACTATTAACCCCAATATAACACTATAATAAAGTCTAGATTTAAAAAAAAACGAAACTCATCGCAAACTCATCATCCACACAGGTCCGGGTATCAGGGGCCCTCCGGGTATCAGGACCCGGTCCTCCTGGGAAGCCCTTTCCTAAGAGTGATGATGCCAAGTGTAGCCAGGGTGATGATACCAACCAAATATAAACCATGGTTTTATATAGGGGATTTACACATGACACTGGAATCATAGAATTGGGTTTTTTGAATATGAAGGGGTGGGACTCTATCACCCCAAGAACAGGCTTTACGATGTTGAGATTTGGGAATTCACTGGGAATGGGGCAAAACATTAGTAGCCTTCTGTTCCGAATCTAGAATTGAACCGAATCAACCATCAGTGGGATGTGAATATCAAGCCAGTTTGGAGTTATAGGTCTCTAGATTTTAACCAAGGTGCTACTCCTCCTTCTCCTTCTTCTCCTCTTGCGCCTACTCCTGCGCCTTCTTGTCCTCATATCCGCCTTCTCTCTGCCTTGTCTTGCTGCCAGCTCGTCGTGACTGGGGGATGTCTGTATATCCAGCAGTGGAGGGCACCTAGACCCAAGCCCTATCGCGAGCGCAGGATGCTGTGGAGGGCGCCTGGACCCGAACTCAAGCAAGAGAGAAGGCCAGATAGAATGTCAGAAAGACTATCAGAATAGATGCCCGGTAGAATGCCCGAATATATGCCGGATACTATGCCAGATAGAACGCCAGAATAGATGCCAGATAGCATGCCCGAATAGATGCCAGATACTATGCCAGATAGAATGCCAGAAAGAATGTCAGAATATATGCCAGAGAGTGTGTCAGATAGAATGTCAGAGTATATGCCGGACAGAATATCAGATAGAATATCAGCATGTATGCATATATAAATATAATTATGTATATACTTCCAGGTGATATATCAGAAACTATGTCCAGGTGGTATAGTGTGTCAGCGTGGGGATCACTCGAAGAAAGAAATGTTGGTATTGGCACACACACGCACACACGCACACATGCCAGTACAGACCCATGTGTGTTTGTCTGAAACTAAGGACTCCCAAATCCTCATGGAGTGAGGTATATCATCTTCAAACACACCCATAGATGATGATTTCACTGATCAAAAATTATGATTTCTCATAGATACGTTAAATTTCCCAGAGGGTACCCTCTGGTAAACTAACGACTATGGAAAATCACCATAGGTAAATCAACTATAACTGGGCCATTTTCAATAGCTATGTAATAAATCACCAGAGGGTATGGTTTTCCCCATAAAACGTAAACATTTTCCATCCAGGTCTGAGTTTTAGAACCCAAAGGCTTGCCAAAAACACCCCCACTCAGCCCATTGGGTCGCCAAACTCTCCTTTACCTGACCAGCAGCGTGCAATAGGATGCGCTTTTTGGTGGTGTAAAAAAAAACGGGCATCAAACAATGGAAACTCGTAACTGGGGAATCATTCTGAAATTGCAGAAAAAGTATGGATGAACATGATGAAAAGAGAAAACGCGACACCATGATTGTTGACTGATTTTTGATCATGGGGATGTTGAAAACGACAAAGTTGTAGGGCATCAACAACGCTTCATGGGTCAGAACTTCTGTCCATCGATGGACTAATCCTTTTGTAAACAAGGAGCTACCCTTGTTGCACTCGTAGACCCCAACTGCGGGTGGTTTTATGTCTAGTATATACTATGTGTGTTATTTATATATATATATATATATGTATACATGTGCGTGTTTTCTCCAGGTGTTGGTATTTAAAGCATGGCTGCCAATACAGACCATTGTTACTGTGCTTTCGTGCCATACCACACCGTCTTGGGTGATCATTCCTGTCCAGTTGGAGTGTCCATCTTTGATGATTAAGCTGGAATGATGGTTAGTTAGTAGGGGGCAACTGTCCCAAAATGGATCGAAATGGGCTATATTACAATAATCCATGATTATCCAGTATTTTTAGGCAATTTTCGCAGCTAGAAACCTCCGGTCTATCCAGCTCGAAAATGATGAAGGTCTTCCAGGGCTACAACCCAGTGGTGTTTTGTGGCGGGTCTGCACCCTTGATGGGATGGCTTCGGTCACGAGAAAAAAACAAGTGCCCAAGGAATGAACACAGACTATGACTATGATCAGACTGGATGTTACTTATAACTTATCTAGTTTGGGTCTAAATGACTTGACGCATACACAATCTCATCCATTCACACATATCATTGCATATTCCCGTTTGTTTATGAACCCATTCCACAACACATATGCAGTTAATCTCAAAAGTAGGTCATTGTTGACAGCATCATACTCTTTTGTAATGTTTCATTGTCAAAACATGTTACAAAAGACAAACCCGATTCTCAGTCGGCAACTATAATTCTCAAGTCAGAAGTGAAGCATTATCCAAATAAGTTCCTCTATTTTTTTCGACATTTATGGTGCCTTTGTTCTTGATATGTCCACATGTCTGTTTTTTTTTATCATGGTTTTATTGCTTCCAACTGGGCCAACTAAGCGCCGTCTGGGACGATCTTCCATAGATCTTTAGAGTAGCGCCTGGGTAGCTCAACAAAAATCCATATCACCATGATGATATTGCCAGATGATTATAGTACCTCATAGTAACCTCTATAATAATACATATAATATATAATCATATATAATACATATATATATATATATACGTATTATATAGATAGAGAGGGAGAGAAAGAGAGAGCTACTATGAGGTACCAGATCCATATCACCATATGTTTTCCCATCTGTTTGCCCATTTTTCCAATTGGTGCCATGGCCGGATTTCCATCCATCCGGCCTTATCCCAGTGGTCCCAGGGCTCGATCGTTCCGGTGATCTCCTGTGCGGCTGGAGTGTTGAGAGATGATCGAGCCATGCCCATATGCGAACCATGGTGTACCCTCTGGTAAACTAACATAACTATGGAAAATCACATTTTTTCATGGGAAAATTCACTAAATGGTGATTTTCCATAGTTATGTGACAGTTTACCAGAGGGTATATTAAGTGTTATGAAATATATCCCATGGTATAGATTGGTATATCCAAATATTTTTTTGGTATATCCAAAGATTCTGGGTCAATTTTCTAATATGTCACGTTCGCCTGAGTTGTTCGCCCGTTTGGGGATGATTTCCCTTATGAACTATGATTCCAGGGTTCGGGAGAACAGTGAGGTCGTTATAATTTACCCAGATATTTATATTAATAAATGTAGATTTAGAAATTATAAATGGAATTATTCCACAAAAATATGAACAAATGGAATCCCAATGATTATAGTGGGAATATGTTCTAAAGAAATGTGGGAATTATACGGAATTATGATCAATTAGGTCAGCTAATAATTGGGAATTTACCTATTATAACAACAAATGTAGACTAAGCAACAATAAATGGGATAATTATGGTATATTTACCTACGTTTGGGTGATTTTGTTCGGGCAAATCTTGCTGAATATCCCAGCACCATGGAGCATATGGGATATGGAGCATATGGGATAGTTATATTATATAATGATTACTTTAACCAATGACCAAATGAGATGTCATTGAAGGTGGATATACGGATCCAGCCGTACCTTCTTAGGAAGCGGGACTGGGGTATGATTTGGAGGGTGAAGTAAGTTAAGCACCTTCTCAATGTTTGGATCCATGGGCCTAATGATATCAGTGGTTTCTTTGGGTATACTAATTATAATGCTATATGATATGGCTGTCCCTGTCCCTTGTGTTTATTTCACATAAAAGTGTTTTCTTTGGCAGTATACAAATTGTGTGTGTACATATGTTGGTGGATATGGGTATATGGGTGCACTAATGGTACGTATGTACAAGTTAGTGGAATTGAGAATATCATAAGGATGTGAAGAGTGGGATTTCCGTGGATTTCGCAGAAAACATGTTCTCAAATTCCAAAACAATATTGAACCATTGCACCTTGTGAGAAAAAGTGTGTGCGTGTGAATTCTGGCCGCGAAAATTAATGCAACTTTTAATATATATAGTCATCCATGGAATGAAAAAAAAAACTACCAGCAAGGCTTTCGTAGGTCGTCCCCGTAGAAGCAAAGGGTAAACCCGTGCTAGACTCGTACGCAGTCCTGGCAATAGAACATCCTCACAGATGAGTTTCCCATTACATAAGAGCAGCCTTATTCCAGAAAATGTCCCATTACAGGTTTAGCTTAATAATGCTTAATGACGGGAAGTGAGCAGATTTTGACATACTGTGGATGGTTGCGAAATCCTGCACCACCTTGGATGGTTGAAACCCTACAAATAATACCAAATAATTAATGGGACAAATCAATACGAATCACCTATCAACTGGTGCAGGATTTCGCAACCATCCACCGTGTCGGATTTGCAAAGTCGATGGCCAAAGTGTGAACTCAGCCGTCCTGGTTGTAAGCATCCCATATTCTCACCTCGGGCTCTGCGGTGTCATTTTTGTTGACATCTGAACATCGAAACAAGGTCACCCATGAGAGCGTCATTCTAATGTTTTCGGTCTGAAAGAACAAAACGCATTTTCTGAAATTTAGTTAGCAGTTATGATATTGCCTTGGTTGAAAACCCTACTATCCCACTAACCACGGCAACTTCACCATTTGCAAAGTACCACACATATACAGCACCAACTCTCAGCGTCCCATCTGAGTGCCACCACATTATCATCATCCGCCATAACGGGCAAATGAGCAACGGACCCCACCGTTGATGCCCGAAAGAACCCAAAACCCCACTGAAGGGTGTTGGACATTCTATGGAGAGTAGACCTAGAATTTGCCTAAGAGCTGTCTATGTCAATAGTTTTTGTTTATGTTTTTTTGGGATATCAATATCATATATGAATTGCAGTTGGAATACGCATTGTGCCATGATGGTTTTCCATTCTTTGGATGCCCGGTCGCGCTCGCAAGCCCAATCGAACGTCCAATGAGTTTCAAATGATTTTCAGAACGCAATTGATCGTTGTTCAGTTTGTTCAGTATTATCATTGGATTGATTTAAGGGAAAATCTTAACCGGAAACCCATGGGTTTTTACCATCAAATTGTTTGGGCTTTCCTGTAAATTTTCCCATCATCCAATTCTATGATATTATGGTTGATGGTGGTTCACATCCAATCTCAATATGGGTGGGAAAAACACCCCAGCGGCCTGTTTCCTTTCCCAACAAAAACCAATCCGTTGATCGAATAGTTCCTCAAGCCCTAAAATGGTAGAGACCTTAGTGAGATTTCGATGTAGCGTTAGAGATCCAAATACTGATGTGTTGTTTTAAGCAATAAAGTTCATGGCATGGTTTTGGGTCAAAATGTGTCCCTTTGAAGATGCGTTGCCGCCGTTTATATTTTAAAAAATATATATATAAAGAAACAAACACTTGTGGTGCTCAGGAAGATGCAAGTATGAATTCACATCCAAAAACCATATTGCGCATGAAAGAACATCCTGTAACGCACAGTGTCCTGCATCAAGCACATCTATTCGGTGTGGAACCCTCATCAATCAATGGAAATGAATACCTAAGCGTTGAAACAATGGTGTATATATGAGCACCAAACGTGGGAGAATCCCTGCTGGAACAACACTAAGCACAATGCCACGTTGTTTTTCCACCAAAAATATCCATGTTGCATCCATGGTCATCAAATAATGGACTTTGGCACAATCGCCGCGTCCAACATCCAACATGTGATTCAACTGGTGCTGAGGCCCGCCATTTGGTTTGAAGGATGCACTTGCGATCACAAACTCTTTTTTTTTGGAAGGGGGGCTATCGCTTTACATGGTTTAATGCACTTTAGAGCGAGAGAGAGAGGGAGAGAGAGAGAGAGAGAGGAAGAGAGAGAGAGAGAGAGAAAGAGAAAGAGAGAGGGAGAGGAAAAAGGAGAGGAAAAAGGAGAGGGAGAGCGAGAAAGGCAGAGCAAGAGAGAGAGAGAGGGAGAAAGAGAGGGAGAAAGAGAGGCAGAAAGAGAGGGAGAAAGAGAGGGAGAGCGAGAGAGAGAGTCTTGGAGAGAGCGTGTTGGTGTCTTTCTGCTTGAGATACAGCAAGTGTCAGAAGTTTTTCTCCAGACTCCAAAACCTCTGGAAAGTGCAAGCATGTTGCCATGACAACATATTTGCATAACTTAAGGTGGTATCGCTCTTCAAGGTTCCCTATCGCTCCCCACAAGAAAACACATTTTTTTTCAAAAAGTGACGGCTTAGAGAATACAACATCTCTACATCATCTACATAGCATCTTTTGACCCTTGCTCATACTGGGCTACACACCTGGCTGATCACCCACTGATTGTCGGTGATTTATGGCTTCGCGGCTTCGCCCTGCCCCCCTGAAAACCTGGCAGACATGGATGAAAAGAATGTCACCGGCCAAAACATTCTCGAACCTAAAACCATTGAACCATGGCACCCGAATACCGAATACGATCCCACCAACTCAAGTTTCACATGAAAACATGATTGAATCCTGAAGCATCTACGTCTACGTTTTGCCTGCGGAACATGCACGGTTGTGTTTACCCCCGGAACTCCAAGAATCAACTGAGTGTCCCCAGGAATGATCACAGACCAAGGCTTAAATGTCGGGATCCATCCCGAACGGCGTGGTATAAGGTGCCATGCTTCCCCACTGCTGGCGTTCCTTTTAAGCACTGCACGCAGCGCAATGCGGTTCTGTGATACCTTGTGAGTATACTCCTGTATTAGAACTGAGAGATATACAGAATCAATCAGATTCATATAACAACATCTAGCATCAAAACACGACCAAGTAAACGTCCAAGATAAATTCCAGAGACAATGAATGCAAGAACCTGGGATGCAGAGCCAGCCATTGTGCAGGGTGTCGTTGGGTGCAATCCATCAGTGCAACGCAGGAGTGACCCACAGTGTCGACATGGGATACGGCATACTCGACCATCGCAATGCTCAATTTCGTGAACCCTATTTGAAGACAAAACCACAAAGGGAACCAATGAATTGTTGGAAGCCATATTCAGAACTGGCAAGGTACTATGATACATTTAACCTGAAGCATTAAGATAGCAGATTTTCCGGCAAATTCCCTATCATCGTGCCATGTTTGTTCCGCATCAGTCGTGCGCCAACTTGATGCTGAAGGCAGCTTGACCTTCGGCACGGGAAGCATCTGTGCGCACCTGCGGGGCACAAGATTCACAACGGGCTCGATTTTTGGGAGAGCATTTTGTTTCTGGGAATACCCTCTGGTGAACTAACATAGCAATGGAAAATCACCATTCTTAATGGGAAAATCCACTATAAATAGCCATTTTCCATTGCTATGTTAGTTCACCAGAGGGTAGTCCATTTCGATTTGTCTATTTCAACCTTGGTGATCTTCCATTGGCCATGTGAAAAATTAAACCCAAACTTAGATGTTCGAGGGGAAATTTGCAATAGTCCTGTGGAATTGAGGATCACCAATATTGTGATGTCGAGACACAGGGTAGGAGTATCCTGTAGACTATGTGCGGCAAAGCCATTTTCGCCCATGGTGGCTCAGCATTACTTGTGGAATGTTGCCAAGTACATCCAAGTACCACATTGAAAGATCATGTAGCCACAAAACAATAATTGCCAGATGAATGGGGGTATGTGCAGAAACAGACTGAACGAAGCACCTACATCGCCAATGTCTGATATTCTGCAAGAAAACAACTGGCACCCATTCAAGGTTGACCTAGAATTTGTGGGGGCACATAATCCTGGGATCTAACCAATCTAAGCGTTGCAGAATGTTTAAATTCCAGCAATGTTTCTTACCCAGGACCTCGAGAGCACCCTTTTGCTTGTCCAAACGTGTAATCAATCCCATCGGCCCGTCCAGCCACGGAATCAAATTCATTTAAACATTTAAATATTTCATACTACCTCCGGGTAATCATCGTTACCATATATTACACGTTTGGACAAGCAAAAGGGTGCTCTTGAGGTCCTGGGTAAAAAACATTGCTGGAATTTAAACATTCTGCAACGTTTAGATTGGTTAGATCCCAGGATTATGTGCCCCCACAAATTCTAGGTCAACCTTGAATGGGTGCCAATTTATGTATATTAATACACCTGCTTGGGGACCCCAAATGAACAAATCACATACTACAAACTAGGGTTTCTATGGAGGCATTTTATATTAGATTATTAGGCAGAACTACCGATAATGACTTCCTGAGTTTTTCCAATGCGTAGGCAAATTTGCTGGAAACTGTCCAGACATCTTGCGCATCATGGTCTAGCACTTCATAGACCAGGAGTAGAGGCACTTCGCACTGTCAGGCGCAACTTGTTCTGTGCGTGCCATGCACTCTTCTTTGTCCTCCTGGGAGAGCGGGTAGCGGACATTTTCCTTAAAGTCAAAGTGTCAGGCTTCAGCGCTGCAGAACTGGGTCGAAACCTCCATGGTACATGATCTCCGAAGGCTCAAAGCGTGCTTTTTCGCTTCTTGGCAGGTGGCATGTCGCCCTGAGGCATTCAAAAGAATTGAACTTGCAAAGAATACTGACTTCAGATGATTTTAGCAAAATATCACTAAATATCGGGTGAAGCCTCCTATAATTCATCCTATTCAACCATCGATCCTAATCCACCTGGGTTTATTCATCCGCAGACATTATCCCAGTACTTGAGGTCGCGGAAAATTAGGGCAAGGGAATTGGTGATCCGTATGGGGTGAAGAATAGTCAGATACGGGAAATTGAATGAAATTGATCCGTTTCTTCTTGACTCACAGCAATTCAAATTATCCAAATTGTAATGATATAGCGACTTGTTCCTTACCTATAAATCCTATAAATCATTATCAGATATTATCGGCCTGAAGTAGATAGAATGTGAATGAATATCGGATCTGTAAACATATTCCCGCGTGAGGAATGTTTGGCATCTTCATAGTTTCCCATACTCACTATTGATTATAGAATTGAAAATTCTCCGACTCAGCAACTCCATCCCATCCCCCATTCATAATTATTAAACACCCCCATAATATGTTTTATATTTATTCCTGCAAAAAGAAAGCAAGACACAACATGGTCTTTTTTTGGGGGTGAAACATTCCAGGGTCGTATATCATCAGTCTGTTCTTGGCAAAATCTGGAAAAATTCTCATGTTCCCAGGTTTTTTCATCGATGTTTCCCTTTCAACATACCATATCTCCATGATCTCTCGCGTGTTTCCCAAACGAATCCCCAAAAACATATACGTTCGATGGTTAAGTCACCATGGTACTACGGTACTTTTCCCAAGATTTTCTGAGCAGTTTCCCTCTTGGAAATCACGACCATCTGGTTATGACATTCACAGTTTGCCATGGAAAGATCCACCATTCTTAAGAACGGTAAACCCAGGTAAACCATCTATTTCGATTAGGGCCATCTATCCCATGACCAGAGGGTACATAAAATATTTGGTATCTCATTAACCATCATTAACCATCATCAACCACTATTAACCACTATTAACCACTATTAACCACTGGTATCTATTAACCAGAGGCTATCTTCCATGGGATTTTGGCTGGGAATCGCCATCTCCTCATCGATCGTCCCAGCACTGCCACCGCACCCAGTTCTTCTCAGTGAGAATGGCTCGATCCACCTGCGGCCGCTTCGGTCGTGTCTAACTTTGTTGTTTTATGATTTTTATGTATATAGCAAGCCCTAAAGAAGTGGTTATAAAAGTTGAAAACACTACCGGAAATGATGGAGACCACAGAAAATCGGAGGAAGCATCTTTTCGGTTTTTCATCATTTTTTGGGATTACTTTATAATATAAAAATAATTGGGTTTATCTAAAAGTTGGGTGTGTCTGATGTACAAGCTGGGTCTGAAAATGAGGGATATTCTAACTTCTGGCTGTTTTACAAGGGAAAATTGTGCTTTAATTCCACTGGATTTTTTGGGTATCCCTATTTTTTAGACACACCATGATACACCATGTTCTTAAAGAAAACACTGACATGTGTGTGTGTGTTTTCTACATGCCCTTTGGAGAAATCAACCAATGTTTCTTCAAAGTTGGTTGGGGTGTGATTCGGCGGGTCAAGTACCTTTTCAGTCATCAATGACTGATAGTTCGTTGATGGGTTCACAGTTATAATATATTTCTGGTTGGTGGTTTCAACCCCTCTGAAAAATATGAAAGTCAAATGGGATGATGACATTCCCAAAATATGGAAAGTCATAAAATTCATATTCCAAACCACCAACCAGATTTCATTAATGGTTTTGGGAAGCCAATATCGTGTGTCATCGTTGAGGGAATTTGAGATAAGTAATCTTAAGATTGGTGAGAGTTGGGGGTCCTAGGACCGATGGTTGATATTATTGTAATCTACCCTCTGGTAAACATACAAACAACTATGGAAAGATCCACCATGTTATAGCTGGGTAAATCCACTATAAATGGGCCGTTTTCAATAGCTATGTTAGTCATTACCAGAGGGTAGGTTTGGTACCCCATATCTTCATGATCATACTTGAGCATGGTTTTGACGAATTGTATCAATGGAGCCTCAGACTTGGACATGGCTTGTTGCATTTTTGGGCTAGACATTTCTATTTGAACCACACCCAATCGGCCAATTTGGCATGACAAAGAAGAGCCAAAATGCGATGCAAAATTTCGATGATTTCTGGTGAAACCCTCCTGTGATTTTTCAAAAGATCTCAGAATGTGTCCGCAGTCTATGGATTCTGCTTCAAAAAAACTTTGGTGTCTTTGGGATTGATCCTTCCCATATGCTAGCTCACCATGGTGCCGGTATATTTACCTACTTAAAAACTGTTAGTGATTTAATCATTTTGTGGCAAATGTTGCTTTCAATCTTCCACACATGAGACATACCCATATGCTCCATGTATATCCATGTATGGTATATTTACCCACATTTGAAAGATTTTTGGATGAAATGTTGGTACCCTCTCGTAAACTAACATAGCTATTGAAAATGGCCATTGATAGTGGATTTTCCCATTAAAAATGGTGATTTTCCATAGCTATGTTAAATTACCAGAGGGTAAATCTTCCGGCCAAAATAACCGAACCGTCGAACTTCGACGGCAAAGCCACGTCTCACCTCTCGCTCGCAGACAAAGCGCTGCAGCAGAGGTAAGTGCCTCACGGGCCGTTCGGCGGTTGGGTCAGATAAGCCGAGAAGGCTCGGAGTAGAGTCTGTGGGAAACCCAAGAAATGATAGTCATCATGGTTACTATAATATATATATATATATACACTGTATATTATAATAATGGTTGATAAGTTGATAATGGTTGACAATGGTAAATCATGGTGAATAGCAAATAGATGCTAATAGTGACTATAATCATGGTTAATCATGGTCCATAATGATTCATAATGGGCGTATAAGTAACAATAATAGATGAAAAATTGATCACATTAATGGGAAACCCAGAAACCCAACGTCACAAACCAACTATTTTGGGATCGTTTACATCAGCCATTTATGGATACTTTTGGGAAAGGCATCTTTTCACTGTTGAAACAATACGTACATTATGTACCATTGAAACGGGGACGCACCATTGAAATTTTCAGTTCCCCACGTTAAAGCGAAAAAATGATCGACATTTTCCCATTGAAAAGGGGAACGAAGCAGGTTGGATCGGAATACCGTGCAAAAAGACAGAGAGTTATCGCTGCATGCAACAAACATCGGGAATACCCTTACGTTGAACAAACATGCCTGGGACAACTAACATTCAATCAAGAATATCATCTGCAAATCGAGGATGTTCCATTACCTGACTAAATACAATTACAGTACAAAATCACCAGAGCGAAGTCCAGGTGTTTTGAGTGTTAAATATGGGTCTGGTCGGTGGTTTCAACCCCTCTGAAAAATATGAATTCGTCCAGTTTAAACTTATTATTCCCAACTGAATGGAAAAAAAACCTGATCCAAAACACCAACCAGGGGTACATGATGCTATGTGTCCAAGGTGAAGTAACCTTTCCGAAGCATCAAACGGAGAGATCACAGAGCACACCTACAGGGCTCCGAGAGCTCCCAAAGGCCGTGAGCCTGCAGATGTTTAGCACATTTTCGGATGGATCTCTTCCACGAATTGTGGTGTAAAACCCATCCCCCCATTTTTTCATCATCAATGGATAGCTTCACTTGTGGTGTATGGTAGATTTATATCATGAATTATCATGATATATCTATACTATCTGGTTGGTGGTGCAATAACCATCTTGAAAAATGATGGACTTCGTCAGTTGGGATAATGATGACATTCCCAATAGATGAAAATGTCAAAACTGTTCCAAACCACCAACCAGATTCAAAAATAGACATCAAAATCACCTTGAATGGTTTGTATCAACATCGTATCAACCATATGAAATTGGGTTTACTATGGGACATCAGGCGATCGAATGTTCATAAAACCGAATGGCACCTTAAGTATCACGAGAATTCACAAGAGATAATCAGAATATGGTTGGGTTTCAAATAACCAACGGGATATCGTATTAATATTATGTGTATATATATATAATACATATGGAGTATAAACCCAATCATACCAGGGCCATCTATTGATATAGTGATGATACAGTGGGATTTTTCGGATTCCGCGGGGAATTTTTAACCGCAAATCCAGCGCACTGAAACCCCTGAAATGTTTCCGTCGGGATTTTCGATACGACTATGGAAGTAGTTGGGTCAATCATTTCTGGTTCGATTTCTGAAGATTTTGATGAGGATCAAGTTAGTTTTAAAAAAAACATGAACATGTTGTGTCATAATTATTGCGTTGGTTGTTTCTCTGCACATTTTCTGCGCAAAACCATCCAAATTTTCTTGGTAAACTTCGTCATCGAGAGTCCCATCTATCTGACGCACATGTTTCAGTGAAAATTGAGTCATAGCCATATAGAGAATTATTATCATTTTCCACATGTGTTTAGATGTAATTTAAGGGTATACCACATCAGACACCTCCATTTAAGCCTACCGCTGAGTTCACCCTTTTGTAGAAACAAGGCCTTTTTTCCTCCAGACTCCATGGATTTCAGCCTGATGTTTCACTAATTTACTTCATCTGGTTGGTGGTATACCTACCCCTCTGAAAAATATGAAAGTCCAGTTGGGAGTATATATTATTCCCAATATATGGAAAAATAAAAAATGTTCCAAACCACCAACCAGTTTAGTTCATGCTCTTCTGAAAACTTCCAACATCTTCCAACCCATTCCTGGTTGCTGGTCCCCATCTGATCATATTCCAACGGGTGCCGTGACCACCGTGACCACCCAGCCGCCGTCCCCTCCCTTGGCCGCACCAAGTGCGTAGAACTGCGAAGCCTACGCCCACCTTTGGAGGCCAAATACCCTGGACCTACAGGTGGACCATCATTCATAGGGGGTTTCTAGAACAAAATGGTGATCTAATTGGTGGTATACACCTACCCCCCTGAATCAATGATGGAGTTCGTCAGACTGGATCATCATCCCAACTCTTGGGGAAAATAATCCAAATGTTCCAAACCATCAATCAGTGATATAGTAGGAGATAGTTGATAGAATGATGGTTGCTGAGTTATTCTATGTTGTTCTACAATTGGATTTGAGAGATTTCGTGGTGATTTAGAAATTGAATGGTGGTTCAATGGGGACCTAAACCAGTCTGATATGAAAGGGAAGTTCCACAACAGCTGACATTTTTGTACACGCCATTTTTTTGAACGCAAAGGCAAATGAATGAATAAATTGATACTGTACAAAGATATGTAATTTAATAATATATATATATAAAGACTTACACACATGTTTAGTAAAAATCAGAACAACACACTACTTCAAACAAGGCTAGCAACATCACCTGAAGAAAATCTACCAACATGTTGGATCAATAATGGACAAGAAACAACACAGCAGTTTGGTTTCACAAGTCAGTTTTCCCTGTCAAGGTTCGACATTGCAATGATACGAATTCCATAATGTCCATATAGTTGTTTTTGCGTGTGTAACACCTCTGAATTATGGAAAAACAAAATCATGAAAAACGGATGTGTTCCCTGTGATGGTCAGCGGGTCAGCTCTCAATTTTCACTGTTTTCCAAAATTTTTCCCAAAATTTGGTCGGATCCTGTATCCATGTCTTTGATGAGTAGTAGACCCAATAATTACCCTCTGGTAATTTAACATAGCTATTGAAAATGGCCATTGATAGTTGATTTTCCCATTAAAAATGGTGATTTTCCATTGCTATGTTAGTTTACCAGAGGGTATAGCCAGTCCAAAAATCACAATTTTTATGGGTATAAACCATCCCCAAGTTTGGTAGGTTTATGGCAGCCAGGGGTTCCAAGAAGTTCATAGTATCAAGTCATCTATTATTGCTAGTTGTTGTACGCCCAATATGATGTAACCATGAAAACCATTCTGCACCCTGATTAAGCAGTATAATTTCATAACAGAACTCCTTTACGACTTTAACCAATCCATCAACCCTCCACAGTGTCTACCCTGGGACCCCCAGGCCACCGCTCTCTGTTCTGGACCTGTACGGTGAAGCGTTAGTTTCTCTGGTTGGTGGTGCAATAACCATCTTGAAAAATATTAGTCAATGGGAAGGATGACATGCCATATATGAAATGGAAGTCATAAAATGCCATGGTTCCAAACCACCAACCAGTTATATCTCATTAACCATTATTAACCATTATTAAACCACCATTTTCCACTGGGGGCAGTGAAGGTCTTAGTGAAAATAAAACATGTTTGAAACCACCAACCAGTTCCGGAAGGCCAGGGATTGGATACTAACTGGGGTTTGGGGATCCAGTTGCTGACGACATTTTTTGAGCTATGTAGAACTGGCGAAAATCATATGCTATGACCCACGGATCCGAAAAAAGGGATGCACATTCAAGGTATAAATGTTCAACAAGAGCTGGAGACTGAGAACAAAGATGAAAGTATGATCTGTTCAATAGCATTGATGTCGCAAGAAAGGCACTCATGTCCCCGGAGATAGTGGAAAGTGATCTCGTGATCTCAAGGAAGTTATGTTTGTTAATTCAAACAACTGTTTGGGAGCAGAGTTGAGAATTTAGATTCAAAATCTGGCACGGCCACAAACTGAAACATGGGTCTACTGTTTTCATATGTTCCTATCATACATCTGGGCAATTGCAATACCTCTAACACCTCAAATGTTGACAATTTGGGCATAGTCATTTCCCTACTCCCCTCATATCTAACAACTATTTCTAGGGAATCCTGGGCCACCTACTCCAAAATTTAGTCAGGTTGACCAACAAAAAAAAACATGCAATCGGCTTTGTTGGGAAATGGTTATCTGTAGTATACCTCAATGAATACTGCTGCGATTTACTGACCATCAAACACATGTTTGGATCAAATTCTGAAATCCCCATTGATCATCAAGAATATGATAGTTCATCCACTCATTCCAGATCATGAATTTATTCATAGCTAGTCATTTTTATATACCCTGGAGTTCTACAACCTAAAATACCCTCTGGTAAACTAACATAGCTATTGAAAATGGCCATTTATAGTGAGTTTTCCCATTATAAATGGTGATTTTCCATAGTTATGTTAGTTTACCAGAGGGTAGCTGGTTTTGGACGCTCCAGGACCCCGTTTAACGACCCATCCCCACAACCGGCATGGCCTAGACTCCATGGAGTAGAGCTGCAACATGGAGCCTCTCCTCGCGGGATGTCAACGGGATGTCAATCGTCCAATTTTGGATGGACGGATGGACCAAAAAAAACGATGGAAACCTACCGTTAAACCATTAGACATAAAATGTAACTCTATACTTATTAATTTGAGTTTTAGGATGCGAAAAAGTATATCATTTTTTTTAAAAAAAAACCTTTGCTGGTTTTCAAGTCTTGTGGCCCACATCCACAATCATCATTAATCATCCACATCAACCACCAATTGATGAACATGAACAAAATTAACAACATAGAGGAACATGATGATACACCATGGGATGGATAAGGGCTCCAAAGAGGTATTGACCCAGACCCATACCCTCCATCAAACAAGCATAGCTATGGATTTTCCATTTGTAGATGATTTCCAAGGGAATCAACCATGGATTTTCACAGCTATGTAAACGTCTATTGAAGGCTTCCCCCTGGTATTGATGCTTAAATCCCATTTCTTCCAGTGATTTACCCCCAAAAAAGCTTTATTTTATGTGTAAATCACCATTCATCACCACTATTAAACCACTATCAACCACTACTAATCACTGTTCACCATGAAACATCTACCAACAAAAACTAGTTGTTATTAGACATGGGTGGGTTATAGTTGTTCACCGTTAAACATCTCAACCACTGTTACATACCACGGATCAAGCCACATCTTCCTACAAATGTGGCTGGTCTCCTCAGGTCGCCATGGGCACCAGAAACTGTGACCTCGAGCAGCACCACAAAACCAGCTGGATATGATGGGTAGATAGTAAAAAGTAATCATGGCAATAAGGTAATATAATAATGTATTTATAAGGTACTGTAATATAATACATAGTAAGATATATATATATATATATAATCATTGGGATATAGATTATGGGTAAAATATCAAAATCATGACAAATAAGGTAGTATAATACATAGTAAGATATCTAATCATTGGGCACATTGGGATATAGATTATGGGTAAAATATCATAATCATGACAAATAAGGTAATACAATACATAGCAAGAGTTTTTCAATACACAATACCCTCTGGTAATTTAACATAGCTATTGAAAATGGTGATTTATAGTGGATTTTCCCATTAAAAAGGATGATTTTCCATAGCTATGTTAATAATTACCAGAGGGTAAAATTAATGACTGAAGCATTGGGATGTTGATTTACACATTCGTTATGACGACCATTATAGGTGGAATCATGGGTAATGAGAAAATCTGATTCATCCAGGTGATGTTAATATGGTAATAATAAGAGATAACCATGTACAATAATAATAATATCAATAATTATATGTAATTACATGTACCATATTATTACCATATTATTATTACCATATTATTACCATGGTCCATATGTACATATAATATAAATAATAATTATTACCATGCCATAATATATGTACAATGTAATGATTTCAATCATAATAAAGATTCAAAGCATTCAACCAGCCTCAATAGAGCGGTGACACGATGCGGTGACACCCCGAAGAATTCGTTGATGCTTCATAAGCCATATTCATAAAGCCTTATTCGACTGGGCGGTCACCCGACTTAGGGCTTGAATCCAGTTGAATTCCCTGGGAAATTCCCAAACCACCCAGTCAACTTTGTGCCAATGGGATCCAATGGGGGCGTGGATCGCCAATTGCTGGTCGAAGCATTGCTAATCCTGTCAGTTGGTTAATTTGGTTAGTCTATTTTCTCACCATTCTTTCCCCGCACCCACCAAAAAAAACACATAGGCCCAAAGCTACAAAACTAAGGGTTGACCCAAGCATATAGTGAAGGTATGGCCGAGATGGCTTCCGGTTCGGGTAGTCTGCCCACAGTACCTTGGGCGATTTCGAGGCTAAATGCTGCCATTGGTGTGGGTATCCACTGTTCTATGGAACCACATACTTCCTGAGGCAATCGCGGCAATCACTTAAATCCAATGAACATACGGACCTAGAGCTGGACACTAGTACGGCCAATCCGTATGTACTTATCTATATATATATATATTATTATTATTATTAATAATATTATTATTATATATGATTATATATGTACACATGTTTCTTTCTATCTTTTGGGCCCCTCCTGCCCACTGTTGGCTTCAGAGTTGTGGGGCTGCTTGTTGGTGTTCTCCAGGTAAGCTTCATGAGGGCAGTTTCACAACTTGGTCCATTGGTTGATCTCCATTCTGCTTGATTTGATACCCCACGTCTGTCTCTCGCTACAAGTGAGCTCAAGTGGTGGTTGTGTCACCATTAAATTCACAATAAATTTCCAATCATATTTATCACGAAATCCCAATGATTTTCCCCTCATAGATCCCCAAAATTACCAACAAAATCCCATGACTTTTGTTGGTAAACCTCCAAAAATTCCCATGAAATCAATGAGATCCACCCATTGTCCTTGGAGAATTTGCCGCTCTGGCCACACCAAGGGAACTAAATGGAACCAAGGGGCTGGGGCAATCAGCAGACCTTGCTGGGTCAAAAAAAACACTGGTGGATGAAGAACAAGTGGGGAATGTATTTCGAATCTAAAAGATATACCCTCTGCCAATGACTAACATAGCTATTGAAAATCACGTACTTTTAATACGTAAATGATCTATTTCTATGGTCCATTTCCGATAGCTATGCTAAATTACCGGAGGGATCCGGAAGGTACCATATGTATATATATATATATATATACCATCTGGTTATGACTAACAGTTTGCCATGGAAAACCACCATTTTTAATAGGTAAACCATCTATAGATAGGCCATGTTCCATGGCTATGTTAAATAACCAGAGGGTATATATACCATGTACTGTAATCCCTGTATACTGGGATGTACTTGGGATCTGATGGGAATCATATGATATAGTTAACCAATCCACAACTTGGGGACGTAATTGGAATATCATAGGGATATACTAGGGATATTGTATGATCTAATCCGAATATATGTATATATATATATAATGAGATGATAATATATCACATATAGAATTATAGAATCTATATGATATATATATTATTATATTTATTATTATATATATATATATATTATATATATATTATTATTTATTTTATATTTTATAATATATATTATAATTTATATTATTATAGATATGTTATTGTTATTATTAATAATATTATTATTATTAAATATTATATATATAACTAAATATGTTATTGTATATATTATTAAATATATCATTAAATATACTATTATATATATTATTACATATATATATATATATGTATATCATACATATATATATATGTATATCATACATATATATATATATTATATGTATATATTATATATATATATTATATATATCATATGATATATATATATATGATATGTATATATATATATATATATTATATGCATATTATATATATATGTGTATGAGATATATATATATATATATATGATATGTAAATCTATATTATTTTATATATTTGTACTATTTACATATATATATATAATATCTCATAAAATTCATTTCAACAATCAGTATAGGTGGATCAGAACATGCTGGTCAGCCCTCTCTAATTGCTATCACATCCAAGTCAAATGATGTTGTTTCATCCCTCTCAATTCAAATCGACAAACACTGCTGAAATCTCCGCTCTCTACATGTATATACACATTAATCATATGTGTTTTTTTATTCTAGTAAATTAGTTGGTGCTTGGGAAATTTTCCCAAACGAAAGACACTTTCTGATGAGGTTGGTCTGCAGCCCATGATCCCGAGCATCACTAGGCTATGTCTGGTTGCATCACACCTGCATCAAATCACTTCCATATGCTCCATATGGGGGGTTTCCATAGTCATGGGGGTATCCAAAATGGTTGGTTTATAATGGAAAATCCATCTATAAATTGACGATTTGGGGGTACCCCTATTTCAGGAAACCACCATGTATGGAATGTTAACCCCAACAGTTCTGTTAAACTTTGTTGGCAAATCTTCGAGCAGCATGCTGCATCTTCGATCCAAGTCGAGTTGGATCAGTATCTCCCAAGAGTGAATGAAGATTGATGGTTTCCACCAAAGCCAACATTGTTTTTTTTTCTCACGGCCCCAAAATAGAAAAAACAGACAGGCCTGTTGGGTATCATATCCAATTTCTGGCGGAATTATAAATCATAACTAACCTGACAATAGCTGAAATAAGGCAATTTGGGGAAAATTCCCCTTACCAGCCGTCATTCCAGTCCCGTCACAGTGAGGCCTTATTCCCCACATCTTTGTGTGGGGTTCTTGTTTTTGATTCTGTATCCCGGGCTTCTCCTCCTCCTCCTCCCGCCGCCTCCGTAACAAAACACACACACACAAACACACAAACTTAACATACAATAATTTCACACACACAAACTTAACACACACAAACTTAACATACAATAATTTCACACACACAAACTTAACACACACAAACTTAACAGACAATAACTTCACACACACAAACTTAACACACACAAACTTAACACACACAAACTTAACAGACAATAACTTCACACACACAAACTTAACATACAATAATTTCACACACACAAACTCAACACACACAAACTTCACACACACAAACTTAACATACAATAATTTCACACACACAAACTTAACACACACAAACTTAACAGACAATAACTTCACACACACAAACTTAACATACAATAATTTCACACACACAAACTTAACATACACAAACTTAACACACACAAAGTTAACAGACAATAACTTCACACAGACAAACTTAACACACAGAAACTTAACACACACAAACTTAACAGACAATAACTTCACACACACACAAACTTAACACACAGAAACTTAACACACACAAACTTAACAGACAATAACTTCACACACACAAACTTAACACACACAAACTTAACATACAATAATTTCACACACACAAACTTAACACACACAAACTTAACACACACAAACTTAACAGACAATAAACTTAACACACACAAACTTAACAGATAATCTGTCGTTTTGCGTGGCAGGCGTGGCACAAACTCACATCCACCGTCGTTTTGCGTGGCAGGCGTGGCACTCATGGCACTGGGTGGCGCGCTTGGACTAGCTTGGGCGCCTGTGACGCCGCGGCACTTTGCGTGGCAGGCGTGGCACAAACTCACACCCACCTTCGTTTCACGTGGCAGGCGTGGCACAAACTCACATCTACCTTCGTTTCACGTGGCAGGCGTGGCACTCATGGCACTGGGTGGCGCGCTTGGACCGGCTTGGGCGCCTGTGACGCCGCGGCACTTTGCGTGGCAGGCGTGGCACAACCTGACATCCACCTTCGTTTCACGTGGCAGGCGTGGCACAAACTCACATCTACCTTCGTTTCACGTGGCAGGCGTGGCACAACCTCACATCCACCTTCGTTTCACGTGGCAGGCGTGGCACAACCTCACATCCACCGTCGTTTTGCGTGGCAGGCGTGGCACTCATGGCACTGGGTGGCGCGCTTGGACTGGCTTGGGCGCCTGTGACGCCGCGGCACTTTGCGTGGCAGGCGTGGCACAAACTCACACCCACCTTCGTTTCACGTGGCAGGCGTGGCACAAACTCACATCTACCTTCGTTTCACGTGGCAGGCGTGGCACTCATGGCACTGGGTTGGCAGGCGTGGCACAACCTGACATCCACCTTCGTTTCACGTGGCAGGCGTGGCACAACCTGACATCCACCTTCGTTTTGCGTGGCAGGCGTGGGACAGATGGCACTGGGTGGCGCGCTTGG